CTACTTCTCTGAACAATCGACAGTCGAATTCCCGTCAAAAACATTGCCAGCTGTAAGTTCTGAGTGCTCTAACACATTGGACCATATTGTCCTCACCCCAGGGGAAATTCAAGATGTTTTACTTTCTGTTGATACCAAAAGGCATCCGGACCTGACGGTATAAATAACAAACTTATTAAAGTTTCTGCTAAAAGTATATCCTTCCCATTATCATTAATCTTTAAAATGTCACTTAAATAGTCTGTTTTTCCATCAAAATGAAAATTGGCATCTGTATTGCCAATTCACACAAAAGGAAATGTAAATGAATGCAGTAATTAAAGACCAATCGCACTAACAAGTTGTTTGGCAGGAGTATTTGAAAAACGTATCCATAAACATGTGTTTAACTTCTTCAAAGACAACAGCTGAGCAATCTGCAGTCAGGCTTTATACCAGGCGATTCCACGAGCTACCAATTATTAGATCTGTATAATTTTATTTCAAAGGCTCTAGACAATGGAAAAGAAGTAAGGGCAGTGTTTTGTGATATTAGCAAGGCCTTTGATAAAGTCTGGCATAAAGGATAACTTTATAAATTATCTTCATGTGGAATTCGAGGAAAGTTGTTGAAATGGTTTGACAGTTATCTATCAAATAGAATACAAAAAGTGGTAATTAATGGTAAAGAATCACAGTTAAAATCTATCACGGCAGGTATTCCACAGGGATCGGTCCTAGGACCATTATTATTTTTGATCTTTATAAATGACCTGGTTGATGATATAGACAGTAATATACGTCTCTTTGCAGACGATACGTCACTTTATATTATTGCCGATGATCCTAACACAGCAATAATTAATTAAAATGTTGATCTAGAAAGGATATCCGTATGGGCGACTAAATGGCAAGTAACGTTTAATCCACACAAAACCGAAACCATAATGTTTTTAAGAAAAATTAACCTAAGTCAAAAACCTGTTCTTAAAATAAAAGGTACTCCAATAACAGAGGTCTCATCGCACAAACACCTAGGGCCAATTTCACAGCAAGATGGCTACTGGTCAAACCATATAGATAATATAGTAGATAAAGTAAACCCAATGATTAACTGCTTTAGAACTTTCAACCACCGCCTGTCCAGAAAAACGTTACAGAATATATATTTATCTTTTATTTTATCGATATTCGACTATTGTGACCAAGTAAGGGATAACTGTTCTCAAGAACAAGCGTTGGTATTGGAAAGGCTAAATTTAGACGCACTGAGAACAATATGTGGAGCTACTCGTGGTAACAGCCACGAGTCTCTATACTCTGAAACTAACCTTACACCCTTATCCAAAAGACGGCAATCTCATAAATTAAAAACATTTTACAAAACAGTTAACATGTTGGCCCCTGAATATCTATGTAATCTTGTTCCTCCTAATGTCTCAGCGGGCTCACGTTACAATTTAAGAACTTCTTCACAGCTACAGACTGTAAATGCTAGAACAGTTAACTACCACAAATCATTTTGACCCGACACAGTGCGAATGTGGAATGAATTACCGGATAATGTTCAGTCAAAATATACTGTAAATGACTTCACTTAATGTATCACCAAGACAGAAAATCCTAAAAGATTTAGCTTTAACTTAGACTATGGTACCCATTTCTGTCAAATTATCCATTGTCGCCTCAGATTAGGATGCAGTGATTTAAATGTACACAAATATCTTAGACATACTCATGATTCTACTACCTGCTCCTGTGGATATCATTATGAGGATCCTACACATTACTTCTTTTCATGTCGCAACTACTGCAATCTTCGGAACAATATGTACTACTATATAAAGGGATATGACTTGGATTAACATTAATACCCCACCCAGACACAGTATACTGACTCCGAGCCGACCAGTCCTTGTTTTAGCCCCTTAATGCCGAGCGCCAGACAGGGTAACAACAAGTACCATCTTTTAACGTCTTTTGGTATGATGGCGGTCGGGGATCGAACCCCGGACCTTCCGCTCTCCGGGCGGACGCTCTACCACTAGACCACGGAGGCGGTCTCTGAAGCCTGATCGCGTGTTCATACATATATATCAACAAATACGGGACACCCCTTGGGAGGGATACGGTGATGTACATGGGATATGCATGATATTATCCACTATCGGTTTGTTCAGCTATTTTTTTCGAAGGCAGCAAAACTCGTTAACTCGATCTCCATGTATGGATAAGCACGTCAAGACGATGTGACCTGATAGTTGCAGCAGAGCCCTCTTGATACAACGATCTTATATTGGTTATTGGCCCCGACGCCAAGACTGTGTTCCTGGTCTTAAAATATCAAGTGAGTGAGTGAGTATGGTTTTACGCCGCTTTTAGCAATATTCCAGCGGGAGACACCAGAAATGGGCTTCACACATTGTACCCATGTCGGGAATCGAACCCGGGTCACGAGCGTGACAAGCGAACACCTTGACCACTAGGCTACCTGACCGCCCCAAAATATCAAGAGTTGGGTGAATATATAAAACGGGTCTCTGCTCCATTATTTTTAAGGAATGCAGAGTTACATTTACACTTTGACAAAAAATTCTGTAGTTGAAAATATTTTTAAAATTCAAATGCTGCTTCAAGGTATTGTACAGTTAACAAGCAACTCTCCATTCCTGAAAAATAATGGAGCGTTAAAACAAGGGAATGACATCACAGATGTGTTTTAAGTTATCAAACTGTGCAAATGTTCTACTGTGTACAGCAATACCTCATTAATTAGGTAAAATTTTGACAGTCATCCGAAATCTGAGATTTTGTTTATTTAGACCAGTTCATGCATCTATGATTCTACTTTGATAAATTTAGGGAACAAGGGTGCAACCTTGTTTTGTCTGGTGCAACTAGGTATTCATGTCAACATGCATATGGTGTAAGTGAAATTAAGTTCCTTAAATCAAGCCCTGAATTATTTGTTTGTTTGTCTGTTTGTTTGTTGTTTAAGGCTGCACTCAGCAAGGTTATCTCCCAAAACCCCTACATCCCATTTCCCCTACAACCCAGTTCCCCTACAATTAGTTAAAACAACACGCGGCGTTTACCTGTCTGGCATTATGAACTCACCTAAAGGAGAGATTAAGGTCTGGAGTAGAGGTAGTAGAAATGAAAGGGGTAGAGCTTTAGGGGATTAGGGGACTTAAAGGAAAGATTATAAAAAAAGAATTAATGTAAGTGTAATGAAAGATGCCTGTATGATGAGAAGACAATATTTAGAAATTAAAAAAATAACAATAGGAAGAAACAATTATTACACTGAGAAACTGAGATGAGACGATTTACAGTTGAGATGGCTAGGTTTAGTATATAGATACTTGAAACTGACTAACATAACTAACCACTTTCGCCCCTTTCGGAAACACATTAAATGGCCTGGCCGGGCCCGTGTGCGAAATACGCATCAGTCGGAAAGCGCACGTTAAATCTCCAAAGTAAGTAAGTAAGTAAGTACTAACATGACATCAACATGGCTGGTCTTCGCAATGTTGAGTTTGTTATGTCACAGAGAGGAAAGCCCCAAGTCCTATTTGATGGTTATCTTCACACTAAGAATGTCGAGAGACTGACTTGCGTACACTGGTAGTGTGTCAAGTCCACATGTAGAGGAAGACTCACGACAGTAGGAACCGTGATGAGGAATGCTACAGAGCATAACCATGCCCCTGAGGATAGCCAGAAGGTCCGGTTTATGAGCACCCCTACTCCCCCAGAACAAGATCCAGGACACGTGGGTTGACGCAATGGACAACACACCAGATGAACCAAGAGCTGTCAACGGCTACATCGTCACTACCTGGGCCGACCACGGAGCACGATTCCCCCTACCACTGTGGAACCATCACGGTACAACAGGTCCCATGACGAACAACAACCTGGAAGGCTTTCATAACCGACTCAACCGAGGTCTCCCTCACCGACATCCCAACATCTACCGATTTGGGGCGGTAGTCAGGAAGGTGGAACAGAGGCAGGAAGAGAGTGTACAGAGAGGTGGAGAACCGTCTCTGCCGCCTGAAAGACGAGTTGAATAGAGAGGTGAAATCCCCAATGCAGTTTCTAGATGCAGTTGGCCATCTCCTCAGGCCGGGATAAAGAGTGAATTGAACATTTGAGATGAAATTTATCATAATGTATTATGAATTTTGAAAAATGAACATTTTGTTATAATGTATCATGAATTTTGAAAAATGAACATTTTGTTATAATGTATCATGAATTTTGAAAAATGAACATTTTATTATAATGTATTATGAATTTTGAATAATATCGTAATCGTAATTAAATGTTTATCTCAATCTATTCGTGTTTCTTGGGTCGTTTCATTGTATGAGATAGGTAACAGACTAGGGATTAGCATAGCCATGGACCGTGAACTTTGTTGTCTTAAGCTGTAGGGGAAATGGGATGTAGGGGTTTTGGGAGGTTACCCTCAGCAATACTCCAGCCATATGACGGCTCCTGAATTAAGAAATGTTACTGGTGTAATTCGAATTTTCTTAAACATGGGCCCCACCATTTTAAATCTCACATGTAACTCGCACAACACATTACTGGCTTTCATGCCTTGGCAGCAGCAAAACTGAGGACATGTCCTAAAAGAAAACGATTGGAAGTCTTTCTCTCCATTAACTAACTCAACGAATCAGGGCTTCAAAGGCAGTCTCTATTTTGTCCACAGCAGTGTATATATTCAGAAAAGAAAATTCAAGATTGGGGTATGAAGCAATTATGAAAACATCTCAAATATATATGTGAAGTAAGTTTTCTTAACTGGGAGCAGTTTAATAAAGCACATCTCAGTCAAGGAGCAGTTCAAACTGGAAGTTGGACAAAAAAATGTAATTTCTTATGTTTGAGTCACTCCCTCCCAACAGCAGATCACAGACAGAAATGGATGAGTGAACTCCTGTATTATTTTACCCATAAATCTGTTAGTTGTACATGTCCAAAACTAAAGACAAATCAAGACATTCTTTACGTAATTCCCGACATTTATTTGCATCGATAACAGATAACAAAACTTAACCTGGTCAGAATGACACATGCCGATATTTTCACGTACAAATCTTGCTGATGACAAAATTGTTATTTCCTATGAATCCAAAATCCTTTGGGAATAGGTCAAACGAAGTGAAACATTTTCTGTAGACTGATTTTGTTCTTGCTTCTCCTGGTGACCATGTTGTACTTGTTTCTAACAGATCAGACAAAACTTCGCCTGGAGAATACAGCAATTGTCTAAAACAGCACAAGGTTGGTTCCCTTAATGTCTAAAACAGCACAATATATAAAATTGTAAAATTGAAATTTGAAGTATTATGTGCAGTATAACCTTGATACAATTGGGCTTGCAGGTCCTGAGATTTATGGCTTTGCTGTATTATGGTAGAATGCTGACACATACCTTTTGTAGGATGTGAACATGCAACATAGTATGAATCGCACAGGGTCAACTCATGGCAACAATTGTATCCTTGAAACCAATATCTACAAAAACATTATGTTAACTCAGAATTGAAGAAACTACAAATTTCTTGAAGATGAAACAGGTGAATGTCATAAGTCTGTGTTGAATTACCTTATCAAAGATTGCAAGTCTATGTTTGTGGAACAGGGCTCTGGCCCTTGAAGAACCTCAAAGTCTTATAAAGGGGTTATCCCCTTTAAGATATACCCGTGAAGAAGTTATATTTCACACTGACAGGCCTGTATAGCAGGTCAAGAACAACGTGAGCGCTGTACGTCCGTCCATCCATCATGATGTAGATGTAGATGTAGATGTAGAGGGCTCCGAATGCCCTGCACCACCAGGGGATGGAGGGGCTGCTGGGGAAAGCACTGGGTGGGTTTTGATCTGGGCAATACTGACTGGACCCGAACCAACAGCAGGCACAACACCGATGGGAACTGGATTCAGTACTGGGATCATGGCACCATTCTCGCCCTTAATATAGGTGAGGATCATGGGGATCCCTTGATTCCGAATACCACCAGACTTCGACATTTGCACTGTGTTCAACTGGGATGGGATATCCACACCTGACGCTGTCACCTCTCCGAATTTCACTGACGTAACGACAGGACCCAAGACTGAAGCTTTAACATCTTCATCTTCTGATGGTACAGTTGATTTGGAGGCTGCTAAGGGAAGACATTCTAAATCGGAAGCCAGAGCAACTGAATAGTTCTTTGACACGTTAGTGGAAGACTTTTCACTGTTTGTGGTGAGACCATCACTCCCTGGGGTGGTACCTGATGGGGTGGTACCTGATGGGGTGGTACCTGATGGGGTGGTACCTGATGGGGCAATGTCTTGAGCTGGATCTGGTCTCAGTCCTGCCTCCATGGCCGCCATGGAGTCCAGCATGGACTGTCGGAGATTCCGCCCCAGGAACGCACGTTTGGCTGAAACTCTCTGGATGCGGTTCTCACTTTTCTCTTTCTTAACTTTCTTCTCAGGTGGACTTTTCTCTTTCCTCTCTCGGAGTGATCGAGTCGGCGCTTCCACAACTTTGCGTTTCATCTTCCCTCGAGGTCGGCCTCTTCCTCTGGGAGTAATGATGTTGTCACTCGTGATGTGTAAATCGGCTTCACCTACAAACAGAGATCACATACAGATACTGGCATGTTCGTAATAGGTCAGCCTCGTCATATGGGAGCATCTCGGTTGTAACTCCTGAAGGCAAGATCATCGAGTCAAAGATGCATGGAACTCTTGTTTTCAAAAGTCAAATACCGTATTCAACGTAATAAGCGCCCCGCTCTAATAAGCGCCCACAGCGATATTTGCTTATATATTGGCTAGTGAACAATCCTGATTAGCACCCCTTACGATCGATTAATGTACACTTATTTATTCGTGTATAATACACACTCGTGTGTTATATACACCCTTAATTTTATGATTCTGGAAAATATATCTGTCATGAATAATACGCACAGACTTTTCTTTTGATTCATTTCAGGCTGTCAGCATAAACCATGAAATTTACGATCTTTCCACTCTGTTTTTTTCTAACAAAATTATATTCTAAAAAGATCCCCTATTTCTAATTTTGAGACTGCCCTGGGCGTTTATTACGTCAAATACGGTACATGTGTTTTTCAGTATGTACTGAATGCAGGATCACGTCGGGGAGATTACCTGGTTTAAAAGCACTCACAACATACAGGCGAAGTACTTCAATTAGAAACTGCAGAAAGACACTTCAAACACTGCTGGGATCGTCCACCTTGGGTGTCCAGAAAATGTGACGGCAAATGAACAGACACCGAACTCTCTGATGATGTGAGATTCTACTCATGTACGTCAAGCTCCGGTACATTCTTTGGAAATGGAGGTTGGACTCAACATACATGGGGGTTGTGTTGTTAGTGTTGAAACATATTAACAAACGGTTGCACATTTCTCATAGGTTTACACTGTGTCTAAGACACATTGGCTAAGTGGGTTAGATCGCTGACTTTGTGTGCTGGCGATTAGGTGCCTCACTCTGAATGTGTGGTTTCGAATCCCAGATGGACCTAACCCAAAAATTACTATAATTAGTAATTTACTAAGAAAGTGTTATCCCAAATATAACGTTTGTTATAAATGCATAAACAGGGTCTTGTGTGTACTTGAAGCAGACCAAGTGAGTGAGTGAGTTGGGTTTAACGCCACTTTTAATAGTATTCCAGTTATATCACGGCGTGTCAGCTTAATGTGGGAGGAAAGCCCGAAGTGATGCAGGTCTCAGACGTTTACCACTTCGGTGAAACCCACGAGCACGGGTATGGTGCTGACAAACCTAGAAACGTAACTGGGGCGAAACGGGATTCGAACCCACAATCATAGGTTTCTTGCGTGCCCAAGGGACAGAAACTCTGCACAGCGAATCGCGGCACCTTAGACGACTGGGCCACCCGTACGCCCTGAAGCAGATCAAACTGAACACTAAAGAATGAGTGGCAGCCGTTGTTTAATATGGATCAGAATTCTGCTTGACTATTTTAGAAATACTTGCTTAGAACATCCATGTCCATGTTAACTCCACAATCACATGGATCCAGAGTCTGCTCCATATACTGTATGTGAAGGACTTCAACTGTTGATGACCAGTTAGTTTACCTGATCCTGATGGAAGTGACTGGTCAAAGCTGGACTGAACTGGTGTGGAGTGGGCATCAACTTGATCGTCAGACTGGTTCTGGCTGCCTCTGCTCTTCTTGTTGGAGCCTTGTTTGTGAGCCCTGGACATCACCTGCTTCCTGTAGAACCTGCTGCCTCTACTCAGGGGGTACCTGCACAGTGAGAGAGAGAGTGAGGGAGGGAGAGAGGTAGGGAGGAAGGGGGGGAGGGAGCATCACCTGCTTCCTGTAGAACCTGCTGCCTCTACTCAGGGGGTACCTGCACAGTGAGTGAGAGGGTGAGGGAGGGAGAGAGCATCACCTGCTTCTTGTAGAACCTGCTGCCTCTACTCAGGGGGTACCTGCACAGTGAGTGAGAGGGTGAAGGAGGGAGGGAGCATCACCTGCTTCCTGTAGAACCTGCTGCCTCTACTCAGGGGGTACCTGCACAGTGAGTGAGAGAGTGAGGGAGGGAAGGAGGGAGGGAGGGAGGAAGGAAGGGGGGGAGGGAGGGAGGGAGGAAGGGAGGGAGAGAGGGAGCATCACCTGCTTCCTGTAGAACCTGCTGCCTCTACTCAGGGGGTACCTGCACAGTGAGTGAGAGGGTGAGGGAGGGAGGGAGGGAGGGAGGGAGGGAGGGAGGGAGGGAGCATCACCTGCTTCCTGTAGAACCTGTTGCCTCTACTCAGGGGGTACCTGCACAGTGAGTGAGAGGGTGAGGGAGGGAGGGAGGGAGCATCACCTGCTTCCTGTAGAACCTGCTGCCTCTACTCAGGGGGTACCTGCACAGTGAGTGAGAGGGTGAGGGAGGGAGGGAGGTAGGGAGGGAGGGAGGGAGGGAGGGAGGGAGGGAGCATCACCTGCTTCCTGTAGAACCTGTTGCCTCTACTCAGGGGGTACCTGCACAGTGAGAGAGAGAGTGAGGGAGGGAGGGAGGGAGGGAGGGAGGAAGGGAGGGAGGGAGGGAGGGAGGGAGGGAGGGAGGGAGGGAGCATCACCTGCTTCCTGGAGAACCTGTTGCCTCTACTCAGGGGGTACCTGCACAGTGAGTGAGAGGGTGAGGGAGGGAGGGAGGGAGCATCACCTGCTTCCTGTAGAACCTGCTGCCTCTACTCAGGGGGTACCTGCACAGTGAGTGAGAGAGTGAGGGAGGGAAGGAGGGAGGGAGGGAGGGAGGGAGGGAGGGAGGAAGGGAGGGAGAGAGGGAGCATCACCTGCTTCCTGTAGAACCTGCTGCCTCTACTCAGGGGGTACCTGCACAGTGAGTGAGAGGGTGAGGGAGGGAGAGAGCATCACCTGCTTCTTGTAGAACCTGCTGCCTCTACTCAGGGGGTACCTGCACAGTGAGTGAGAGGGTGAAGGAGGGAGGGAGCATCACCTGCTTCCTGTAGAACCTGCTGCCTCTACTCAGGGGGTACCTGCACAGTGAGTGAGAGAGTGAGGGAGGGAAGGAGGGAGGGAGGGAGGGAGGAAGGAAGGGGGGGAGGGAGGGAGGGAGGAAGGGAGGGAGAGAGGGAGCATCACCTGCTTCCTGTAGAACCTGCTGCCTCTACTCAGGGGGTACCTGCACAGTGAGTGAGAGGGTGAGGGAGGGAGGGAGGGAGGGAGGGAGGGAGGGAGCATCACCTGCTTCCTGTAGAACCTGTTGCCTCTACTCAGGGGGTACCTGCACAGTGAGTGAGAGGGTGAGGGAGGGAGGGAGGGAGCATCACCTGCTTCCTGTAGAACCTGCTGCCTCTACTCAGGGGGTACCTGCACAGTGAGTGAGAGGGTGAGGGAGGGAGGGAGGTAGGGAGGGAGGGAGGGAGGGAGGGAGGGAGGGAGCATCACCTGCTTCCTGTAGAACCTGTTGCCTCTACTCAGGGGGTACCTGCACAGTGAGAGAGAGAGTGAGGGAGGGAGGGAGGGAGGGAGGGAGGAAGGGAGGGAGGGAGGGAGGGAGCATCACCTGCTTCCTGTAGAACCTGTTGCCTCTACTCAGGGGGTACCTGCACAGTGAGTGAGAGGGTGAGGGAGGGAGGGAGGGAGCATCACCTGCTTCCTGTAGAACCTGCTGCCTCTACTCAGGGGGTACCTGCACAGTGAGTGAGAGGGTGAGGGAGGGAGGGAGGTAGGGAGGGAGGGAGGGAGGGAGGGAGGGAGGGAGCATCACCTGCTTCCTGTAGAACCTGTTGCCTCTACTCAGGGGGTACCTGCACAGTGAGAGAGAGAGTGAGGGAGGGAGGGAGGGAGGGAGGAAGGGAGGGAGGGAGGGAGGGAGGAAGGGAGGGAGGGAGGGAGGGAGAGAGGGAGCATCACCTGCTTCCTGTAGAACCTGCTGCCTCTACTCAGGGGATACCTGCAGTGAGAGAGAGAGTGAGGGAGGGAGGGAGGGAGGGAGGAAGGGAGGGAGGGAGGGAGGGAGGAAGGGAGGGAGGGAGGGAGGGAGAGAGGGAGCATCACCTGCTTCCTGTAGAACCTGCTGCCTCTACTCAGGGGGTACCTGCACAGTGAGTGAGAGGGTGAGGGAGGGAGGGAGGTAGGGAGGGAGGGAGGGAGGGAGGGAGGGAGGGAGCATCACCTGCTTCCTGTAGAACCTGTTGCCTCTACTCAGGGGGTACCTGCACAGTGAGTGAGAGGGTGAGGGAGGGAGGGAGGGAGCATCACCTGCTTCCTGTAGAACCTGCTGCCTCTACTCAGGGGGTACCTGCACAGTGAGTGAGAGGGTGAGGGAGGGAGGGAGGTAGGGAGGGAGGGAGGGAGGGAGGGAGGGAGGGAGGGAGCATCACCTGCTTCCTGTAGAACCTGTTGCCTCTACTCAGGGGGTACCTGCACAGTGAGTGAGAGGGTGAGGGAGGGAGGGAGGGAGCATCACCTGCTTCCTGTAGAACCTGCTGCCTCTACTCAGGGGGTACCTGCACAGTGAGTGAGAGGGTGAGGGAGGGAGGGAGGTAGGGAGGGAGGGAGGGAGGGAGGGAGGGAGGGAGCATCACCTGCTTCCTGTAGAACCTGCTGCCTCTACTCAGGGGGTACCTGCACAGTGAGTGAGAGGGTGAGGGGGGGAGGAAGGGAGGGAGGGAGCATCACCTGCTTCTTGTAGAACCTGCTGCCTCCACTCAGGGGGTACCTGCACAGTGAGTGAGAGGGTGAGGGAGGGAGGGAGGGAGGGAGGTAGGGAGGGAGGGAGGGAGCATCACCTGCTTCTTGTAGAACCTGCTGCCTCTACTCAGGGGGTACCTGCACAGTGAGTGAGAGGGTGAGGGAGGGAGGGAGGGAGCATCACCTGCTTCCTGTAGAACCTGCTGCCTCTACTCAGGGGGTACCTGCACAGTGAGAGAGAGAGTGAGAGAGAGAGTGAGGGAGGGAGGGAGGGAGGGAGAGAGGGAGCATCACCTGCTTCCTGTAGAACCTGCTGCCTCTACTCAGGGGGTACCTGCACAGTGAGTGAGAGGGTGAGGGAGGGAGGAAGGGAGGGAGGGAGCATCACCTGCTTCTTGTAGAACCTGCTGCCTCTACTCAGGGGATACCTGCACAGTGAGAGAGAGAGTGAGGGAGGGAAGGAGGGAGGGAGGGAGGGAGCATCACCTGCTTCCTGTAGAACCTGCTGCCTCTACTCAGGGGGTACCTGCACAGTGAGTGAGAGGGTGAGGGAGGGAGGAAGGGAGGGAGGGAGCATCACCTGCTTCTTGTAGAACCTGCTGCCTCTACTCAGGGGATACCTGCACAGTGAGTGAGAGAGTGAGGGAGGGAGGAAGGGAGGGAGGGAGGGAGGGAGCATCACCTGCTTCTTGTAGAACCTGCTCCCTATACTCAGGGGATACCTGCACAGTGAGTGAGAGAGTGAGGGAGGGAGGGAGGAAGGGAGGGAGGGAGGGAGGGAGGGAGGAAGGGAGGGAGGGAGGGAGCATCACCTGCTTCCTGTAGAACCTGCTGCCTCTACTCAGGGGATACCTGCACAGTGAGAGATTGAGGGAGGGAGGGAGGGAGGGAGGGAGCATCACCTGCTTCCTGTAGAACCTGCTGCCTCTACTCAGGGGGTACCTGCACAGTGAGAGATTGAGGGAGGGAGGGAGGGAGGGAGCATCACCTGCTTCTTGTAGAACCTGCTGCCTCTACTCAGGGGATACCTGCACAGTGAGTGAGAGAGTGAGGGAGGGAGGGAGGAAGGGAGGGAGGGAGGGAGCATCACCTGCTTCTTGTAGAACCTGCAGCCTCTACTCAGGGGATACCTGCACAGTGAGTGAGAGAGTGAGGGAGGGAGGAAGGGAGGGAGGGAGGGAGGGAGGGAGCATCACCTGCTTCTTGTAGAACCTGCTGCCTCTACTCAGGGGATACCTGCACAGTGAGTGAGAGAGTGAGGGAGGGAGGAAGGGAGGGAGGGAGGGAGGGAGGGAGCATCACCTGCTTCTTGTAGAACCTGCTGCCTCTACTCAGGGGGTACCTGCACAGTGAGGGAGGGAGGGAGGGAGGGAGGGAGCATCACCTGCTTCCTGTAGAACCTGCTGCCTCTACTCAGGGGATACCTGCACAGTGAGTGAGAGAGTGAGGGAGGGAGGTAGGGAGGGAGGAAGGGAGGGAGGGAGGGAGGGAGCATCACCTGCTTCCTGTAGAACCTGCTGCCTCTACTCAGGGGGTACCTGCACAGTGAGAGAGAGGGTGAGGGAGGGAGGAAGGGAGGGAGGGAGGGAGCATCACCTGCTTCTTGTAGAACCTGCTGCCTCTACTCAGGGGGTACCTGCACAGTGAGAGAGAGGGTGAGGGAGGGAGGAAGGGAGGGAGGGAGGGAGCATCACCTGCTTCCTGTAGAACCTGCTGCCTCTACTCAGGGGGTACCTGCACAGTGAGTGAGAGAGTGAGGGAGGGAGGAAGGGAGGGAGGTAGGGAGCATCACCTGCTTCTTGTAGAACCTGCTGCCTCTACTCAGGGGATACCTGCACAGTGAGAGAGAGAGAGAGTGAGGGAGGGAGGAAGGGAGCATCACCTGCTTCTTGTAGAACCTGCTGCCTCTACTCAGGGGATACCTGCACAGTGAGTGAGAGAGTGAGGGAGGGAGGAAGGGAGGGAGGGAGGGAGGGAGGGAGCATCACCTGCTTCCTGTAGAACCTGCTGCCTCTACTCAGGGGATACCTGCACAGTGAGTGAGAGATTGAGGGAGGGAGTGAGGGAGGGAGGAAGGGAGGGAGGGAGGGAGCATCACCTGCTTCTTGTAGAACCTGCAGCCTCTACTCAGGATCCATCAGGTGTATGTATATCCTGTCCGTACAATTTTTGAAGAGGGAAATCAGAGTGTACTCCAAAGACATTCATGTTAACTGTACAACCCTACACTGAAGACGTTAAAATCAACAAACTCAAGTCTGCTTAATTGTCAGTGACAGCTTCGAACGAAGGGCAAGGTCACTATGGGAATAAGAACAGACAACCATGATCTACATACATATAGAGAGAGGAAATGTTATTGTTCACATTTGGGATGTTTGGGGCCTCAAAATCAGAAGTCAAGCCCACTTCCACAGAGTTTTCGAATGATTTGTATTAGAACTGTTCACTTTTAGTGATCTGGTCGTGCAGCTGTGTACTTTTATTCATGAACAACACCTCCCGAAACAGTGCCACAAAATACGATTCAAAGGGGACACTGATGGCACAACCGGAGCATCCAACGTAAGTCTAGGTATCTGTACAGATAGTTTAAATTGACTTCGTTTCACCACACTTGTCCTTTTACGGTAAATCAAATTGAAAGTCGCGATCGGTAGTTGATAATGTTGATAATGTCTGTAGTACCTCTATACATAACTAATATAGAATGCAAAGCGACTTTGATGCATGTCACTATCTTGTCGTTTAATAAAATGTTGTAAATGTTTCGTTGTCTGGAGATTCCTTCAGCTCTGTCTCGTAAAGTTTTGTGAAAGTGAATGACGTCTCGTGATTTTTTCTGAATGAAAAAAGTAGTTCCAGTGTGACACAGGTCACGGTTATCCAATCAAAACAAATAAAACGAGGTCAATCTTGTACGACACGTGTCACGTATGGATTTAGTATCTTACACCTGTATCTTCACCACACGGGTCATAAACAGCAATATCATACGGCGAGTGAGTGAGTGAGTGAGTGAGTGAGTGAGTGAGTGAGTGAGTGAGTGAGTGAGTGAGTGAGTGAGTGAGTGAGTGAGTGAGTGAGTGAGTGAGTGAGTGAGTGAGTGAGTGAGTGAGTGAGTGAGTGCAGGGATAGACATATCCACTAGTCTGTTAGTCTTATACAAGTGAAAATTTTCCAATACTTAGAAATTTCCAAAATGCTAACAGTTGGACTTTACCAAAAAAGTCTACCCCTGGAGTGGGCAGAGTGAGTTCTGAGAAGGGACAAACAACCTAGATTGCTAACAAACGTCGCAAGTTGGAAATTGTAAGGACTCCAAATTACCATATGACCAAGTACTAAAAATGAATTCCTTTGGCCGCCTTGTAGTATGCAGGTCTAAATAGTCCACGTATTTCTCTATGTCATCGTACAAACCCTTTCGTCTTGGCTCGTGGCAGGTTCTCCACCTCCTCCTCCCCAGCTGTGATTGTCTTGGCCTTCTGGCAGAAATCCTTCCTGTCAAACGGAGGGTGTATCGTGGAGACGAGCGCCGGCCACACAAACAGCGCCTGGAACCTGGCCTTCAGCAAAGCATATTGCTCGGTGTTGCGGATCTTCCTGAGATGGCTTGTCGTCAAGGTGGGAGACGGGTCCGACTTCACTGTTGTGTCAGACTCTGTCGTATCATTCGATTCACTCGGAGTCGGGACTCTCTGATGCTTGGGGCGGGTGTTGGGCATGTGGTAATATTTCACATCATACAAAGATCCTGCATTTGTAATGTTCTTTCTCCGATTGAGAAGCAGAGATTTGAAGGCAGTCAAGTTTGTCACATTAGGTGGTAGGTATGGAAGGGACCGTTCACAGACGAGTGGCTCATCACTGTCAGATTCAGCACTCGACTCAGTATTGGTGCCTATAGAGATGGAAGCAGTAGACTTCACGGGATCAGGTGACGTTGGGTCTAGATCAGGTTTTGACACTGTCTTTGTGACAATTCGGGTAAACCTTTGGCGACTAGCAGGTTTGACAGTCTTGACAGTGGTGCCTTGAACAAAAGTTACTGATTTCTTCTTTCTGGGAGCAGCATCTTGATCTTCTGTAAAGAAAACACAGTTACTAGCAGTTCTTTTGACGTGGCAGGACAGAATAAGTATAGCCATATGATAGAATCAGGTGGTCCTTAACTTGTTTTGACGTGGCTTGACAGATTAAGTAAAAACCTGGGTGGTCCTTAAAATGTTTGGAAAATGCATGACAGATTAGGAGTATACCTAAACATTCCAGGACCTTTCAAGCCTCTGCAAACCCTGATGATGATGATGATGATGATGAAGTCTGGTTTGTGTCGACAATGGAGTCCATGTTACATGAAATCAACTTCTCCACATGCTCTGTGTGGGTTTCGTTGACTTGTTATCTGTAGTGAGTGATTGACTATGGTTTTACGCCGCTTTTAGCAATATTCCAGCAATATCAGGGCGGGGGACACCAGAAATGGGCTTCACACATTGTACCCATGTCGGGAATCGAACCCGGGTCTTCAGCATGACAAGCAAACGCTTTAACCACTAGGCTACCCGACCGCCCCACTGTTATCTGTAAGTGTGTGGACGATGAGTGAGTGAATGAGTATGGTCTAAAGCCGCTTTACGCAATATTCCAGCAATACCACGGCGGAGGACACCAGAAATGGGCTTCACACATTATACCCATGTGGGGAATTGAACCTGGGTCTTCGGCATGACGAGCAAACGCTTTAACCACAAGGCTACCCGACCGCCCCCTTGTTATCTGTAACTGTGTGGATGATCATGTGAGGGGACCAGCAGTATCCCAACAGAGGACCCCACAATGGGTTTTCCACATTGTACAGGGAGGGCACTGAACCCAGGAGTTTGGCATGAATAGTGAATGCTTTAACCACATAACCATCAGGAATACCCTACCGCCCCCAAGGGGGAAACATCTCAATCCATACTGACACCATGAGGACTCCCCTTACCCCCAAGTCCCGCTGTGCCTCTGCCTGGTGTCCCAGTGTCCTCCGTGTCCCCCTCCGTGTCCCCCTCCTGTGACCTCTCACTCTCAGCACTCCGCAGCATGTCCAGCTCGCCCATGGGTTCCGGTGCCCCTGGGGCGGGAGGCGCCTTCTTTGCCTGCTGTTTGGCCTCAGCCTTGCTCAGTTGTCTTTTGGACCCCTTGCTTCTCCTGCCAGCAGCTGGGGTGCCAGTGGGCGTGGCTGGAGTAGGGGTGGGCGTGGCTGGAGTTCCATTTGGGGTGGTGGAAGGAAGGGCTGCCGATTTACTCATGTTTTTAAACTTAGAGGCATTTTCCAGCATTGTCCGTGGATCAACATCAAGGGCCTGTTTAAAAAACAAAATAGTTGGATGTGATGGCTCAGACATGTTTGATCCTGCTTCTAAAATGGAAAAATGGCGTTGGCCAAGGTCAAAACAGGGGAACTCTTGAGAGACCCAAATCAATTGATTTTGCAAACTGAATGTGAATGAAACCCTTTTAACATTCGCAGACCGTAGCAGGTCACACTTAACATAAAGTATCAATGTGATACCCTGGGCCCCCGTCCACAAAGCAATCTTAGCAGTACAAAGATCATAAGCCTGTGTTAAAGTTTGGAAGTTACGATCGCCTTAGCGCTCAGATCGCTTTGTGGATTGGGGCCAAGGGTGCTGTGGTACAATGTGGTACCATGTTTAGGTATGGAAGTTACGATCACCTCAGCGAAACAACTGTCGTAACTCCATGTTAAGGTATGGAAGTTACGATCACCTTAGCGCTACAACTGTTGCAAGTTCATTTTGAGGTATGGAAGTTACGATCACCTTAGCGCTACAACTGTTGCAAGTTCATTTTAAGGTATGGAAGTTACGATCTCCTTAGCGCTACAACTGTCGTAAGTCCATGTTAAGGTATGGGAGTTACGATCACCATAGCGCTACAACTGTCGTAAGTCCATGTTAAGGTATGGGAGTTATGATCACCTCAGAGATACAACTGTCATAAGTCCATGTTAAGGTATGGGAGTTACGATCACCTCAGCGATACAACTGTTGCAAGTCCATGTTTAGGTATGGAAGTTACGATCACCTTAGCGATACAACTGTCGTAAATCCATGTTAAGGTATGGGAGTTACGATCACCTTAGCGATACAACTGTCATAAGTCCATGTTAAGGTATCGGAGTTACGATCACCATAGCGCTACAACTGTCGTAAGTCCATGTTAAGGTATGGGAGTTACGATCACCTCAGCGATACAACTGTCATAAGTCCATGTTAAGGTATGGGAGTTACGATCACCTCAGCGATACAACTGTCATAAGTCCATGTTAAGGTATGGGAGTTACGATCACCTCAGCGATACAACTGTCGTAAGTCCATGTTAAAGTATGGGAGTTACGATCACCTTAGCGATACAACTGTCATAAGTCCATGTTAAGGTATGGGAGTTATGATCACCTTAGCGCTAAGATCACTTGGTGGAAAAGGCCAAGGTCTCACCTGTGGCAAGCCAATGCTTGAACCACAAAGCTACTCCACCAACCCAGTGATTCCCGTGGGTAGAATTTGCTCTACACACTCTGCATGACATCAGTAATATGAAGGCAGTAAGCTCACCTTCATGACAATGTTGAGTGACTTGACTTTAATCTGGCGAAGCTCCAGTTCCGTAGAACTTCCTGTCAGTGTACGATCTGCAACATCAGAAACACCTTTACACAATGATACACAGAGCACGGTGTCTGAGTGGGGTATCTCTGTGGGCTAGCACTACAAAACTGGCATTGGTCCACACCCAGCCACACACATTGCTATTTTAGTGCAAAAATCTTGAAAGTGACGTTAACCCCATTTCACGTCACCTCACTTCACGATGTGAGAAGTCCATGCACGAATTGCCCGACATAAGCTATCTGTACTGATCCACTTTGATACGTAGGGCGTAGGGGGCGGTCGGGTAGCCTAGTGGTTAAAGTGTTCGCTCGTCATGCCGAAGACCAAGGTTCGATTCCCGACATGGGTACAATGTGCATGATGTGTGAAGCCCATTTCTGGTGAATTTCCGTGTAATTGCTTGAATATTGCTAACAGCGGCGTAAAACCATACCCACTCACTAACTCACATAGGGCTTACACATATCTCTACACAATCAGGTCAACGTAAGGCATACACATATCTCTACACAATCAGGTCGATGTAAGGCTTACACATATCTCTACACAATCAGGTCGACGTAAGGCTTACACGTATCTCTACACAATCAGGTCAACGTAAGGCATACACATATCTCTACACAATCAGGTCCACATAGGACAGTACAGTATACTGCCATAAACTTCAACCCCAATCCCCCAGACACAAGGACAACTGTCACAAGCGTGCAATGTCTGACCCTTTCCCCATGTTGAAGCATATTGAAAAAAACTTACCTTGTACTTACTTACCTTTTGTTGAAAAAAACAAAACTCCACTGCAAACATAAGACATTAATACAACATATATCCCCATGTTATGGGTTTTCAGACGGTGAAGAAACATTCATAGTTTTCTCGCTAATCACATGAACAACTGTAAAACATCTCCTTCACTAACAGGCTAAAAGACAACTTTATCTTAAAAACAAGCCATCATCTGACTCTGAGTATTAACAATTTCTGTGTGACGCCACACCCCACGTTATAGTGCAAGTATTTGTGATAGAAAACATATGATATCTAAAAACCTATGATGCAGAAAGCTCTGATCGAAAACAGGACAATCCGTGATGGTTATCCGGTTTTCAATAACATTTTTCGGAGCATTTTTTTATAAATCTTTGATTATAATTTTACGCGGAAGATGATTTTTTCTGAGGACTACTGTTTTAAAAAATGTGATTTTGCGTGTTTCTGCAGAGATTTCACATCCCTGGGTAAGTGCTAACAGTTTCATCAATTCTTACACCCTTACTGCTTACTGAAGAATTTTCTTGGCCTCCCTTTTTTCATTTTCTTTTTTGTTTTATAAATGGAGTGAACAGCTCCTCTCATTGACCGCTCCAATCGCCGATTCCTTTCCACGGCTCTGAAGTTGAAGTTCCTCTTGGAGTGTAGTCTGGCCTTGCCCCGCGCCTGCAGCAGGCCGCCCTTCACGTTCCGGGACAGCTCGATCAGCTTCTTCACCGACATGTTGCTGTTGTGGGAATAATGGATTTGGGCAGCCAACTTCTCAGCAGTTTGGGTCTGGAATGAGATGGAAATATGGGACGCCAGTTAGAAATATTCCATCTGTATGGGACTTGCTTAACGCCAGTCAGCAAGATTCCATCTGTATGGGACTTGCTTAACGCCAGTCAGCAATATTCCATCTGTATGGGACTTGCTTAACGCCAGTCAGCAATATTCCATCTGTATGGGACTTGCTTAACGCCAGTCAGCAATATTCCAGCTATGCAGGACTTGCTTAACGCCAGTCAGCAATATTCCAGCTATACAGGACTTGCTTAACGCCAATCAGCAATATTCCAGCTATACAGGACTTGCTTAACGCCAATCAGCAATATTCCAGCTATATAGGACTTGCTTAACGCCAGTCAGCAATATTCCAGCTATATAGGACTTGCTTAATGCCAGTCAGCAATATTCCAGCTATATAGGACTTGCTAAACGCCAGTCAGCAACATTCCAACTATATAGGACTTGCTTAACGCCAGTCAGCAATATTCCAGCTATATAGGACTTGCTTAACGCCAGTCAGCAACATTCCAGCTATATAGGACTTGCTTAACGACAGTCAGCAACATTCCAGCTATATAGGACTTGCTTAACGCCAGTCAGCAACATTCCAGCAATATGGGACTTGCTTAACGCCAGTCAGCAATATTCCAGCTATATAGGACTTGCTTAACGCCAGTCAGCAACATTCCAGCTATATAGGACTTGCTTAACGCCAGTCAGCAACATTCCAGCTATATAGGACTTGCTTAACGCCAGTCAGCAACATTCCATCTGTATGGGACTTGCTTAACACCAGTCAGCAATATTCTTTCAACAGCTGTTTCTCTGACCTCTAGGATCCTGCAACCAGTGTTTCACACTCACATCAACCTCATCTCCATCCTGGGTGTCTGCCACGTCACTGTTCTGGATGAATCGGACGTGTTTGAGGATGATGTTCTGCAGATGCACCCGTTGTTCGATCAGCCTCTGCCGGGCGGATGTTCCGTATCCCAGGAGCGGCGGAGGACGTGGAACAACAATATCCCCTGTATGAAGGAACACTCCAGTGATTATACGCTTTAGACATTCTTGTGATGATACAATCTGATGACATATGGGGAAACCCAAGACCTCATTAGTATTGAAAGACTGAGGATCTTTGTCTTTTGTCACTGAGCAAGTGGTTTTAGATGTATTCACCTTTCTGTCTATCCCTTTCCTGTTTGGCATAGTCTTCTTTGAGAACTCCCATCCCCTCCTGAAAGTTTCGCCATGTCGTGTGCTCTCTCTCCTTCAACTCTTCTGATGACAGGTGCCCCCCAAGCAGAGCTCTCTTTGTTGTCTCCTACAGATATACAATAGATGTGACACTGACAGGTGCCCCCTAGCAGAGCTCTCTTTGTTGTCTCCTACAGATATATAATAGATGTGACACTGACAGGTGCCCCCTAGCAGAGCTCTCTTTGTTGTCTCCTACAGATATACAATAGATGTGACACTGACAGGTGCCCACCAAGCAGAGCTCTCTTTGTTGTCTCCTACAGATATACAATAGATGTGACACTGACGGGTGCCCCCTAGCAGAGCTCTCTTTGTTGTCTCCTACAGATATACAATAGATGTGACACTGACAGGTGCTCCCTAGCAGAGCTCTCTTTGTTGTCTCCTACAGATATACAATAGATGTGACACTGACAGGTGCTCCCTAGCAGAGCTCTCTTTGTTGTCTCCTACAGATATATAATAGATGTGACACTGACAGGTGCCCCCTAGCAGAGCTCTCTTTGTTGTCTCCTACAGATATACAATAGATGTGACACTGACAGGTGCCCACCAAGCAGAGCTCTCTTTGTTGTCTCCTACAGATATATAATAGATGTGACACTGACAGGTGCTCCCTAGCAGAGCTCTCTTTGTTGTCTCCTACAGATATACAATAGATGTGACACTGACAGGTGCTCCCTAGCAGAGCTCTCTTTGTTGTCTCCTACAGATATACAATAGATGTGACACTGACAGGTGCTCCCTAGCAGAGCTCTCTTTGTTGTCTCCTACAGATATACAATAGATGTGACACTGACAGGTGCCCCCTAGCAGAGCTCTCTTTGTTGTCTCCTACAGATATACAATAGATGTAGCACTGACAGGTGCCCACTAGCAGAACTCTCTCTGATGTCTTCACTTTAGATGTCACACCTTGCCCACGTACCGGCAATTCATCAAACCACTTGCACTTCCTCTGCCAGATTTCCAGCCGCCGGTACCTCTGTAGAACCATGTTGTCAGTACGACCATTCAACTTGGCAGCAATCTTTGTCCAACTCTCTGTAAACACAATAATTCCATAATCAGAGTATTACGTTCATTTTAAATACTTATCCTGCATTACTTAATGCACCTTGCGCTTACTACCAAGGTCCTAACTGGAAATGAATGACAATCTATCAGCTTCTTCAGTAACTCTTTGGCCCAACATGACCTCCATGATCCTCGTGACACGTGGTGTTGGAAGACATGCCCCCTATATGTCATTATTCTCTTCTTCGCTAACTTATCATAAGTTCGTTATAAGTCACTCAAAAGAAACAGTGCCAAAGTTATATGCAGTGAAATGCCAGCAAATGTTTGCAACAGTCAACAATGGCCACAATCAGTGCAGGTGATGGTGCAGGTGATGGTGCAGGTGATGGTGCAGGTGATGGTGCAGGTGATGGTGCAGGTGATGGTGCAGGTGATCGTTCAGGTGATGGTGCACGTGATGGTGCACGTGATGGTGCACGTGATGGTGCATGAAGGTTCCTTATGTTCTGAATCTGCACAAAGCATCAGCTGATATTCTTAAATTGTTACTTATTTTTCAAATAAATATTTAAATTGAAGTTTACACGATACAAGGCTTTTCCATTGGAAGAGAGGCCGGTCACATAACCGACACAAATTGACGTTCACAGTATTTCACAGGACTGTATTCTTGAAATGATGTAAACACTGACGGACTTTTTCCAAATTCCCTACAACGAAGACATACAAAACTGTTGTTTCTGATCATGTAGACCCTTTAAACTTGAACTCAGCGCTTTAGCATACATTGTGAAACATCAGAGAGTTTGATTGCATGATCGTTCACTAATATCCTCATTACGACTAATCTTCGTGAACAAAACGTAGAAATGCACATCCACCGTGCAAGCTCTGACATTCAAACAGTTTGGGCCTCACCCTATAAGGGTTCATACTCCAATGAACTGACACAAATTGAAAGCCAATTCTTAATTATTATTTTTTAAAAAGCTTAATTCAATCTACCTGTCATGGCTGAATCTCATTGTCGATCTATATCTCCTACTAAAATATACCTCTCAAAATACCTTCATTTTTCAATTCTTGCCACGAACAAATCCATGTCATACTATGGATCCCCATATCTTCATGACGTTGCTACACAATGTTTCAAATTCATAGAATTTGTTTTTTCTTTGAACATGATTCTTAAAGATTTTTTACAGATTTATTCATTTAAAAGATCTAACTGTTTCATCTAGAGGCTTTTACAGTCTTGGATGTATATTCAGATTACAATCCCCCAAAAGTGAGGAAAGGAGGACAAAGAAGGGGATGGGGATGAGGGGATGGGGAGAGTGAGAGAAGGGAAAAGGTTCATGTGTGAAGGAAGGAGTGAGGATATTGGCAGCAGGAGGCAAGGAAAAGAGGAGAGGAGATACGGATGGGTGGATGACGAGATAAGGAAAGAAAGGAGGTGGGGAGAGGAGGGAAGTCTTGATCGAGCTGATGTCCTCATTACCCTGGAGCACTTACTGGTGCCTAGTTCTGTGATGGCCTTGAGCAGCTTCTTGTCTTCCTCATAGGACCAGTTGCCCAGCCTGATGCTGGGGTCGAGACTGTTCAGCCACCTGCACAAACACACATACAAGGTCTCTGATCACTCATCACGTGTCATCCCTCAAAGACATCGTCATCATCACACCAGCAGCTTCTGACTTCAAACATATTCTTAAAGGACCCCCTCACAAGCATTGGGTCGACACCCACATTATTTGCACCTTGTTTAGCATGATGAGTGAATTCCTCCTTTAATACTTTGAGAAAATTGGCATCATCAACCTGTTGTTGCTGCAAGAAGCATTAACTACGTCCAAGTACAACATCTTCCCGAGGCAAGAGAGTTAACTGACTTTAAAAGTCCAGTTTCCACCCTTGCCGAACTAGGCTGCAATTCCTGGGCTCGATCGTAGCGCCACCAGTGGCTATTATGAGTTATGTCCCTTCTAAGCCTCTCCTATGGACCAATCAGATTCAACCTCTCGTATCACTCGCATTTGCATCAAACAAAACAGCAGCGCCCAATCAAGACGATCTGATCGATAATCAAGAGCTATATTGTGATAAAACGGGTCTTACGTCGCGAAATGCATCAAATCACGTGAGCACCTTGATTAAAAACATGAAAAGATTCAGAAAATATCTGTTGACAACGAGTTGGCGGTGCACATGCTTTGCAAATCCTGCAAACGACTGAAATCAGCACAACAGTTTACGAACCTGATTTCAATCGTTGCGCGATTTTGATTGGACTATGAACAGACTCGTTAGTCCAGCCAAAATGTAACTCCATAATACCAGCCTAGTTCGGCAGGGTAGGAAACTTGACTTTTATAGTCAGTTTACTCTCTTGCCTCAGGAAGATGAAGTACAAAAACATCAAACACAAGTTGACCACATTGACAGGTTTTCACTGGACATAGTAATGATGATTTATTGAGTCAATATGAACATTGTCCTGCTGAACTTATGATTTCCAGACAAGAACAACTGACAAACTCAGTCATAGCAGTGTGACTGTAGGATGCCCGTCAGTGAGTGGTTTCGTGGTCAACAACTTTCTGAACAGTATTTCAGAAGGTGTCAGATTACTGTGGGAGGTCAACCCAGAGTGAAGCAGGACCTACATACTTCCAGCATAGTGCTGACAAACAAGGATCATAATCAGTCCAAGTCTAGGATTAAAACCCAGGATCAGCACATCCTGGTGCCACTACGAGGACACAACTCTGCACTTCAAGGACTGACACCTTAGACAGCTGGGCCCTTCTCACCTACTATGGAAGTCAATACAGCACAGTGCTCTATAAAACATGATTTGGTGAAAACCAAGAGCTTGCACTGCAGGATATACATATTTAATACCAATAGGTATACTGATATTTGGTAACATGTGTAAGAATTCAGATCATACTCTCATCTCGCTCAGAAAATACAAGAAATCTGTCAGAATGACACATGCTCATATATTAATCTGTGTATATAGCAGTCATTGAACTCTTAATCACTACTGACCTGTCTCTACACTGTATGGAGCTTCTTCCTGGGACAAATTCAGCCAATCGCATCCAGCTCTGAGTGCCACACATCTTCACAGCCGCAAACAGTTTCTGTAATCAAAGTGATACCAAAGTTATTACTAGCCTACTTCATAACAGCAACAACCAACAGTTGTCTCACATCATCAGCAAGTTTGTGTGGGGTGGGGTGGGGTAGGGTGGGGTGGGGTGGGGTGCAGTGGGGTGTGGTAGTGTGGAGTGTGGTAAGGTAGTGTGGAAAGCGGAGTGTGAGGTGGAGTTGGATGGTGTAGGTTGAGTGTTGGGTGGGGTTGGAAGGTGTAGGGTGGAAGGTGTAGGGTGGAAGGTGTAGGTTGAGTGTTGGGTGGATGGTGTAGGGTGGAAGGTGTAGGGTGGATGGTGTAGGGTGGAAGGTGTAGGGTGGATGGTGTAGGGTGGATGGTGTAGGGTGGAAGGTGTAGGGTGGATGGTGTAGGGGGGAAGGTGTAGGGTGGATGGTGTAGGGTGGAAGGTGTAGGGTGGAAGGTGTAGGGTGGATGGTGTAGGGTGGAAGGTGTAGGGTGGAAGGTGTAGGGTGGATGGTGTAGGGTGGATGGTGTAGGGTGGATGGTGTAGGGTGACGTGGGTGTAACGTCAAAAAGTGCAGGGTCTGGGGTGGGGGTCTGACAGTGTTGGGTCAGGGGTGGGGTCGGACAGTGTTGGGTCAGGGGTGGGGTCGGACAGTGTTGGGTCAGGGGTGGGGTCGGACAGTGTTGGGTCAGGGGTGGGGGTCGGACAGTGTTGGGTCAGGGGTGGGGTCGGACAGTGTTGGGTCAGCGATGGGGTCGGACAGTGTTGAGTCTGGGGTGGGGGTCGGACAGTGTTTTGATCAGGGGTGGGGGTCGGACAGTGTTGGGTCAGGGGTAGGGGTCAGACAGTGTTGGGTGTGGGGTGGGGGTCGGACTGTGTTTGATCAGGGGTGGGGGTCGGACAGTGTTGGGTGTGGGGTGGGGGTCGGACAGGGTCAGGGGTGGGGGCAAATGAGGGTAGAAAGGGGCCAGGTGCAGTGCTGACTGTCTCCACCTACCACATCCTCCTCTGTGCTCCAGGGCCCCCTCTTCATGTCCGGGTCGATCTGCTGGAAGCGGCTGAAGCAGTGGGTTCCACTCCGGTTCTCCATGTAGCTCGACACTGTCACACACAACAATTGTCTAAAACATCGATCTTACACACAATAACACAAAACAACACATTTGTGTAACTGTATTTGGCATGTGATTAGGTTTAGTTCAGACAAGTGATGATCCCAACTTTCTCACCTTTGGACCACAGCAATCTATGTCCGCTGTGACGAATGTCACTGACGACACCGAGTAGTTTCAGATCTTCCTCATTCTTCCAGGGTCTGAAACAAAACAGTAATCCATTGATTTCAACTTGTCCACGAACAACGACAATCTCCTTGATCATGCCAGGTGGGCCCACGTGGCCATGGTACCTCTGCAGTCCTGCACAATATTTATCCACCAACTCAAGAGGCAACTAACGGTATCGGGTGGTCAGGCTCGCTGACTTGGTTGATGCATGTCATCAGATCCCATTTGTGTAGATCGATGATCATGATGTCAATCACTGGATCGTCTGGTCCAGACTCAATTATTCACAGACCGCGGTCATATAGCAGGAATATTGCTGAGTGCGGCGTTAAACAACAAACAAACAGAAACGGTCACTACAGCTAGTAATTGTAATTTAGGAAAAAAGTCAAATGTTTTGCAGGTCATAGATGTTTGCCACACTGGTAAAACTCATATGGTAAAATCTTAGAAGCAAATCTGGCATTTGAATGCATGACAAAGTGGGGACTAAGGGACATAACTCTGCATGGAAAACACAAGCTCAGCCAGACCACTGGGCCAAATATGGACACCTTCAATAGAACACATAGCTTCACCTACCTGTTAGAATTTTCTGGATTAAGATTCATTTGGTAGTGCTGCAAGCACTGGAAGGCTGTACGTCCCGTCTGAAACAAGAGCATATCTGATTAGCGTCTGCGTGACATTATCACCTGCAGGTCGGCAGCGACCTTCTCCCAGTGTTAACCCTACACTGCTGTCTGCACCCACACCCAGGTCCATCTCACCTGCAGGTCGGCAGCAACCTTCTCCCAGTGTTACCCCTTGTTAACCCTTCACTGCTGTCTGCACCCACACCCAGGTCCATCTCACCTGCAGGTCGGCAGCGACCTTCTCCCGGTGTTAACCCTACACTGCTGTCTGCACCCACACCCAGGTCCATCTCACCTGCAGGTCGGGAGCAACCTTCTCCCAGTGTTACCCCTTGTTAACCCTTCACTGCTGTCTGCACCCACACCCAGGTCCATCTCACCTGCAGGTCGGCAGCGACCTTCTCCCAGTGTTAACCCTACACTGCTGTCTGCACCCACACCCAGGTCCGTCTCACCTGCAGGTCGGCAGCAACCTTCTCCCAGTGTTAACCCTACACTGCTGTCTGCACCCACACCCAGGTCCATCTCACCTGCAGGTCGGCAGCAACCTTCTCCCAGTGTTAACCCTTGTTAACCCTACACTGCTGTCTGCACCCACACCCAGGTCCATCTCACCTGCAGGTCGGCAGCAACCTTCTCCCAGTGTTACCCCTTGTTAACCCTTCACTGCTGTCTGCACCCACACCCAGGTCCATCTCACCTGCAGGTCGGCAGCGACCTTCTCCCAGTGTTAACCCTACACTGCTGTCTGCACCCACACCCAGGTCCATCTCACCTGCAGGTCGGCAGCGACCTTCTCCCAGTGTTAACCCTACACTGCTGTCTGCACCCACACCCAGGTCCATCTCACCTGCAGGTCGGCAGCGACCTTCTCCCAGTGTTAACCCTACACTGCTGTCTGCACCCACACCCAGGTCCATCATACCTGCAGGTCGGCAGCGACCTTTTCCCAGTGTTTCCCCCTGTTGACCCTACACTGCTGTCTGCACCCACACCCAGGTCCATCTCACCTGCAGGTCGGCAGCAACCTTCTCCCAGTGTTAACCCTACACTGCTGTCTGCACCCACACCCAGGTCCATCTCACCTGCAGGTCGGCAGCGACTTCTCCCAGTGTTTCCCCCTGTTGACCCTACACTGCTGTCTGCACCCACACCCAGGTCGGCAGCAACCTTCTCCCAGTGTTAACCCTACACTGCTGTCTGCACCCACACCCAGGTCGGCAGCAACCTTCTCCCAGTGTTGACCCTACACTGCTGTCTGCACCCACACCCAGGTCCATCTCACCTGCAGGTCGGCAGCGACCTTCTCCCAGTGTTTCCCCCTGCTGACCCTAACAAGTGCCAGCAGCTGTTTCTCCTCCTCGGGTTCCCACTTCCCACGGTTCACGTTGGGGCTGAGTACATTGTTCCACATGGTCTGACATTCCTGCCAGGTCTTCCGCCCATCGTACTGGAACACACATCACACATTTCACATTCCAACAATCTCATTAAACTCCGATCTTTCACTCTGACACAATAACTCTGTTTGAAGATCCAAACATGACAGATACACTGGTTTGGAAGCTACACTCACTTGAGTGAGTGAGTGAGTTGGGTTTAACGCCACTTTTAACAGTATTTCAGTCATATCACTGCATGTCAGCTTAATGTGGGAGGAAAGCCCAAAGTGATGCAGGTCTCAGACATTTACCACTTCGTTGAAACCCACGAGCACGGGTATGGTGCTGACAAACCTAGAAACATAATCGGGGCGAACCGGAATTCGAACCCACAATCACAGGTTTCAGGCGTGCCTAAGGGAAGCAACTCTGCACAGCGAATCGTGGCGTCTTAGATGACTGGGCCACCCATGCCCCCACACTCACTTGAACACAGAATGAGAACTTCAATGCTGATTTTCGGATTAGATAGTTCACCTTACGTCAATTGAAGAGAGGTATCGTATTGTAATAAATGATTTAATTTTTATGATGTTGGTGGCTTCACATACAAGGAATAATACTGTGTTTGTCGTAGGAGGCTACTCAAGGGGTCAACCAGTCAGGCTCACAGACTTGGTTTATGCATGTCACCATATCCCAATTTCATAGATTGATGCTCATGATATCAATCACTGGATTGTTTGGTCCCGACTTGATTACGTACACATTGCCGTCATATTGTTGAATATTGCTGTGTGCTGTGTTAAACCCCTGTGTTAAACAAACACACAAACAAACGTTTGCACACATACACTCACGCACTCACATCACTTTTTACATATTCGGGGTAGGCTCCACAACATAAGCGATCTCAGCCAGCCAAAACTGGTAGTGCACTTCCATTCAAAGACGGACCTGTACCAGCAACACTGCAGATTATCTTCCCTTGCACAAAAATGCTGAAATTCTGATGGATTGAGACCCATTCTATAACATGTATTTTCAACCTATTACGTCCTTTAAGAGGGACAACGTATCATGTTGGTAACAACATATTCACAGTCACCTATTTGGCTGAAATACTTACCGCAATATTTGATATTTTCATCCAGTCTGTTTTAGTTGTATCGACATTTTTTAAGAGGTCTGATCTGGAAGTTTTTCTGGAATAAATGATAGTATGTTGTAAAGACATCACTACAATGATACACAGAGTGATATTTCTGTCAGGGAGCACAACGGACCCAAACACTTAATGTCAGGGAGCACAACGGACCCAAACACTTAATGTCAGGGAGCACAACAGTGACAAACACTTAATGTCAGGGAGCACAACAGTGACAAACACTTAATGTCAGGGAGCACAACAGTGACAAACACTTAATGTCAGGGAGCACAACGGACCCAAACACTTAATGTCAGGGAGCACAACAGTGACAAACACTTAATGTCAGGGAGCACAACAGTGACAAACACTTAATGTCAGGGAGCACAACAGTGACAAACACTTAATGTCAGGGAGCACAACAGTGACAAACACTTAATGTCAGGGAACACAACAGTGACAAACACTTAATGTCAGGGAACACAACAGTGACAAACACTTAATGTCAGGGAGCACAACCGTGACAAACACTTAATGTCAGGGAGCACAGCAGTCCCAAACACTTAATGTCAGGGAGCACAACAGCCCAAACACTTAATGTCAGGGAGCACAGCAGTCCCAAACACTTAATATCAGGGAGCACAACAGTGACAAACACTTAATGTCAGGGACCACAACAGTCACAAACACTTAATGTCAGGGGGCACAACAGCCCCAAACACTTAATGTCAGGGAGCACAACAGTGACAAACACTTAATGTCAGGGAGCACAACAGCCCCAAACACTTAATGTCAGGGAGCACAACAGTGACAAACACTTAATGTCAGGGAGCACAACAGTGACAAACACTTAATGTCAGGGGGCACAACAGCCCCAAACACTTAATGTCAGGGAGCACAACAGTGACAAACACTTAATGTCAGGGAGCACAACAGTGACAAACACTTAATGTCAGGGAGCACAACAGTGACAAACACTTAATGTCAGGGAGCACAGCAGTCCCAAACACTTAATGTCAGGGAGCACAACAGTGACAAACACTTAATGTCAGGGAGCACAACAGTCCCAAACACTTAATGTCAGGGAGTACAACAGTGACAAACACTTAATGTCAGGGAGCACAGCAGTCCCAAACACTTAATGTCAGGGAGCACAACAGTGACAAACACTTAATGTCAGGGAGCACAACAGTCCCAAACACTTAATGTCAGGGAGCACAACAGTGACAAACACTTAATGTCAGGGAGCACAACAGTGACAAACACTTAATGTCAGGGAGTACAACAGTCACAAACACTTAATGTCAGGGAGCACAACAGTCACAAACACTTAATGTCAGGGAGCACAACAGTCACAAACACTTAATGTCAGGGAGCACAACAGTGACAAACACTTAATGTCAGGGAGTACAACAGTCCCAAACACTTAATGTCAGGGAGCACAACAGTGACAAACACTTAATGTCAGGGAGCACAACAGTCACAAACACTTAATGTCAGGGGGCACAACAGCCCCAAACACTTAATGTCAGGGAGCACAACAGCCCCAAACACTTAATGTCAGGGAGCACAACAGCTCCAAACACTTAATGTCAGGGAGCACAACAGTCACAAACACTTAATGTCAGGGAGCACAACAGTGACAAACACTTAATGTCAGGGAGTACAACAGTCCCAAACACTTAATGTCAGGGAGCACAACAGTGACAAACACTTAATGTCAGGGGGCACAACAGCCCCAAACACTTAATGTCAGGGAGCACAACAGTGACAAACACTTAATGTCAGGGAGCGCAACAGTCCCAAACACTTAATGTCAGGGAGTACAACAGTCCCAAACACTTAATGTCAGGGAGCACAACAGTGACAAACACTTAATGTCAGGGAACACAACAGCCCCAAACACTTAATGTCAGGGAGCACAACAGCCCCAAACACTTATTGTCAGGGAGCACAACAGCCCCAAACACTTAATGTCAGGGAGCACAACAGCCCCAAACACTTAATGTCAGGGGGCACAACAGCCCCAAACACTTAATGTCAGGGAGCACAACAGCCCCAAACACTTAATGTCAGGGAACACAGCAGACCCAAACACTTAATGTCAGGGAGCACAACAGCCCCAAACACTTAATGTCAGGGAGCACAACAGTCACAAACACTTAATGTCAGGGACCACAACAGTCCCAAACACTTAATGTCAGGGAGCACAACAGCCCCAAACACTTAATGTCAGGGAACACAGCAGACCCAAACACTTAATGTCAGGGAGCACAACAGCCCCAAACACTTAATGTCAGGGACCACAACAGTCCCAAACACTTAATGTCAGGGGGCACAACAGCCCCAAACACTTAATGTCAGGGAGCACAACAAACCTAAACACTTAATGTCAGGGACCACAACAGTCCCAAACACTTAATGTCAGGGACCACAACAGTCCCAAACGCTTAATGTCAGGGAGCACAACAGCCCCAAACACTTAATGTCAGGGAACACAGCAGACCCAAACACTTAATGTCAGGGAGCACAACAGCCCCAAACACTTAATGTCAGGGACCACAACAGTCCCAAACACTTAATGTCAGGGGGCACAACAGCCCCAAACACTTAATGTCAGGGAGCACAACAAACCTAAACACTTAATGTCAGGGACCACAACAGTCCCAAACACTTAATGTCAGGGACCACAACAGTCCCAAACACTTAATGTCAGGGAGCACAACAGTGACAAACACTTAATGTCAGGGAGCACAACAGTCCCAAACACTTAATGTCAGGGACCACAACAGTCCCAAACACTTAATGTCAGGGGGCACAACAGCCCCAAACACTTAATGTCAGGGAGCACAACAGTCACAAACACTTAATGTCAGGGAGCACAACAGCCCCAAACACTTAATGTCAGGGGGCACAACAGCCCAAACACTTAATGTCAGGGAGCACAACAGCCCAAACACTTAATGTCAGGGAGCACAACAGTGACAAACACTTAATGTCAGGGAGCACAGCAGTCACAAACACTTAATGTCAGGGAGCACAACAGTGACAAACACTTAATGTCAGGGAGCACAACCGTGACAAACACACAATGTCAGGGAGCACAACAGTCCCAAACACTTAATGTCAGGGACCACAACAGTCCCAAACACTTAATGTCAGGGAGCACAACAGTCCCAAACACTTAATGTCAGGGGGCACAACAGTCCCAAACACTTAATGTCAGGGAGCACAGCAGTCCCAAACACTTAATGTCAGGGAGCACAACAGCCCCAAACACTTAATGTCAGGGAGCACAACAAACCTAAACACTTAATGTCAGGGAGCACAACAGCTCCAAACACTTAATGTCAGGGAGCACAACAGCTCCAAACACTTAATGTCAGGGAGCACAACAGTCACAAACACTTAATATCAGGGAGCACAACAGTGACAAACACTTAATATTAGGGATATGTTCAAACAATTGTCAGAAAAAAACATTATTCCTTAAGTCTGGTGGTGTTCACGATATTCATCAGACATGGGAATAACAATTCACAAATGACCACTGCCAATTTGTGTGCCATCATAGTTATGAAACTGAGTTTAGAGAAAAAGCAGGGAACTCAATGTACTCCAATCTGATGCTGCATCTCAAACTGTACGAGTCCTTGTGAAGAACATGCAGGATTCACTTGACATCAGCATCTCTGACAGGAAAGATGAAGTATGGAGTAAGAGCCAAATCTGGCCCTGAATCCTAGAGCAGTTTGATCCCCAGCTAGCTGAGATTTCAATGTAATTGTTTACGACAAACGCTAACCATCAAAGGGAGATAACTCTAAATACCGGAAGTGATAACGAACGAACTCATGGTCAGTGTGGGGAAATTCTAAGATTGCTAAGTAACTGATACGTAATGGGAAGTGATCGAATATCGGTACATGTTGCCAGGATATCTAGTTAGGTTGTCAGCATGTAACAGAGATTGTAGTGACAAAAGGTTTGAGCCTGGGAATTGAATCAACAAGTCGAGCTGTGTTACGATCCTTCATAATGCACACAGTGCCTGAACAACGCAGCTGGTGACCCACCTCTTCTGTACCATGTCCTCCTCGATGGCGCGGATGCGGGCCCTGATTGCTGCAGCGTCCTTCCCACTGCATCTCTCCAGCTTGTCCTGCTCCAGCTCCTGTCTACACAACACCAACAGCAACGTCAGTCACAGCACCAGCAATGTCAGTCACAGCACCATCAGTCACAGCACCAGCAATGTCAGTCACAGCACCATCACTCACACCAACAGCAACATCAGCCACAGCAACACCAATGTCAGTCACAGCACCATCACTCACACCAACAGCAACATCAGTCACAGCACCATCACTCACAGCACCAGCAATGTCAGTCACAGCACCATCACTCACTCCAACAGCAACGTCAGTCACAGCACCAGCAATGTCAGTCACAGCACCATCACTCACACCAACAGCAACGTCAGTCACAACACCATCACTCACACCAACAGCAACATCAGTCACAGCACCAGCAACGTCAGTCACAGCAACATCAGTCACAGCACCAGCAATGTCAGTCACAGCACCATCACTCACACCAACAGCAACATCAGCCCGGCAAAAGCAACGTCAGTCACAGCACCATCACTCACACCAACAGCAACGTCAGTCACAGCACCATCACTCACACCAACAGCAACATCAGTCACAGCACCATCACTCACACCAACAGCAACATCAGTCACTGCACCAGCAACATCAGTCACAGCACCAGCAATGTCAGTCACAACACCATCACTCACACCAACAGCAACATCAGTCACAGCACCATCACTCACAGCACCAGCAATGTCAGTCACAGCACCATCACTCACTCCAACAGCAACGTCAGTCACAGCACCAGCAATGTCAGTCACAGCACCATCACTCACACCAACAGCAACGTCAGTCACAACACCATCACTCACACCAACAGCAACATCAGTCACAGCACCAGCAACGTCAGTCACAGCAAAATCAGTCACAGCACCAGCAATGTCAGTCACAGCACCATCACTCACACCAACAGCAACATCAGCCCGGCAAAAGCAACGTCAGTCACAGCACCATCACTCACACCAACAGCAACGTCAGTCACAGCACCATCACTCACACCAACAGCAACATCAGTCACAGCACCATCACTCACACCAACAGCAACATCAGTCACTGCACCAGCAACATCAGCCACAGCACCAGCAATGACAGTCACAGCACCATCACTCACACCAACAACGTCAGTCACAAGAGTATGACATACAATCAACAAAACAAGCCACCAAAACCTTCTTTGTCTGCTCTAACAAGTAACGGACACAGAATTTACTCTTCCCTAGAAACATCCTGATCCCCTCCATCTCTCTGTTGCCATGGTTACACTCACTTACCTCATCATCAGAGGTTGCAGCAGCTGTTGGAGGGCATCCTCAGCAATGGCTTCGTACAACTTCTTCCTGTCCCGATTCAGCCCTGAACACATTCCACCCAATGGAAATTAAATCAAGTGGGAAACGCTGGTGAGAAAAGCAACCACTATTGAATCCAACGACTACCTGTAACACCTTCTACCATAACACGGCCTGCTTTCTTGGTGTTGAGGTGTGCTGCTTCAGGGATTGAGCGAGTGAGTTGGGATCTTATTCTGTTTTCAACCTACCATATTCAACGTAATAAGCGCCCAGGGCGCTCTCAAAATTAGAAATAGGGGGCTCTTTTTAGAATATTATGTTGGTGAAAAAAACAGAGTTGAAAGATAAATTTCGTGGTTTATAGTGACAGCCTGAAATGTTTATGTACAACAGATACAACAGCTCCCCCATCGCACATGCTGAGTAAGAAGATAGTGTTTTTGAATATTAAAACTAGGAGTACTCCCATTAACATTATCACACATTCTAGTCTAGGGGTCAACAATGATATTCAGTAACTGGCATAACTGTAGATGCTCACCCTCCATTATCCAGTGTACTGTACGTCCGTTCTAATATGAGTGTGTGAGTTAAAATTTAATGTAGCATCAGCATTATTTTAGCCATATAGGACCCATTCTAATATAACAGATACCCAGGACCGATTCACCATCAAAGGTTCTCTTGGACATCACCATCTCCATCTCTCATAACTTGGCACCAGATTCCTCTTACACATGAAGGGGCGGTCGGGTGGCCTAGTGGTTAAAGCGTTCGCTCGTTACGCCGAAGACCCGGGGTTCGAATCCCGACATGGGTACAATGTGTGAAGCCCATTTCTGGTGTCCCCCGCCGTGATATTGCTAAAAGCGGCGTAAAACCAAACTCACTCACTCACTCTTACACATGAATGTAATCTGATTAGTCAGCTATTTTAAATGATGTTTAAACTATGGTTAACCTGAAGCAATGGTGGTGAATGGGTGCAGGGTATTTATCCCAACAGAAGGAGATAATACACCCTGGATAATGGAGGATGAGCTGGAACGTTGGACTTACAGTCTCTGTCCGGTGGAATATCCTGCTTGTGCTCCTTCATCAGTTGTTTCATTTGAACATCTTCATTTGGAGGGGGGCCCTAGAAAAGGGATTTGGGGTAGATAATTTACATTGGTGCTGAATGAATGATGCAAATTTCACTACCCTAATAAGTCTAGCAATATACAATAATTTCCATCACATTTTAGGTCTAATCGTGCTTATGTTGTCGCCAACTCAAAGATGAGAAGTCACACAGAGTTGTCTCCCATTAAATAACTGATGATAATTAGTGAGTCAGTGAGTGAGTTAGGTTTAACGCCGCTTTTAACAGTATTACAGTTATATCGCGTTGTGTCAGCTTAATGTGGGAGGAAAGCCCGAAGTGATGCAGGTCTCAGACGTTTACCACTTCGGTGAAACCCACGAGCACGGGTATGGTGCTGACAAACCTAGAAACATAATCGGGGCAAACCGGGATTCGAACCCACAATCATAGGTTTCTGGCATGCCCAAGGGACGCAACTCTGCACAGTGAATTGCCGCCTTAGACGACTGGGCCACCAGTGCCCCCTGATGATAATTAGGACAACAAACAAATTCCAAAACTTATAGATAGAAGTAAAAACTACAATAAGTTAAGTTGACAATTATTTGATTAACATTATTGAAGTTTGAAGGCCTCACCCCTCCAGCAGGGTCTTTGATGTAGGGCATGGAGAAGTGCTTGTACAGAACCTTGGACTGGGCAGAGTTCAGATTCTTCTCTCGCTGGCAAACAACATCCTTCTCAAAGTGTTGCTGTAACAAAATTTCAATTGCATCAGTTGCTCCTTTAGCCCCTGGGAATCGGATTACCGTAGTCGACGTAATAAGCACCCCGCTCTAATAAGCACCCATGGCGATATTTGCTAATATATTTGCTAGTGAACAATCCCAATTAGCACCCCTTCCGTTTGATCAATGTACACAAGACTTTTTGATTCGTGTATAATACTCACTCATGTGTTATATGCACCCTTAATTGTTGGCAATTAAATTCTGGAAATTATATCTGTCGTGTATGACACATACTTTTCTTTGGTATCATTTCAGGCTGTCAGCATAAACTACGGTACGAAATTTAAAAATTTTCAACTCTGTTTTTGTTCTCACCAAAATTATATTCTAATAAGAGCCCACTATTTCCAATTTTGAGAGCACCCCGGGCGCTTAATACGTTGAATACGGTAGATGATCTCCTGCAGCCCCTTCTTGTCTGAAGGTGAAACCTGTCACTGCACATTCACAGTAAATGTCACAGGAGTTCACATCCACATCCACAGTAAATGTAACAAGAGTTCACATCCACATTCATAGCAAATCTCAAAACAATATCTGTATTGGAAAGATCAGAATATTAATATCTGTGTCTCATAACAGATACCCTGGAATATACACAGGTCCACACTCACACCATTATCTTCTAAGTTCTGTTGAAAGCAGACAAACATAACTCCAAATAGCTCAGAATTTCAAAATAAAAATAAGAATCGTCATCCCTCAAATGAGTCTGTTAAATAGGTATGACTTACAATAGTGAGTTAGACCTCAAGTGAAAGTCTATTCATCAGTGAATACAGAAAAACTGACACTGGACAAATACTTTAGTAATAGAAACACTTGTGGACTAGTAACTTTTTTCAAAAATAGTCTGTGGGTCAAGAACTGACATAAAATCAAACTCTAGAAAGAGTATGATAACGATCATGTTTTGACGTAACCATGGAAACCGTGCTACCTGTTTCTGTCTGTTTTCCTCCAGTGAAGCCTCTGTCTGGCGGAGAACGTCCACAATCACTTCCTGGTAAGCTCGGTTCAACGCAAGGCATGACTCCACAGACACGGGCAACTCCGCGGACTCCGCATCACCAACATTTATCTCCTGCTCAAAATCTGTCACTTCCGATATCTGCAATCAGTGATGTGAGTCACTTAGCACAGTTGTGCAGGAGACATTTAGTATCTATTTACAACTAATGAGTGAGTGAGTGAATATGGTTTTACGCTGCTTTGAACGATACAGCAAGGTCAGGATACGATACTGATCTAGATACATAGGTAACGATACGAGTCTTGTTAGATAGGTAACGATATGCTACATATCGCGATACACATATTTACGTCAAATTGCATGGAAACTTCTTGACTATAAACATGATAAATATTTCAGAGCATGTTTTAAAGGAAAAGCTAGCTGTAGACACGTTTCAAGTGGTTATTTTTAGTAGTGAACTTGATATGCTAATTACAACACATTTTCTGTTATTTGACTGACAAAATTGCTGGGGTCATCATAGTCATTAAAACAATAAATAGCTTCATTTTATTGCACTGGATGCTACAATGATAAAATATGAAAGTTGTTTTTTCTCAACAAGCCCTTTGTTGAAATCAATAAATCCTTGTTGACTAAGTCCCTGCTTAACAAGCCCTTTGTTGAAATCAATAAATCCTTGTTGACTTAATCCCTGCTTAACAAGCCCTTTGTTGAAATCAATAAATCCTTGTTGACTTAGTCCCTGCTTAACAAGCCCTTTGTTGAAATCAATAAATCCTTGTTGACTTAGTCCCTGCTTAACAAGCCCTTTGTTGAAATCAATAAATCCTTGTTGACTAAGTCCCTGCTTAACAAGCCCTTTGTTGAAATCAATAAATCCTTGTTGACTAAGTCCCTGTTCTTCAGACATCAACTAAGCAAATAAAACTTTTAAAATAAAAATAAAAAGTCAACAAATCGGCATTCTCAGATTCTTCACGTACCTCAGTGCCATCAAAATGACTTGCAGAAGATTCAGCAAAGCTGGAATGGGTTCGAGCATCTGCAACACAACGTTATGTTAGTCAATTCTTGTCCTAGGAAAGTCATGGTTGTCTCACCCAACCCATCTTCCCGAGGCAAGTGAGTTAACTGACTTTAAAAGGCAAGTTTCCACCCTTGCCGAACTAGGCTGGAATTATGGAGTTACATTTGGGCTGGACTAATGAGTCTATGCATAGTCCAATCAAAATTGCATAACAAAATCGAAATCCGGTTTGTAAACTGTCATTCAGACTTCTGACGATTGCAGGATTTGCAAAGGATGTGCACCGATAACTCGGCATCAGCAGATATTTTCCAAATTTTTTCATGTTTATAATCAAGGTGCTCACGTGATTTGAAGCAGTTTGCGATGTTAGACCCGTTTTATCACAACATAGATCTTGATTATTGATCAGATCGTCTTGACTGGCCGCCGCCATTTTGTTTGAAGCAAATGCAAGTGATACGAGTGTTACAACTTGTAACAACTACTGGTGGTGCTACAATCCAGCCCAGAAATTCCAGTCCAGTTCCGCAAGGGTTCAAACTGGACTTTTATCGTCAGCTAACTCCCTTGCCTCGGGAAAATGCATCCAACCAGTTCACTATTTTTCTGTTATCTTTATGTGCAAGTAGTCATTTTAAGCATCACTGGAGTTGCATCCATATCACGTGGCTTATCAATTATTAAGGACAAGAAGTCATTTGTGTTTGTGATAGAGTGGAGAAAAGGATTTACAGCAATTGTTTAACATTTAAATCATATTATGAAACAGAATGGTCTTCACACACAGTGACAATTGCAATCTCAATAAAATCAGATCTTAGTTCTCCTTACCAATAAACATGATAAACATCGATTTGAGGACATCCCTTCACAGGTCACGACCTTTCACAAACTTTGACCAACCAGTGAAATGACTAACAAGAAGTCGAAATTAGCCAATCAGAAGGCAGCTTTCTCGAGCTATGCAGCACTTGTTTCAAACTGGCGACTTCTAATCCAGACTACACTTTGAAAAATATTTTGACAAATTTCTCGAATAAAAATTTGAAACTGAACAAAAGAACATTCTGGAATAGAATAGATAGCCGAGGTTGTATGGCAGGCTATATATAGTCTCTTCTGTTCAAATGTTTATCCCCTTGAAGAAAGACAGATGATGATTTTGACAGAGTACAGCCCATAACTGTTGTTTGGAATAACTTGTGTTAACCTTTTGAAGGTTGCATGATTAGAAAACACCTTCTTCCCGAGGCAAGGGAGTTAACTGACCATAAAACCACCCTTGCCGAACTAGGCTGGATTTTCAAGGCTCCACCAGTGGCTATTACGAGTTATGTCCCTTCTATGTTCCTCTTATTGACCAATCAGCATGGTCAGATTACATATCTCATATCACTTGCATTTGCTTCAAACAAAACTGCAATAGTCAAGATCTGTATTGTAATAAAACGGGTCTTACCCCGCGAAGTGCATCAAATACGTCATGTGTACCTTGATTAAAAACATGCAAGAATTTGCAAAATATCTGACGCCCTGTTGGCGGTACACATGCTTTGCAAATCCTGCAGTCGACCGAAATCTGCAAAATCCATGTCTTTTACGAACCGGATGTCTTGTTGATTACGCGATATTTTTGGACTAAGCATAGCCTCGTTTGTCCAATCAAGGTGAGTGAATTTGTTAACCACTAGGTTACCTCACTAACCTTCAAATGGTTAATGTTTTACTTACAATAAAACAAGCTGTCTGTAAATTGAATTATTTTCCTTCACTTTTGTTTTATTCACATGATGTACAGACATGTCTGTACAATGTACACAAAAGATTTTGAGCTCACAGGTAATATCCCAGCAAACAAACATAACTGATTCTTACAGACAGTTCATGCATATAATTCATGTGATATTATTATAAAGTCCAGGTACTTTTTGATAAACAGATATAGCCGTATCGATACGATTTCTCTCCCTTGTCAAACTGAGTGTGAGGCCTGGCTTTTACTCGCAGCGACTAATGAATTAACTTTTATCAGTACAATATGCATAATTAGATAAAATAATGACACCTGATTTAGAGAACACAAATAATCATAAAGGTTCTTTCCTTGTCAAACTGAGTCAAACTGAGTGCGAGGCCCGGCTTTTACTCGCGGCGACTAATGAATGAACTTTTATCAGTACAATATGCATAATTAGATAAAATAATGACACCTGATATAGAGAACACAAATAATCATAAAGGTTAGTGAGTGCATTTGTTCTGTTTTGCGGACATGACAAGTACCGCGATACCCCGAGGTTGCAGTCTAACATGTTTTACATTACATGTTTAATATTATGATACTTTTCCTTAACTTGACAATGTTAACAAGCTACCTGCCCAATTCTAATACACATACTGAAACTAAAAATACATATGGACACTTTAGTTTGTTATTTTACCCCACAGTCAGCGATATTCCAGCACTGACTCACACCCCTCGTATCAACTTTCAAGGGTATCATCATAAATAATTGAGGGGCGGTCGGGTAGCCTAGTGGTTAAAGCGTTAGCTCGTCACGCCGAGGACCCGGGTTCGATTCCCGACATGGGTACAATGTGTGAAGCCCATTTCTGGTGTCCCCCGCCGTGATATTGCTAAAAGCGGCGTAAAACCTCACTCACTCACTCACTCACTCACTCACTCACTCACTCATAAATAATTGATAGATATTATAAAAGAAGTACATTAATTCTTCGATACGTAATAAAGATAGGATCCGCCAAAGTACTTTCTACCCTCAATATATTTCATGACATTGCGATAACGTGGTGCGGACGTACCGTCATCAGTTACGGTCAAAGCGGACGGATTCCTTTCAGAACTTCCTAAGTCGATTTCCAGGCAGGAATCGTCGCTGCTGTCGTACTCGCTGTAGCTATCCTCGTATAGAGTGTCTTGGATTTTTTGAATGTCGTTTTGTAATTTCAAGCGTTCGTTTTCAACATCTTGACTCGTGTGGGGCTCCATTTTAGGTTGACAGTTGAACTGGTACAAATAATTCAATTGTTAAAAAAGTCAAAATTTCCCCGGTTCCATGCACGGCGCCATTTTGTTGCATCGTGTAGTATTTTCCTGTCAGCGTATAATTTGTCACTGAAAAAGAGTAAAATAACTTAGTTAATATCTACTTCTAATGTCAATAATTATTTTAAAAATACTTATTTTAAATCAGTGTATGACACGTTTAAAAATATAATATCTATTCCACAATAATGGATATAGGAAAAGAATACTTGTTTTTATTTTTAGATAGTGTTAAAAAGTAGTATGACGATAATGGAATAGCTCAAAAGTAGGGGTGACAGGTATATTGAGACTCGAATCATATGGGGGTTGGGGACAGTTTTGCACAAACACTCTGTCACTAGTGAAAGAGATCCCACTAATTAACCGAACAAATTACAGACGAATCCAAGCTCTGTCATTTGATAAGACGAATGCAACTACATCCTCGCCGGTCTCGTGACTTCAGCTTGAACTACACGCGCGAGGGTCACTTCCGGTGCCAGTACACGAGTGAACAGATTAGTGGCACTGGACAGGTTATTCATGCACGCATAGTGTTTGTTTTGCAACTTCTGAAGGTAATCTATGTATTTGTTTAAGTTTTGAACAGAAAACGAGTCGATATTAATTTATATTATGCTTTCAGTGAAAACTGCCGCCTATCTCACAGCTTACATGAGCCCAGTGTTATATGCATATTGATTTTTGACGCAGTTCACATAACCAGCTGATTACGCGTTATGTCAGCTTACCCTTCTCCTTATCAAAGCAACATCAATGTAAGGATCTTTGTGCTTGTCTGAGCCAATATTTTTTGGAAGTTTGCAACTGAATGCAGATTCTTGACAGTACAACTGTGCAGAGGATTTACATGTATGCATATATGGTTTTAAGGCATTTTGTCATCCATCAAAGAGTCACTAGACTCTAGCTTCTACGCTGCTGTCTCAACACAACCGACTAGGTCTCTTTAGCTGCCGTCAGCTGATTTGCTCGCTAACTTAACTAAGAGTAACAAGAGTCTGGGCTACCGTCTGTTGTGACAGTGGAAATAAACTTTGAGGCAATATCTTTTAATGATTTCTAAATGCTGATTGGTCACCTGTGATCTATGAAGATTTTGATATTAAAAGGGTGCATGTTAACTTTAATTTCTTCAACCTAAACAAATAGAAAAAAACAGTGGAAGCTCTTTGGATGTCATTATTTGGAAATACCCTTGATGGGTATAGTTTCAAAAATAAAAAAAGAGTATCGTAGCAAAAGCACGTTCGGTTTTCTGATTGCGTGGATGATTAGTTGGCTGAGATTGATTCTAATCCCATTTGGGGTGGTCGGGTAGCCCAGTGGTTAAAGCGTTCGCTCTTCACGCCGAAGACCCGGGTTCGATTCCCGACATGGGTACAATGTGTGAAGCCCATTTCTGGTGTACCCAGCCGTGATATTGCTGGAATAATGCTAAAAGCGGCGTAAAATCAAACTCACTCACTCACTCTAATCCCATTTTTGTGTTTCAGAGTGTGATAGTTAATCATGTCATGCAATAATGGCATGTCAACAGACCTTTACTGTAATAAATAAACATTTAATTGATGAAACCAAATTTTGCCATTGCATGTGGTTATTGCATACTTTCTACTATCGGATGTAAACTGAACAAGAAGATAAAGTCTTCAATATCCCCCGCCCCTTTGAATATGCGCATTAATCAAACAATGTATGTGTTATATAAATGGTTATACAATGAAACTTCGATGGCAACAAGGGAATAGTACTTGTCATTCACTTGATGCTCAGTTAATGAATTTATTACCAGCATAATTAGTAGTGGCACCACTCAGATTACCTGACAAAGGTTACCATTTGGCATTTCCCATGTCTGGAGTAATTATTCAATCTAAAATTGGGTTATAAATCTAGGTCTGATGTGGTGAATGTATTACATATCATGCAACATGTACATGGCAGTGCACCAACTCTGCATCAACTGTATTTGATATCCCTTGAACAAAAATTATTTTTTGGGCTAACCTCTTGGCCTTACTTGAGTTCATACCCTTAAAAAATGTTTATGTAATAGATTGTCACGGATCAAGTACGCTATTATTCATACTACGTTATATCTCCTTTGATCAAGCTTTTAACATGTTAAACATATTTTTCTTTGAGCATATAGCCTTGGGTTAACTGTCTTCCAGCACATCAATTTTAGATGAATGAGGTTAGAATTGGTCCATGGAAGACGCAACTAACAGGATCAGGTGGTCACGCGGTGACTTGGTTCATGCATGTCATCATTTCCCATTTGCATAGATCGATGCTCATGATGTCAATCACTGGATTGTCTGCTCCAGACTCCATATTATTTACAGACCATATAGCTAGAATATTGCTGAGTGCGGATTTAGACAACAAACAAACAAACATTGCTCATAGCAGACTAAGGTGGTCACAGTTTACACAAACAAGACCAGAGCATGTGAGATCTGTGTGTGGATTGTTGTGGGAATATGAAGAAAGAACAAGGTATGTTGATGGTTATAATTGGGGCACTGGAAACAAACAAGACTAAGTTTCGGAAAGCTTTTAGCCCTTAACTTCAAGTGAAAAGGCTTGTTTCTGGAGTCTCTTGAGTCAGTAGAACCAAAGCTTGTCTGTCATCAAAAAGAATCTTCCCAATCGCATTAAAATCAGATCTTAGTTCTCGCTACCGCTAAACAAAGATCTGAGGACATCCCATTACGGGTCACGTCAGACCGACCTTGCGCGAACTTTGACCAACCAATGGAATGACCAATCAGAAGGCAGCTTTCTCGTGCCTTACCGCACAAATTTTAAATTGGCGACTACGCTTCGAGACATATTTTGACAAATTCTCAATTACAAATTTGAAACCTGAACAAAAAAATTCTGGAATGGCTAATAGATGGTCTAGATTGTAAGGATTCAGTCGTTAAACCTCGAACTATCTTTCGATATACCCCATGTTAAAGTGCATGATTAGAAATCACATTCCGACTGTCACTTTCATAATCTGGTAAGCGACGCACTGATTGGTCGGATGAAAGGTCGTTCTGACGTGACCCCTAATGGGATGTCCTCAGATCCTTGTTTAGCGGTAGTGAGAACTAAGGTCTGTTTTAATGAGATTGGGATCTTCCTACCCTAAGGGAGTAAAATATACTCAATATCCAAAGAAACTTGTGAGCGATGACATGTGAGTAAATACTTAATGGGTCAAACAATTATCTGGGGCCCTGAACTATTAATTAGTTAGTTGTTTGATCAGTTGCACAAATCTATCACAAACACTGATTAACGATGAAGGCCAAGTGACTCAGTGTATCAATGTACAACTCAGGGGTTATCTGTCTAGACTTTATCTCTAAAGTTTTGACTCGTCCAAGCCCTCATCTGACATCCGAGATTTTATGTTCCTAATTATATACATCTGTAGTTAATAGGGCTTACAAAAATGATTGGTAATCGGAATTAATGTCGATGGGAAGAAATCTTAACTATTGTCGATGTGAAAATTGTGTCATTGATAATATCTTACATAAACAATTGGGATGAATGAAGGTTTTGATTTACCAAAACAGACTTGTAATTGTCAATATGTCAATTGCTGAAGAAGGAAAGTAACTGCTTTTGTTATATCTCAGATGTTCACAATTGCCCTCAAAGAAATGTCTGCATAAATGTGCCATCACTCACCAGTGGAATGAAATAGGTTGATTTCTTTCAGTTTCGTTTTTTTCGTATTTGCTCAAAGTTACTTCTCCCATATTTATCAATAATTGATCGATATTTAGTTGATGATTATTGATCTCTATGATCTGTATCGGTAGCCAGCCCTAATAGTAAATAGGTTTAGTTTGAGTGAGTATGGATTTATTCCACTTTTAGCAATATTCCAGCAATATCATGGCGGGGGACACCAGAAATAGGCTTCACACATTGTACCCATGTCGGGAATCGAACCCGGGTCTTCGTGACTAGCGAACGGTTTAACCACTGGGCTACCCTACTGCCCTTATTTGAGTGCAACCAGGTTGTGATGTCAACTTGTACCAGGTGCTAGCTATATCTCTACTAGTTCCTTAAATGAAACCCTGCCTTGGCCGAGGTAACATGTTTCACTGATAACAAGGCCCAATAAACAGGGGGAGAAACTAACATATTTAGTCCACTATTCCTTATAATGATAACATATAGCAAAACCCTTAAAAATGGCAAATTTCTATTTGTCCTTATGATACCTTAACTTTTGGCCAGTTTGGCAAGGACTAGTGCCAATTTCTAACGCTGATAAAGAGGAAGAGAATTGAATGTTAAAATACCTTTGAAATTAATAAAGTAAGAACTTAAAAAACAAAACAATTTTAAATAGTATTACACAGGGCTTGCTTTAGCTATATAAAACATGGCCAGTGCAACTTATTATTGAAAACTGCAAGTTAATATTTCTGTTAACATGCACCAAGTGCAAGTAAAACTATACGAAAGTTGTGTCTGACTACGCCTTACTCGTCCACACAACATCGATCTTTGAACACACTCCATACAGCTAAGGTTTATTTACCATAATTCATCACAATTTTGTTTTTTGTATGTTTTTGTGGGAATGCTGTCATCAAACTTATGTGCACATGCTCCCATTATGTTTTACAGCAATGTCAATCACTAGATTGTCTGGTCCAGACTCAATTATTTACAGACCGCCTTCATATAGCTGGAATATTGCTGAGTGCGGCGTTAAACAACAAACAAACAAATATTAATTAATGTGACACCGTCACCAGACTGCCCTATGTTTCAACTTTGATTATTTATGGACCAGGTGCAACCTGGTTTTGTCTTGTGCAAATGGGTTTTCTTGTCAACATGTACCTGGTGCAAGTTAAATCAAGTTACTTAAATCCCTTAGAGGCGACTATGCTTGTCGTAAGAGACGACTAATGGAATCGGGTGGTCAGGCTTGCTGACTTGGTTGATGCATGTCATCATATCCCAATTGCGTGGATCGATGCGCATGATATCAATCACTGGATTGTCTGGTCCAGACTTGATTATTTACAGATCGCTGTCATAAAGCTGGAATATTGCTGAGTGCAGCATTAAATAACAAACAAACACAAAAAATCCAAGAAACAGAAAATCTGACAAGCTCTTTAAGAAGACACTCAAAACCTGTCTCTTCCAGAGCACCTTTGACTAGATCAATCATGGTCTAAGTGTATTTGGGTGTTTGTTAATCATGTTAATTGGAAAATGCACTATACAAATTTTCTTAATTTAATTTTTATTTAGTTTGACATCTTTGATAAACCCCTGCCTCCGTTTCAGGCAGTGGATGATGATCAGTGGATGGTCCTGTGTGGAGAATGATTGAAGAAGATTGGTGCACAGCCGAGCGTCATGGCTGCCAGTATACAGATCGACCAACCCCAGAACATCAATGCGATGTTCACCCTTCTGGAGTCGTCAGACATCGACGTGGCTGACGACATCCGGAAGCTCATCCTTGACAATCTCACCTCAGGCAAGCCTCAACATCACATCCTTTGCCAAGCAGTGTCCGAAATAGCTGCCTACTCGCTACCCAATGGCTGTAACATTTTGTTGGGATGGGTGAAATATTTGCCTACTTGTCTGACTATTGAATGGAATATTGAGTTGCTGCACTGATCAGGCATAGATATCTGACTCACTTTTATGAGAGGGAGAGCTGCCTTTGTTTTCAAAGCTTAAACAAAGACAGGTCGGCTCAGAGTCAGTAACTGTGTCCGAGTGGTGTATTCATGTTAAACTGGGGGCACGGGTGGCCCAGTCGTCTAAGGCGCCGCGATTCGCTGTGCAGGGTTGCGTCCCTTGGGCACGCCAGAATCCTATGATTGTGGGTTCGAATCCCGGTTCGCCCCAATTATGTTTCTAGGTTTGTCAGCACCATACCCGTGCTCGTGGGTTTCACCGAAGTGGTGAATGTCTTAGACCTGCATCACTTCGGGCTTTCCGCCCACATTAAGCTGTCACGCTGTGATATAACTGGAATACTGTTAAAAGCGGCGTTAAACCCAACTCACTCCCTCATGTTAAACTGCGACATGGTATCTCAGTGGGCTAGCACTATTAAATCGGCATTAGCCCGGACTAGTACAAGCAGCCAAACACACACGTGCATGCATGTTGCTATGCAAGTGAAATAATCTTGGATGCAACGTTAAAGCTCACTTCACCTTACCTCACTAAATAGCATATTAGCTGGTGTAGTCAGTGACGTAAACAAAATACTTGGACAACTTATAGGAAAATATTTCAGGTCCAGTGCCCAGCCATAACAAGTATTACTAGCGTACACTCTTTGTGCCATTAAGTGATGGGCACATCACTGTTATTTTCTTAGGGACAACTGTTAATATACTTGGCAAAATAAGGCTTAAAAAATAAAAGAATTGGTTCTCAGGCAATGTTTTTTGAAAATAAAGTGAGGGCAGGGGGTGTCTTGTATTGGGGCGGGGGGGGGGTTGTGTTTTTTTGTTGGGGGGTGGGGGTGTTCAAACCAACATGTAACCAATAACCAGTTGTGTAATCAATTAACACTTATGTACAATCAACCTGGGAAAGGGCCTCCCTACATAAATGTATTCCTTGATGAGTAAAATACTGGAATACAGTATTTTACCAATGTTGGACTTGAAATATTTGAGGATTTTTTAATTTATTTGGAAATAAACGAAACATGCCGCGAACTTAATGATGATGTGGGCGGTGCCTGAGAACCAAGACTTTTAGCCTAATAATGACAGCCTTCATTATTTTGTTATATTTGACATCAGGGAATGTTGGGTTTGTGGATCTGTAAAGCAGGTAGTGACAAACTTACTCCACCCAACTCACTGCCTCGTGTATGTCTGCAGGGCGGGAGGCATGGCTGATCCACACTCTGGTCGACTATTACTATGTCACCCATTCTGTCAGGATCGAGGAAATCCTAGCTGAGGTCCGGGAACCGCAGGACAAGGTAAGCATTTGTGATGTTCTACACGACCTCAGAATGTCTGTAGCCTCTTGTTGTGTATTCAGTCTGCATGAAATGAAAACAGGTTGTCTCAGGTGATGACAGTCCTCATCTCAATCAGTGCGGACCATGGCAGTCTTGTTGAAAGTCCTATTTTTGAACTGTACAAAGCAGTTTTTGCTATATGGAAATGATCAGATGACAAAGTTATCTATTCCTGCCAAGTTTCAGCCTTTGTTAGTTGTGGCCAGGGCCCTGTTCCACAGAGCAACAGTAGCGCTAAGATGATCGTAACTCTCATACTTTAACATTGATTTATGACAGTCGTAGTACTAAGATGATTGTAACTCCCATACTTCAACATAGGCTTTTGACAGTCGTAGCGCTAAGATGATCGTAACTCTCATACTTTAACATTAATTTATGACAGTCGTAGCACTAAGATGATTGTAACTCCCATACTTCAACATAGGCTTTTGACAGTCGTAGCGCTAAGATGATCGTAACTCCCATACTTCACAATAGGCTTTTGACAGTCTTAGCGCTAAGATGATCGTAAGTCTCATACTTCAACATAGGCTTTTGACAGTCGTAGCGCTAAGATGATCGTAACTCCCATACTTCACAATAGGCTTTTGACAGTCGTAGCGCTAAGATGATCGTAAGTCTCATACTTCAACATAGGCTTTTGACAGTTGTAGCGCTAAGATGATCGTAACTCCCATACTTCACAATAGGCTTTTGACAGTCGTAGTGCTAAGATGATCGTAAGTCTCATACTTCAACATAGGCTTTTGACAGTTGTAGCGTTAAGATGATCGTAACTCCCATACTTTAACATTGATTTATGACAGTCATAGCGCTAAGATGATTGTAACTCCCATACTTCAACATAGGCTTTTGACAGTCGTAGCGCTAAGATGATCGTAACTCCCATACTTCACAATAGGCTTTTGACAGTCTTAGCGCCAAGATGATCGTAAGTCTCATACTTCAACATAGGCTTTTGACAGTCGTAGCGCCAAGATGATCGTAACTCCCATACTTCAACATAGGCTTTTGACAGTTGTAGCGCTAAGATGATCGTAACTTTCATACTTCAACATAGGCTTTTGACAGTCGTAGCGCTAAGATGATCGTAACTCTCATACTTGAACATAGGCTTTTGACAGTCGTAGCGCTACAGTCGTTTCATGGAACAGGACCAAGATGACAAGATGACCAACTTTATTTTCACATGTCCTATTTCAGCCACTGCTGGACAAGCTACAGGATGGGTTGAAGAACAAGGAGAAGCTCCAGTCTCTGCAGCTACTGATGTACATTGTCTACAAACAACCCCCCTGGACGCACAAGATAGTGGAATCTCCCATCTTCTCTACATTGCTCAAGTGTCTCAAGGTTAGACTGGAAGGTTAAGTAGGGACTGCCCCATGGTCCCAGATATTGTAATTAGTGTCAAATCCATGGTTTGCACTGACACAAGTACCCTGAATATTTCACAAGAATATGCAATTAATTTTCCCAATGGTGGTGGAAACAATTAGCACGCGATGAAATTCTTAAATTCTCAGAGATATCCTACAATGAACTTATTCCAAATAGATCTTTGGAATTCTTGCAATGAGGTCAAAGGCCAAGGTCATGAGATAGAAAAAATTCATTCAAAAGATTTTGTTACACTTTCTCAAAAAGTGTTAATGCATGTGCCATTAAGCTTTGTATATACCTTCTCTGAAAGGTTTTGGTCAAAATATATCAAAGGTCAAGGTCAGTCAAACCATTGAAAGTTTCTGAGGCATGGTTCTACATCCATGAAATTCTTACAGTTGCATGTATCTTTACAAATCCTACCACAGGTATTGCTGGTGTATGTCTGCCAAAGGTCAAGGTCAAGGTCATCTTTGAGTTTATTGTGAAACATGGTTGTATCATTAATTATCAGTTACTGTATAACTTTTTCTGACACAATCCTGAGACTTGGCATTTGTTTGATCTTAAGAATTGTCTTGATTAAGGTCAAGGTCTGAAAGTAATGTTTTTGTATTTAAGACCTAGGAGCTTTGAGGAAGGGAGCTGTTACTGTTTTTGCCTGTACTTGCAAACACTTCTAGTTTCAAAGGGACAGATAATCCACACATCCAAGTGTAGTTCACTCTGTAAGTTACCCATTGGGTCGACACATCAGCTCAGTCAGCCTAGTGTTGGAACGTGGTATGTGACCAGTGAAGATCTGGATAAGAATATGTCTTCAGCAAGCCATGCTTGTCATAAGAGGCGACTAACGGGATTGGGTGGTCAGGCTCGCTGGCTTGGTTAATGCATGTCATCATATCCCAATAGCGTGGATCGATGCTCATGATGTCAATCAATGGATTGTCTGTTCCAGACTAGATTATTTACAGACCGCCATCATTTAGCTGGAATATTGCTGAGTGCGGCGTAAACAACAAACAAACAAAATAAACAAAATGTGGTATGAAACCATTGCTGATGTCGTGAACAATGAATGACTTTATCTGGCAAAGGCAAAGACGATTAAACAGATGGGCCAGCCAAACAGCCAGAAACAAAATTTATGAAATGCTCACTGAGTGAGAATCACTAAAAATTATTTCACTGACATCACCCCAGTGGGTAATATACAATCTTACCTGAGTATCTTACCTGATACAATATGATGACGTTCATTGCACTTTCTCAATGAAACGACCATCTCTGTTGTCTAGTGGATTGAGCATCTGCCCAGAGAGCGGAAGGTCGTGGTTTGATCCTCGTCCGCATCACATGAAGTAAGGAGTAAAGGAGTAAAGTATGGTACTTGTTGTTACCCTTCCTGGCACTTGTCATTAAGGGGCTAAAACAAGGACTGGTCAGCTCGGAGTCAGCATACTGTGTCTGAGAGGGTATCCATGTTAAACCTACAGCTGAAGTCAGTGGGCTAGCACTACAAAACCAGCTTTGGTTTGGTCCTATAAAAGCAGCCCCACACATACACCACTCTATATAAGTGCAATAATCTTAAATGCAACGTTAAACCCCCTTTCACCTCACCTCTAAGTGAAACACTGATGAAACAGAAGCATGTGTGTTATTACAGAATGCTAATGACATCCCGGTTGTGATGACTGCGCTGATGATCGTGACGATGCTGTTGCCGGTTGTCCCTGTCACCATTGCATCCCATCTGCAGGAAATATTTGACATCTTCATGAGGCTCTCTACATTCAGTATTAAGAAACCAGGTGAGAACCCGTGGCTGAAAGGTCATTGAAGGAGAACCAGGACAAGGTAGGATAAGGGTTGGTTGGTTGGTTTGTTGTTTAACGCCGCACTCAGCAATATTCCAGCTATATGACGACGGTCTGTAAATAATTGAGTCTGGACCAGACAATCTAGTGATTGATATCATGAGCATCGATCCACGCAATTGGGATCGATGACATGTATCATCCAAGTCAGCGAGCCTGACCAGCCGATCCCGTTAGTCGCCTTTTACGACAAGCATAGCCGCCTTTTACGACAAGCATGGATAAGGATAGGATAAGGGCAAACAGGATCTGCATGAGTTAAGAATGAATAAAACATGCAAGTTTATACTAGACTTTGTTCATTTCAACAGTATAAGCATAGGTGCAGATGAAATGTGCCTCAGGGGATGACTTTAGATATTGCTGGAATATTGCTAAAAAAGGCGTTAAAACCTCACTCACTCACTCACTCACTCACTCACTCACTCACTCACTCAAGGAGGCAAGGGGCAGTAGGGTAGCCTAGTGGTTAAAGTGTGCGCTCGTCATGCTGAAGACCCGGGTTCAATTCCCCACATTGGTACAGTGTGTGAAGCCCATTTCTGCTGTCCCCCGCCATGATATTGCAAAAGGGGTGTAAGAACGTACCCTTGAGATAAAGACAAACTTAAGGTAAAAATTGTGTTGTTAAAACCAACTCACTCACACATTCTATTGTGAAAAAACTCAAAATCGCCATCATGACAGTTGTCTGAAAAAGGGTTTAAGAAATCATTTGATTATCCATCGTATCCATGTACCAGACGATCTGATGATTTCCCTGCCTGTTTCACCAGATGATTGTCTCCTTGTTTAGTATTGTACTGTACTGATACTCTACCTGCTTGTCTCCCCTTGCAGCCAACACTCCGGACATATTCCTGCTGCACCTCCAGGTGGCGCTGTACAGCATGCTGCATCGCCTGTACGGAATGTACCCCTCCTCCTTCCTCACATACCTCCACCAGCAGTATCGAAAGAAGGACAATGCTGTCGTGTTTGACGAAGTCATCATGGTGAGATTTGACAGTACTCCAGTCTGACTGGTATATCAGGGTGTGGAGCCATCCCACAGATGACATCTTTACCTTGCCAGCTTGCTGATGGGGTTAACCTCTTTTATCATGTGGGGCAGCGGGGTAGTCTAGTGGTTAAACGTTGGTTTGTCATGTCGAAGGCCCGGGTTCAATTCCCCACATGGGTACTATGTGTAAAGCCCATTTCTGGTGTCCAGTGTCATGATATTGCTGGAATATTGCTAAAAGCGTCGAAAACCACACTCACTCACTCACTCACTCCGGGTGCGATTCCTCACATGGGTACAATGTGTGAAGCCCATTTCTGGTGTCCCCCACCGCGATATTGCTGGAATATTGCTAAATGTGGCATAAAACCACTCTCACTCACTCACTCACTCACTCACTCACTCACTCACTCACTCACTCACTCACTCACTCACTCACTCACTCACTCACTCACTCACTCACTCTGGTCAAGCAGACAAGACAACCTCAGATCATGCTGAGATTTGGAAATTTTATGGCCGCTACAATGGCGCCCAACGTGGGGCTTAGCTGTCTGATGAGGTCTGTCACCCAATGTCTTGGTCTTTGATGGCATCAGGATGACCATGTTTTGGGGCTGGTATCTGTTTCTGTATCTCCCTCCTCCTTCAGTAAGTATGATTATTAACATGAATAAGCGGCTAAAACAAGGACTGGTCGTCTCGGAGTCAGTATTCTGTGTCTAATTGGGGTATTCATGTTAAACTGCGGCATGGTGTCTCAGAGGGCTAGCTCTATAAATCGGCATCAGCCCGGACCAGTACAAGCAGCCACACACAACCACACACACACGTGCATGCACATCGCTATATGAGTGCAATAATCTTGGACGCGGCGTTAAACCCCATTTCACCTCACCGCACCTTCAGTAAATACTATACATATTCAACCAACTGTCCAATCTGTTGACCTTTGCAGCCTATGTTGGAGAGAGTTCGTCTCCATCCCTTCCTGATTGTGGGAACGCGAGAACAAGAGACATCTACAAACAGGTTCGGGTTTAAATAAATCTCTTCATTTCAGACATGTGGCCTACTCATCTTTCAACAATAATAAAACGCCCTGAAGTTTAAAATGGTAACTAGGCATGAGCCATTAGGCAGTCCTGTCCTTTATACACCAAGACCCTCCTTCACTTCAAACACTGCTTGACCCGTGAAGATCCGGGATGGAATAGATCTTCAGCAACCCATGCTTGCCGTAACAGACGACTATGCTTGTTGTAAAAGGCGACTAACGGGATCGGGTGGTCAGGCTCGCTGACTTGGTTGAAAAATGTCATCGATCCCAATTGCGTGGATCGATGCTCATGATATCAATCACTGGATTGTTTGGTCCAGACACGATTATTTACAGATCACCGTCATAGAGCTGGAATATTGCTGAGTGCGGCGTTAAACAACAAACCAACCAAAAATCAAACACTGCTTAAAGTTTAGATAACCTAGATCCTAAGATGTGCTAGCGCCATCTACCTGTCAATGTTTGTAGATGTTGCCAAGATGTTAATGTTAAAACCTTTGGGTTTCGATAAAAGATTTCATCCCACATAAAGTTTTCATCCATGATACCCAAAATGCGTCTGTGTTGAAAGCCCAACATCAGTGCACTGTTTCTTGGCAGATGGAAGCGCATGGAGACGCAGGACGTGGTTGTGGAATGCACCAAGATGTCGCTGGACCACCTGGAGGGGACGTGGGAACAGCTGCGGTGTCCCATCTTCGCCCACTCCTACCAGGCCGCCCGGGATCTCGTCACGCAGGCTCAAGACCATCCTCCAGGTGACGCCATCACTGGGCCCCTCCCACTGTTGTCAATCTCATTAAAATCAGACCTCAGTTCTCGCTACCGATAAACAAAGATCTGAGGACATCCCATTACGGGTCACGTCAGAACGACCTTTCATCCGACCAATCAGAGTATCGCTTACCAGATTATGAAAGTGACAGTCGGAATGTAATTTCTGATCATGCAGCCTCGAAAACTTTAACTCTGAACGGTAGTTACGGGTTTAACGACTGTATCCATACAATCTAGACCATCTATTAGCCATTCCAGAATGTTCTTTTGTTCAGGTTTCAAATTTGTAATCGAGAATTTGTCCAAATATGTTTCGAAGCGTAGCCAATTTGAAATTAGTGCCGTAAAGCATGAGAAAGCTGCCTTCTGATTGGTCATTCCATTGGTCGGTCAAAGTTCGCATAAGGTCGGTCTGACGTGACCCGTAATGAGATGTCCTCAGATCTTTTTTTATCGGGAGCGAGAACTAAGATCTGATTTTAATGAGATTGCCACTGTTGTATGAGGGTTGGGTGTTAGGTTCTGAGCCTCACATAGAAGGAATTGCGAAATTGTGAAATCTTTTGTTGTACACATTACATAATGTCAGAGGTATATCCTCAAAAACCTGAGTTAGTTGAGTAAATTGTTTCACTGTGACAAGTCAGGAAAATAATCAGGAGTCTGTAACCTTTGATAAATGGTGAGAATGTGCATTGATCAAGTACTTGCAGAAAAAGAGCTAAACGCCCAAAGCCTTCCTTGAAGAAATGAGTACACCACAATAGAAGGTTCCTCCTTCCTCTGCCACTGTGAAGAGGTGGGTGGACAGCAGAGTGAAGCATGGCAGGGTGAGCACGGAGGAGGCCTGTGATCACCAGAAATGATCCTGAGAATCCACGATATGGAAATGAAGAACCAATGAATGACGGAGCATCATATAGCTAGTTCAGTTGGCATTTCCCAGGAGAGAGTATATTCCATTATCAGAGAAACTTTGGCAATGAAGAAACTGTCAGTTTGTTGGGATCCAAAGCTTCTGGCATCTGATTGAGAAGGCACCAGGCACAACATGTTTCACGATAATATAGCTCTGTTTGAAGCTGAGCCAGAAAGGTTCTTGCAACAAGTTGTGACTATAAATGAAATCTGGGTTCACGACTTCAAGTCCAAGTCCAAGCAACAATTGAAACACTAGAAGTATTTTATATCACCAGCAAAGGAGGAAAAGACTGTCCCATCAGCTGGAAAGGTTGTGGCCTCCTTGTTCCGCGATGCTGAGGGTGTCATCATGGTGTCATCTTCCAAAAGGTCAGACAGTAAACGGAGCATATTATGTTGCACTTTTGATGCAATTACATGATAAAATTAGGATTCAAGAGAAGTATGAAGCTGAGAAATGGTCTGCACTTCCATCAGGACAGTGTGCCAGTGCACCAGTGCAAAAGTCAGTCATTGCCATGGCTACAATCTATCCTTCATCACCTCAAGCCAAACGCAGCTGAGATCTTGGACAGCTAAGAGAAGGACTTCTATGTAACTGGAATAAGATCCTTTCGACATCGTTGCCAAAATCGATCAATGTGGAAGTGGATTATGTTGGAAAATACATGATTTGGAAGTCTTTAGGGTCTTTCGATGCAAGGTTCAGAACTTATCAATCCCCTCGTGTAGTTCAATGTTTAAGTACTGGAATTACATTTGACACAGCTCTAAGATTTTGTCTGTATTGATGCAGATTTTATCAACTTCAAGGAAATGCCAGCTGTCATGACTTCTAATATTTGCTATCTGATGCCCAGTCGGTATTCTGTAAGCCCCGTACAAGTTGGGTTGTGGGTAGACTCTGTTCTGTGTTGCAAATCTGGAGATTCATGTACATACTTTCCCTCCCTGTAGGCCAAGATGTTGCATCGTCTCAAGGTAAAAGCTACGACAGTATTGTGGAGTTCCTGTCTGTCCCGAACCCTGATGTCTACCTGAAGTACAGCCCATCGGTACTCATCGGCCTCTCCACGCCCCCACAGTCCCAGAGGAACACCCCTGCCACCAGCTTCCTGGACGTCAGCAGCTCCAGCATGCCGCAGTCATTGTTAGGTAAGTGGTGTCTGTCCGTCATCCATTTAGCTCACCTGACATTGGCAGCTCCAGCATGCCACAGTCATTGTTAGGTAGGTGGTGTCTGTCCATCATCCATTTAGCTCACCTGACATTGGCAGCTCCAGCATGCCACAGTCATTGTTCGGTAGGTGGTCTCTGTCTGTGATCCATTTAGCTCACCTGACATTGGCAGCTCCAGCATGCCACAGTCATTGTTAGGTAAGTGGTGTCTGTCCATCATCCATTTAGCTCACCTGACATTGGCATATCCAGCATGTCGCAGTCATTGTTAGGTAGGTGGTGTCTGTCCGTCATCCATTTAGCTCACCTGACATTGGCAGCTCCAGCATGCCACAGTCCTTGTTCGGTAGGTGGTCTCTGTCTGTGATCCATTTAGCTCACCTGACATTGGCAGATCCAGCATGTCGCAGTCATTGTTAGGTAGGTGGTCTCTGTCTGTGATCCATTTAGCTCACCTGACATTGGCAGATCCAGCATGTCGCAGTCATTGTTAGGTAAGTGGTGTCTGTCCATCATCCATTTAGCTCACCTGACATTGGCAACTCCAGCATGCCGCAGTCATTGTTAGGTAAGTGGTGTCTGTCCATCATCCATTTAGCTCACCTGACATTGGCAGATCCAGCGTGCTGTAGTCATTGTTAGGTTGGTGGTCTGTCTGTGATCCATTTAGCTCACCTGACATTGGCAGATCCAGCATGCCACAGTCATTGTTAGGTAGGTGGTCTCTGTCTGTGATCCATTTAGCTCACCTGACATTGGCAGATCCAGCATGCCACAGTCCTTGTTAGTAGGTGGTCTCTGTCTGTGATCCATTTAGCTCACCTGACATTGGCAGATCCAGCATGCCGCAGTCATTGTTAGGTAGGTGGTCTCTGTCTGTGATCCATTTAGCTCACCTGACATTGGCAACTCCAGCCTGACACATTTTTCTGAGTTGGTCTAATACTGAGCTTAGAATTATTGTAGAATTGTTAGTTCAGAAGTATTGCATTGAATGTAGTGATAAAGTACCTCACAAATTGAGAATTAAGGAAATAATAATTCCACCCAAACCCCCATTCCCTATTTGGGATAACACAACGCAGTACCCAAGTTTTTCGTCACTGGCACTTTGTTGTAATTCATGCATATCTCCCGGGACTGTTGGTCAAAACTCTCCATCAACTGAAAAGCCTGATGTTGATACTGTATTGTATCCTGATACAAGGCCCATGATACAATACAGTGATATACAGCTCCTGTATTGTGATACATGCGATACATTGCCGGTACATTGCAGGTCAGTGGGTGTAAAACCATGTGACTAATAACAGAAACTGTTCAACAACCAGCTTGTAGATTCTCCAGTAAATACTGGTGGGCTATTAATACAATTACATTCATCGTGTGCTCTAGCCTAGAGGTGTCTGTCCGACAATATCCCATCTTCGATCTCTGAAATTTAGAAAGAAATGATTCAGGGTTGTGATTCATCCAAGAAGAAAAAATATCAACTTGTGAAATAAAAGTGCGGTCATGGGTATATGAATTGTATATCATAGTATCAGGATACGTGTCGTATCGTGACACATCCGTTCTGTTGCTCCTCTGATGTGTTGTATCAGTTGAAATTGTTGAAATTTCCTATTTTGCAGGAACATATGGCAACACACCCATGCATACACCCATCGACACCACCCCCAGGGAAACACCCACCATGGGGGAAGAGGCAGATAGAGTGAGTTTCTTGTATATATAGATCAGTCTTGATGACCTTGTTGACTGTGCGTCATTGTGCCCCAATGACCTTGATGAATGTGTCATTGTGCCCCGATGACCTTGATGAATGTGTCATTGTGCCCCAATGATCTTGATGAATGTGTCGTTGTGCCCCGATGACCTTGATGAATGTACGTCATTGTGCCCCAATGATCTTGATGAATGTGTCGTTGTGCCCCAATGATCTTGATGAATGTGTCATTGTGCCCCGATGACCTTGATGAATGTACGTCATTGTGCCCCATGATCTTGATGAATGTGTCATTGTGCCCCAATGACCTTGATGAATGTGTCATTGTGCCCCGATGACCTTGATGAATGTACGTCATTGTGCCCCAATGATCTTGATGAATGTGTCATTGTGCCCCGATGACCTTGATGAATGTACGTCATTGTGCCCCAATGATCTTGATGAATGTGTCGTTGTGCCCCGATGACCTTGATGAATGTATGTCATTGTGCCCCAATGATATTGATGAATGTGTCATTGTGCCCCACTGACCTTGATGACTGTGTGTCATTGTGCCCCAATGACCTTGATGACTGTGTGTCATTGTGCCCCAATGACCTTGATGACTGTGCTTCATTGTGCCCCAATGACCTTGATTAATGTGCATCATTGTGCCTCAATGATCTTGATTGATACGCTTGTACCAGTAATTTGCAACAGGTTGGTCTGTCACAGGCTTGAATGTTTTTAGGTGATATTATGGTCCAAGTCTGATATTATACGATTATATTAAGCAATTTTCTCTGACGCAATTACTCAAAGATGTTAATCGGTAGATAATTATAGATTTTACATCACAAAATATTTTTTTTTATGTTATGGATTTATTGTAGGGTAAAAGATTCAGTTCTGACAAACATATAATCATTTTGTTGTGTTCTAATTGTGTTTTGTGTGCAGGCTCTCAGTCGAAACAGCAGCCGCAGTCTTCTTCATAAAAGCGATCCGAAGCGGCAGAGCATTGGCAGCACATCGTCTCGAGGACCTCACAACTTACCTGACCTGAAGATCACGCCAGGATCCCAGCCAAGCAGCGTCCCTCCCTCGCCCCTCAAACCGGAGTTCACATCCGAGCCTCCGAAGGGTGCGGTGAAATCAATGCCAGTGAGGAGGGCCATACGGGAGCTACGGTTTGACCGCATCCCCGAACTGCAGTGTGACCAGACAGTGCCCGACAGCGGGTCAAGGTCACTGCCTGATGCTGGGTCAAGGTCAGTGCCCGACGGTGGGTCAAGGTCAGTGCCCGACGGTGGGTCAAGGTCAGTGCCAAACAGTGGGTCAAGGTCAGTGGCCGATGTGGCCGACGGAGGGACAAATGTGATCGATGGGTTGAAGAGATGTGATTCTGCAGCTGAAGCTGTGACGATTGATGATCTTCACCATGTGATGAAGGAACTGGGAGAACATGAAGGTGTGTTGTTTGTTGGGGTTCGGACGACTTGGAAGTTTTGTTGGAGCTTGACCACCACTACTGGTGATGATGCTCATGCAACAAGTTTTCCCATTATTCTTACATGGATGTTTTCCGCTGGGGAATTCACTTGCTCCGTGTCATGAGAAGGTCAAATGTTAAGGTCACAAAGGGAAAGGTCATCATTCAGGTTTTTGTGAAAAGTTGTATCATTAACAGAGGACAAGGTATAGAAATTGTTATGAAAGTTATCAGGTGTGTTCATGTGAATGAGGCAAAGATTACAAAGAAGACACAATTTATGGAGAACACCTTCTTTTATTTACTGACGTTTCGGTATTGATCCTATTGATCCTTGGGTGACATCCATTCCGAAACGTCACCTTCGCAGTAAATAAAGAAGTTGTTGTCCATAAATTCTGTCTATTTTGTCATCCGTCAACTTCTAAGGCATACCTTTCAAACAATTCGAGGAAAGGATTGCTTTCATTTTAACACAAGCATGTTTTGGAAAAACACCTAATGTAGTATAAAGGTTCTAACTGAGAAAGGATGATGTGAAATGTTTAGGGGAAGCAAATCGAACTTGAGTACGTCTTGGACCTGAGTTTAGATACGAGGGGCGTTCAATAAGTTTTGCAACTTCAATATAAGACCAAGTTGCAGAATATCTTTTGCACTTTTATTTTTCAATATAATCTCCATTCATCTCAATACACTTATTCCATTTGTCCTTCAAGCTTTCAACTTTTATAGAAATCCACAGATTGGCCCTCTAACCACGCCTCCGTGGCAGCCTTCATGTCCTGGAAGCGTCTTCCATGTAGGGCAGATTTCATTTGCCGGAACAGGAAATAGTCACTGGGGGCTAAGTCTGGGCTGTACAGTTAAATCCCCCACCCTACAGCCCAGACATAGCCTCCAGTGTCTATTTCCTGTTCCGGCAAATGAGTTGGGGACAAGTGATACTTGTACAAATATTTCCCCCCCCCCCCTGTCAAAAAAAATTAACTACGGCCCTGCACTCATTCACACATCTAAGTAGCTGTTAGGTAGGTGGTCTCTGGGGACAAGTGATAAGCTGTGTCTAATCTGTATTTCAGATGGAGAAAGCGATGACCCTGAGATGATTGAGATCAACCGAGAAACTGCAACAATCAAATCGGACAGCAGTGACAGTTACGACGACGCCTCATCTTCGTGTCAACATCTGACGGCGGAGTCCGTGAAACAGTTCATGACGAAAGTCAACCGAATACGGTTTAACAGTCTTTCTAATAATGGCAATGGCGAACAAACATTTGAAAAACGTGGTGTTGTAAGGTCCTCTTCGTGTCCCTTGTTCAAACAGGAAAATGGTGTCATTGAGGAGAACGAACCAGCGTCTCGCTGCGCTTCAACCAGCTTTCAGTGTCAGTCTGACACTACAATAGATACTTTACCAATTGAAAACATCGAACCCCCGCCCCACGAACCTGAATTTGAAGTTAATCCAGATGTGCCAAAATGTGAAGAGAGAGACGTTCCCAAAGCCAAAGAAGAAGCAGTGGAACAGCAGTTGCCTCCAGTGCTTCAGAATGATGGCAACACATTCAACATCATGAATGTCTTTCAGGCTCTCGTGGCGCCGGTTAGTGTGATCATGTGTCAGAATTGTCGAAATCAGCTGATTGTTCCTGATAAGAAGCAGACGTGTGACAAGACGAGACACCAAGGTGAGACTTTGGTCTGCCCTGGCCAAGGTGTTTTCTGGCGCTGTATTAAGGAATATTGCATTGTCAAAGCACCGAGTATAATAATGGCCTTTTCTAATGACACAAAAGTGAGAATTATCAACTTTTTTAGTACACTTGCTTGATTCTCGTGTTACAATCTACACTGATGCATCAACCCATGAAGATCCAGGTTAGAATTGGTCTTCAGCAGCCGATGCTTTCGATTAACGGGATTGGGTGGTATGGTTTGCTGATGGTTGATGCATGTCATCGTATCACAATTGTGTAGATCGATGCGCATGATGCCAGTCACTGGATTGTCTGGTTTGTTTGTTTGATTATTTGTTGTTTAACGCCGCACTCAGCAATATTCCAGCTATATGACGGTGGTCTGTAAATAATCGAGTCTGGACCAGACAATCCAGTGATTGACATCATTAGCATCGATCCACGCAATAGTCACCTTGTATAGCAGGAATGGGTTGCTGAAGACCTATTCTACCCTGGATCTTCACGGGTCGGATTGTCTGGTCCAGACTTGATTATTTACAGACCGCTGTCATATAGCTGGAGCATTGTTGAGTGCAACCAAACAAAAACACTGATACATCACTGCAATTGTAATAAAGAAGTTGATCATCCCTGCTATCTTATTTTCAATTACATATCCATGTTCTAAGTGCCTCAGAGAAAAAAAGGAAGACTACATTTCAAGTTTTTTAGACATCTTATCGAAACTAGTTGCCAAATTTTGATGTGCTACATTGTGATGGCAGGAGAATGGTCAGGTCCTGAGATACCGCTGTTCAGCTCCGTGTCCCCCGTGGAGCTACTGGAGCGCCACCTGAAGATGGGCAGTGAGCTCCATGCCAAGGAACTCACCAGGATTCCGCTCACCAGCAAGGACACTGTCCACTGGACTCACTTCGGAGGTAACACACACTGAACTAGCTGGTGAACAGCAACCTATAAGTTGGTATGCAGGGGTTGTTTCCTTTACACATATATCCCTCCAGCAGATAACAGTTGTTAGGGTCAGGTCTTGTGGAGGCTTCAGCTGTCAGAGCTGTCTTTCCCTTCCTGCAGCTGCCCCTCCAGCAGATAACAGTTGTTAGGGTCAGGTCTTGTGGAGACTTCAGCTGTCAGAGCTGTCTTTCCCTTCCTGCAGGTGCCCCTCCAGCAGAAAACAGTTGATAGGGTCAGGTCTTGTGGAGACTTCAGCTGTCAGAGCTGTCTTTCCCTTCCTGCAGGTGCCCCTCCAGCAGTTAACAGTTGATAGGGTCAGGTCTTGTGGAGACTTCAGCTGTCAGAGCTGTCTTTCCCTTCCTGCAGCTGCCCCTCCAGCAGATAACAGTTGTTAGGGTCAGGTCTTTTAGAGACTTCAGCTGTCAGAGCTGTCTTTCCCTTCCTGCAGGTGCCCCTCCAGCAGATAACAGTTGTTAGGGTCAGGTCTTCTGTAGACTTCAGCTGTCAGAGCTGTCTTTCCCTTCCTGCAGGTGCCCCTCCAGCAGATAACAGTTGTTAGGGTCAGGTCTTGTGGAGACTTCAGCTGTCAGAGCTGTCTTTCCCTTCCTGCAGGTGCCCCTCCAGCAGATAACAGTTGTTAGGGTCAGGTCTTTTAGAGACTTCAGCTGTCAGAGCTGTCTTTCCCTTCCTGCAGGTGCCCCTCCAGCAGATAACAGTTGTTAGGGTCAGGTCTTCTGTAGACTTCAGCTGTCAGAGCTGTCTTTCCCTTCCTGCAGGTGCCCCTCCAGCAGATAACAGTTGTTAGGGTCAGGTCTTGTGGAGACTTCAGCTGTCAGAGCTGTCTTTCCCTTCCTGCAGGTGCCCCTCCAGCAGATAACAGTTGTTAGGGTCAGGTCTTTTAGAGACTTCAGCTGTCAGAGCTGTCTTTCCCTTCCTGCAGGTGCCCCTCCAGCAGATAACAGTTGTTAGGGTCAGGTCTTCTGTAGACTTCAGCTGTCAGAGCTGTCTTTCCCTTCCTGCATGTGCCCCTCCAGCAGATAACAGTTGTTAGGGTCAGGTCTTGTGGAGACTTCAGCTGTCAGAGCTGTCTTTCCCTTCCTGCAGCTGCCCCTCCAGCAGATAACAGTTGTTAGGGTCAGGTCTTTTAGAGACTTCAGCTGTCAGAGCTGTCTTTCCCTTCCTGCAGGTGCCCCTCCAGCAGATAACAGTTGTTAGGGTCAGGTCTTCTGTAGACTTCAGCTGTCAGAGCTGTCTTTCCCTTCCTGCAGGTGCCCCTCCAGCAGATAACAGTTGTTAGGGTCAGGTCTTGTGGAGACTTCAGCTGTCAGAGCTGTCTTTCCCTTCCTGCAGGTGCCCCTCCAGCAGATAACAGTTGTTAGGGTCAGGTCTTGTGTAGACTTCAGCTGTCAGAGCTGTCTTTCCCTTCCTGCAGGTGCCCCTCCAGCAGATAACAGTTGTTAGGGTCAGGTCTTCTGTAGACTTCAGCTGTCAGAGCTGTCTTTCCCTTCCTGCAGGTGCCCCTCCAGCAGATAACAGTTGTTAGGGTCAGGTCTTCTGTAGACTTCAGCTGTCAGAGCTGTCAGAGCTGTATTTCCATCCTGCAGGTGCCCCTCCAGCAGATAACAGTTGTTAGGGTCAGGTCTTGTGGAGACTTCAGCTGTCAGATAACAGTTGTTAGGGTCAGGTCTTTTAGAGACTTCAGCTGTCAGAGCTGTCTTTCCCTTCCTGCAGGTGCCCCTCCAGCAGATAACAGTTGTTAGGGTCAGGTCTTCTGTAGACTTCAGCTGTCAGAGCTGTCTTTCCCTTCCTGCAGCTGTCCCTCCAGCAGATAACAGTTGTTAGGGTCAGGTCTTCTGTAGACTTCAGCTGTCAGAGCTGTCAGAGCTGTATTTCCATCCTGCAGGTGCCCCTCCAGCAGATAACAGTTGTTAGGGTCAGGTCTTGTGGAGACTTCAGCTGTCAGATAACAGTTGTTAGGGTCAGGTCTTTTAGAGACTTCAGCTGTCAGAGCTGTCTTTCCCTTCCTGCAGGTGCCCCTCCAGCAGATAACAGTTGTTAGGGTCAGGTCTTCTGTAGACTTCAGCTGTCAGAGCTGTCAGATCTGTCTTTCCCTTCCTGCAGGTGCCCCTCCAGCAGATAACAGTTGTTAGGGTCAGGTCTTGTGGAGACTTCAGCTGTCAGAGCTGTCTTTCCCTTCCTGCAGGTGCCCCTCCAGCAGATAACAGTTGTTAGGGTCAGGTCTTGTGGAGACTTCAGCTGTCAGAGCTGTCTTTCCCTTCCTGCAGCTGCCCCTCCAGCAGATAACAGTTGTTAGGGTCAGGTCTTGTGGAGACTTCAGCTGTCAGAGCTGTCTTTCCCTTCCTGCAGCTGCCCCTCCAGCAGATAACAGTTGTTAGGGTCAGGTCTTGTGGAGACTTCAGCTGTCAGAGCTGTCTTTCCCTTCCTGCAGGTGCCCCTCCAGCAGATAACAGTTGTTAGGGTCAGGTCTTCTGTAGACTTCAGCTGTCAGAGCTGTCTTTCCCTTCCTGCAGGTGCCCCTCCAGCAGATAACAGTTGTTAGGGTCAGGTCTTGTGGAGACTTCAGCTGTCAGAGCTGTCTTTCCCTTCCTGCAGGTGCCCCTCCAGCAGATAACAGTTGTTAGGGTCAGGTCTTGTGGAGACTTCAGCTGTCAGAGCTGTCTTTCCCTTCCTGCAGGTGCCCCTCCAGCAGATAACAGTTGTTAGGGTCAGGTCTTGTGGAGACTTCAGCTGTCAGAGCTGTCAGAGCTGTCTTTCCATCCTGCAGGTGCCCCTCCAGCAGATAACAGTTGTTAGGGTCAGGTCTTGTGGAGACTTCAGCTGTCAGATAACAGTTGTTAGGGTCAGGTCTTTTAGAGACTTCAGCTGTCAGAGCTGTCTTTCCCTTCCTGCAGGTGCCCCTCCAGCAGATAACAGTTGTTAGGGTCAGGTCTTCTGTAGACTTCAGCTGTCAGAGCTGTCAGATCTGTCTTTCCCTTCCTGCAGGTGCCCCTCCAGCAGATAACAGTTGTTAGGGTCAGGTCTTGTGGAGACTTCAGCTGTCAGAGCTGTCTTTCCCTTCCTGCAGGTGCCCCTCCAGCAGATGAGGTGAACATACTTCGGGGGCAGGTGTTAATGTTGGGGAACCAGGTGCAGTATGAGAGACACAAGAGGGACCTCCATGCCAAGAGGAACCGGAGGTTACTGAGGAAGATTGCTAATGCCATTGCCCTTGAGGAACAGAACAAAGCAATGGTAGGTGGTTGTAGAGATACCAAAGGTAGGTTGTCCTGGACATACTTATGACCCTGATGGCGGGTGGTTCTAATGGCACTTATGGTGGGTGGTCCTAGTGGCACTGATGGTGGGTGGTCCTAGTGGCACTAATGGTAGGTGGTCCTAGTGGCACTGATGGTGGGTGGTCCTAGTGGCACTAATGGTGGGTGGTCCTAGTGGCACTCATGGTGGGTGGTGCTAATGGTGGGTGGTCCTAGTGGCATCCATGGTGGGTGGTCCTAGTGGCACTCATGGTGGGTGGTCCTAGTGGCACTCATGGTGGATGGTCCTAGTGGCACTCATGGTGGGTGGTCCTAGTGGCACTCATGGTGGGTGGTCCTAGTGGCACTCATGGTGGGTGGTCCTAGTGGCACTAATGGTGGGTGGTCCTAGCGGCACTGATGGTGGGTGGTCCTAGCGGCACTGATGGTGGGTGGTGCTAATGGTGGGTGGTCCTAGTGGCACTCATGGTGGGTGGTGCTAATGGTGGGTGGTCCTAGTGGCACTAATGGTGGGTGGTCCTAGCGGCACAAATGGTAGGTGGTCCTAGTGGCACTGATGGTGGGTGGTGCTAATGGTGGGTGGTCTTAGTGGCACTAATGGTAGGTGGTCCTAGTGGCACTCATGGTGGGTGGTGCTAATGGTGGGTGGCACTCGTGGCGCTCGTGGTGGGTGGTGCTAATGGTGGGTGGTCCTAGTGGCACTCATGGTGGGTGGTCCTAGTGGCACTCATGGTGGGTGGTCCTAGTGGCACTCATGGTGGGTGGTCCTAGTGGCACTCATGGTGGGTGGTCCTAGTGGCACTCAAGGTGGGTGGTCCTAGTGGCACTCATGGTGGGTGGTCCTAGTGGCACTCATGGTGGGTGGTCCTAGTGGCACTCAAGGTGGGTATGGTATTGGGATGGATGATGCCAGTGGTTCATGTCGTGGTGCTGACTTTCAGATGGAGCAGCTGCGACTGCTGGAGGAGAAGATCCACAACATGCAGGTGTCGCTCCGCCTGCTGCAGGACGAGAACCAGGACCTGCGCCAGGCCAAGGAGAGCAACGAGTACGAGAAGCTTGTGCAGTTCAGGTACGTCCCATTCAGCACCGTCCTCCAGCACCGTCCTCCAGCCTTAAGAGTGTTCAGGGAAATTTTTCATCAGCAGTGCTGTCTTAAGCATGTTTGGTGCAGGTTATTGCAACTTGTAAATTGTTTTTGTGTACCCTGCAATCAGGCATTTTCCATTGTGATTCTATTTATATCCTCAGAGTGACGATGCAAGCAAACAGAGATTTTGAGATGTCGAACACTGAGCTGAAGAGTCTGCTTATCACGCAAAGGGAAGACCACGATAAGCTCAAGAAGGTAGGCACAAACACCAGCAGTTCATGATTGTGATTGTGTTTGTGATTGTGATTGTGTTTGTGATTGTATATGATTGTGTACACGAATGTGTTCATGATTGTGTTCATGATTGTGTTCAACATTGTGATTGTGTTCATGATTGTGTTCAACATTGTGATTGTGTTCATCATTGTGATTGTGTTCATCATTGTTTGTTGTTTGTTTGTTTTGCCGCACTCAGCAATATTCCAGCTATATGACGGCATCCTGTAAATAATTGAGTATGGACCAGACAATCCAGTGATTGATATCATGAGCATCGATCCACTCAATTGAGCGAGCCTGACCACCTGATCCCGTTAGTCACTTTTTACGACAAGCATAGTCGCCTTTTACAGCAAGCATGGGTGGCTGAAGATTTATTTTACCCCGGATCTTCGTGTTCATGGTTGTGTTTGTGATTGTGTTCATGATTGTGTTCATGATAGTGTTCGTTATTGTATTCGTGATTGTGTTCGTGATTGCATTCCTGATTGTGATATGTTGGCAGGCGGTGCAGGAGACGGAACATCGTCTGTTTGAGAAGGAGAAGCAGCTGGAGATGATGCAGGAAGCCGTCAGCAGAACCAACAAACTGGAGGATCACGTACGTACCAGTCTGTCTCCACTTGCCCTGAGACAGGATCACGTACGTACCAGTCTGTCTCCACTTGCCCTGTGGCTGGATCACGTACGTACCAGTCTTGTCTCCACTTGCCCTGTGGCAGGATCACGTACATACCAGTCTTGTCTCCACTTGCCCTGTGGCAGGATCACGTACGTACCAGTCTGTCTCCACTTGCCCTGTGGCAGGATCACGTACGTACCAGTCTTGTCTCCACTTGCCCTGTGGCAGGATCACGTACTTACCAGTCTGTCTCCACTTGCCCTCAGGCTGGATCACGTACTTACCAGTCTGTCTCCACTTTCCTGTGGCAGGATCACGTACTTACCAGTCTGTCTCCACTTTCCCTGTGGCAGGATCACGTACTTACCAGTCTGTCTCCACTTGCCCTGTGGCAGGATCACGTACGTACCAGTCTGCCTCCACTTGCCCTGTGGCTGGATCACGTACGTACCAGTCTTGTCTCCACTTGCCCTGTGGCAGGATCACGTACGTACCAGTCTGTCTCCACTTGCCCTGTGGCTGGTCTCACCAAACTGGTACGACCTGTATATGACCTGTATCTCCATGGGATTACCTCCCACCTGTAGTGGACACCCTGTGATGTGATGATACACTGTTCAAAACAGTGTTTAACAGACGCACTAATGGATGTTGCTAGGTTTTGTGTGGTTGTTGAAGGTGTTGGTGTGGATGTTGAAGGTGTTGGTGTGGATGTTGAAGGTGTTGGTGTGGATGTTGAAGGTGTTGGTGTGGATGTTGCAGGTGTTTATTGCGGATGTTGCAGGTGTTTATTGCGGATGTTGCAGGTGTTTGTTGTGGATGTTGCAGGTGTTTTTTGCGGATGTTGCAGGTGTTTATTGCGGATGTTGCAGGTGTTTATTGCGGATGTTGCAGGTGTTTATTGCGGATGTTGCAGGTGTTTTTTGCGGATGTTGCAGGTGTTTGTTGTGGATGTTGCAGGTGTTTATTGCGGATGTTGCAGGTGTTTATTGCGGATGTTGCAGGTGTTTTTTGCGGATGTTGCAGGTGTTTGTTGTGGATGTTGCAGGTGTTTATTGCGGATGTTGCAGGTGTTTATTGCGGATGTTGCAGGTGTTTTTTGCGGATGTTGCAGGTGTTAGTTGTGGATGTTGCAGGTGTTTATTGCGGATGTTGCAGGTGTTTATTGCGGATGTTGCAGGTGTTTTTTGCGGATGTTGCAGGTGTTTGTTGTGGATGTTGCAGGTGTTTATTGCGGATGTTGCAGGTGTTTATTGCGGATGTTGCAGGTGTTGGTGTGGATGTTGAAGGTGTTGGTGTGGATGTTGCAGGTGTTTATTGCGGATGTTGCAGGTGTTTATTGCGGATGTTGCAGGTGTTTATTGTGGATGTTGCAGGTGTTTATTGCGGATGTTGCAGGTGTTTATTGCGGATGTTGCAGGTGTTTATTGCGGATGTTGCAGGTGTTTGTTGTGGATGTTGCAGGTGTTTGTTGTGGATGTTGCAGGTGTTTATTGTGGATGTTGCAGGTGTTTATTGCGGATGTTGCAGGTGTTTATTGCGGATGTTGCAGGTGTTTATTGCGGATGTTGCAGGTATTTGTTGCGGATGTTGCAGGTGTTTATTGCGGATGTTGCAGGTGTTTTTTGCGGATGTTGCAGGTGTTTTTTGCGGATGTTGCAGGTGTTGTTGCGGATGTTGCAGGTGTTTATTGCGGATGTTGCAGGTGTTTATTGTGGATGTTGCAGGTGTTTATTGCGGATGTTGCAGGTGTTTATTGTGGATGTTGCAGGTGTTTATTGTGGATGTTGAAGGTGTTGTTGTGGATGTTGCAGGTGTTGTTGTGGATGTTGCAGGTGTTTATTGCGGATGTTGCAGGTGTTTATTGCGGATGTTGCAGGTGTTTATTGCGGATGTTGCAGGTGTTTATTGCGGATGTTGCAGGTGTTTATTGCGGATGTTGCAGGTGTTGTTGTGGATGTTGCAGGTGTTTATTGTGGATGTTGAAGGTGTTGTTGTGGATGTTGCAGGTGTTGTTGCGGATGTTGCAGGTGTTTTTTGCGGATGTTGCAGGTGTTTATTGCGGATGTTGCAGGTGTTTACTGTGGATGTTGCAGGTGTTTTTTGCGGATGTTGCAGGTGTTTGTTGTGGATGTTGCAGGTGTTTTTTGCGGATGTTGCAGGTGTTTGTTGCGGATGTTGCAGGTGTTTTTTGCGGATGTTGCAGGTGTTTATTGTGGATGTTGCAGGTGTTGGTGTGGATGTTGCAGGTATTTATTGCGGATGTTGCAGGTATTTGTTGCGGATGTTGCAGGTGTTTATTGCGGATGTTGCAGGTGTTTATTGCGGATGTTGCAGGTGTTTACACAGCAAAAGGAAATCCTGCTGCTGGGCGAGTTGCAGCACAAGTACCAGGAGAAGATCGAATTCCTCAAACGTCAGCAGCACTCACACCCGCAACACGATCATGTTGTCATGACAATGAAAGCCGAGTTGAAATGTGAGTTGACAATGTGAGCACTGTTCAAACAGTCAGCTCACTCATACCCTCCCTCTCTCCCACCATCTCCCTCCTTGTCCCTCCCTCCCACTTTCCCTCTCTCCAGCCCTACCACCATCCCACCCTTTTTTCCTCCCTCCTCCCGGGGCACGGGTGGCCCAGTCGTCTAAGGCGCCGCGATTCGCTGTGCAGTGTTGCGTCCCTTGGGCACGCCAGAAACCTATGATTGTGGGTTCGAATCCCGGTTCACCCAGATTATGTTTCTAGGTTTGTCAGCACCATACCAGTGCTCGTGGGTTTCACCGAAGTGGTAAACGTCTGAGACCTGCATCACTTCGGGCTTTCCTCCCACATTAAGCTGACACACTGTGATATAACTGGAATACTGTTAAAAGGGGCGTTAAACCCAACTCACTCACTCACTCACTCACTCACTCACTCACTCACTCACTCACTCACTCACTCACTCACTCACTCACTCACTCACTCACTCACTCACTCACTCACTCACTCACTCCCTTCCTTCCTTCAGCATCTGACTGACAGAACCATTACTTCCTTCCTTGTGTTGTTTCAGCTCTGAAGATGCAGCTGTCCCGCCTGACGGTGCTGTCAGATACCAGGCAGCGCCGGCTATCCGAATGTGAGGAGACCCTGAAGGACAAGGTGGGGCTGTGGCTTATCACATCAGATCAGACAACCATAGCCTTTCATTTACCCCATCAACTATAACATACAAAAACACCATATGAGCGCCAATCCTTGTCATCTAGGTACACTGACACACAATCAGCTAAGTCACAAAGCTTGAGGACCGGCTCCTTGGTCTAGTGGTAGAGCGTCTGCCCGGAAAGTGGGACCGCCTCCGTAGTCTAGTGGTAGAGTGTCTGCCCGGAGAGTGGAACCGCCTCCGTGGTCTAGTGGTAGAGCGTCTGCCTGTAGAGTGGAACCTCCTCCGTGGTCTAGTGGTAGAGCGTCTGCCCGGAGAGTGGGACCGCCTCCGTGGTCTAGTGGTAGAGCGTCTGCCCGTAGAGTGGGACCTCCTCCTCGGTCTAGTGGTAGAGCGTCTGCCCGTAGAGTGGAACCTCCTCCGTGGTCTAGTGGTAGAGCGTCTGCCTGTAGAGTAGAACCTCCTCCGTGGTCTAGTGGTAGAGCGTCTGCCCGGAGAGTGGGACCGCCTCCGTGGTCTAGTGGTAGAGCGTCTGCCCGTAGAGTGGAACCTCCTCCTCGGTCTAGTGGTAGAGCGTCTGCCCGTAGAGTGGAACCTCCTCCGTGGTCTAGTGGTAGAGCGTCTGCCCGGGGAGTAGGACCGCCTCCGTGGTCTAGTGGTAGAGCGTCTGCCCGGAGAGTGGGACCGCCTCCGTGGTCTAGTGGTAGAGCGTCTGCATGCACATGCGCACACACACACGCACACGCACGCACGCATGCACATCTCTATATAAGTGCAATAATCTCGGACGCGACGTTTAACCCCATTTCATCTCACCTCACAAAGCTTGACGGTCAGATCCAATGTTGTCATTTCTTACATTCAGATGCAACCAGTACGATTTGGGCGTAATAGGTACAATGTTTAGCCGATAATTACGTCATTACTCGTCTCCCTTAAATTATGATTTTTGACGTTTTTTTCACAAATGATTTACTTGCATAAAATACCACAGAGAGCAAATTCTACAGCGTGATTATTCTAACCAATGAGAGCCTTGCTTTCAAGTCGCATTGTCCAATATTCAGTGATGCACGCACACACACACTGACCCACAGGCACACTAATAGTATGCTATAATCCTGAATATTGAATGCGATGTAAATCCCCATTTCACCTCACCTCACCTCACCTCACCTCACCTCACCTCACCTCACCTCACCTCACCCAGTTACTTCGGTGGCTGCTGTGATGAAGCTGTCATAGTATTTCCATCATAGTTGGTCCATTAGGATTACAAATCTCAGTCGGTGAAGCCATTTCTGATGTGCGTTTTCAGTGTTTAAATGTTTGTTTACACCTCCAGGAAATAGCCATGGGTGAAATGAAGACGATGTTAGAAAGAGTCAAAGCAACACATGGAAATGAATTAAAGGCAAGTCGATATCAAATGTATCAAACTTTTTATGTTTGTTTCTTCTGTTTTCATATACAACCTATTGTTACGACCAAGTGTCATTCTATGTCATTCCATGCAAGATGAAAATCCATGCCATCTTCCCGAGGCAAGGGAGGTAACTGACTATAAAAGTCCAGTTTCCACCCTTGCCCAACTTGGGTATTATGGAGTTACATTTTGGCTGGATTAACGAGTCTATGCATAGTTCAATCAAAATTGCACAACAAAATCACAATCCAATTCGATAACTGTCGTGATGATTTCGGTCAATTGCAGGATTTGCAAAGCATGTGCACCGCCAACTCGTGGTCAACAGATATTTTTCAAATCTTTTCATGTTTTTAATCAAGGTGTTAATGTGATTGTCCTGACTGGGCGCCGCCATTTTGTTTGAGGCAAATGCAAGTGATATGAGAGGTGGAATCTGATTGGTCCATAGTCGAGGCTTAGAAGGGACATAACTCGTAATAGCCACTGGTGGTGCCACAATCCAGCCCAGGAATTCCAGCCTAGTTCGGCAAGGGTGGAAACTGGACTTTTAAAGTCAGTTATCTCACTTGCCTCGGGAAGATGGTCGCCAGAAAGCTAAGGGTGTTTTTATGAGCTGGCTAAAGGGGAACGAATGGCCCAGCTGTCAAAGGCATTGCAATTGTGTCACTAAAGCACACCAAAAATCATTGGTTCAAATCCCGGTCCCCCTCGATTATGTTTCCAGGTTTGTCAGCACCATACCCGTGCTCCTGGGTTTCATCAAAGCATCTGAGACCTGCATCACTTCGGGCTTTCCTCCCACATTCAGCTGATATATACCATGATACAACGTTATAACTGGCATTAAAACCAACTCACTCAGTCACTTTGTTCTGCTTTTTATGTTTCTAAATTAGTTTGAGCGTACATCATAGTTATTCTGTGTTAGACTATGTCCCCAACAATCTAGGGTGGTCTACGAGTTGGGTTAATGTGTCTCCCTCTGTGTCCCCCTCTGTGTGCAGGCTGTGGAGGAGAAGTACAGGCTGTCTGTGCGGGTCAACCAGGAGTACGAGGGCAAGGTGCTTGAACTCTTCACACTCACCGACCAGCTCAATCAGCAGCTCCGCGTCCTCCGACAAGGTGAGGCACATGAAGCATCTCGGACTTAGGCCAGGCTTCTTATTTTTTTAGGATTACGGATTTTTCAGCCCAAAGTACAGGGTTGGTGGAGGGGGAAAAAAGCCAGAAGGATATTATTTTTTTTAAAAAGACCGCCATTTGTGATAATACAATAAAAAATTCTACCACTTACAACACGGACAATTGTCAAGAGAGGCTATTCATGTTTTCGGCTTCGAGATCAACAAAGATCAATTATGGTTCTCTTTACTAGTTTACAACGGTAAATTCATGTTTTTTACTGAAAGGTGATGATAACAAATAAAATAACTGACAACGCGGCTATCGGCGGGGGGGAACAAAATGGAAATCTGATTTTTTAAATTATTTTTTTTACATTTTCTCAAAAATTAGAGACAGCGGGTCCGTAATCCCAAAAATATAAAACGCCTGTCCTCAGAAACCATGTTATCCACTGTTGCAAAGTCTCTCGATGTCATGTCCTCTAATGATGCTTTGTGACAGTCTCGACTATGCTCATCACCTGTGATGGTTGTTTTAATTGATAATATAAGATAGCTATGCGATAAATTGCAAACAACAATGAAGAACAAAGCGTGTTTTCTGGAGATTCGAACATTGATGACATCGTAAATTGAACATTATTTTTTAGAGGGAAGTGTCTGGGGAGTTGTTCCCCATAGATGTAGCTTGGCAACGTAGATAAACGCAATGGCCAAACGATCCCTGCCAAAAGTGAGAGAGATATGACTATCAGTATTGGGAGAAAGGTACAGATAATTGATGTGAAGATAGTGAGAATATGACGGAAAGACCAAATCCTGTTCATAAAATGGACTTGTCCGACATTGCCTCGGTCGAATTTTATTCAGGGGGTATCTTTATTTAAATATGGGAAAATATTTTTAAAGTGTGTACTTTTTACTAACATCCTTAAAGAGGCTGTACGTAATTTTGATATCTCATAAAAGAAATAAATGCGCCCCTCATGGTTTATTCTCCCTGCAGTGTTTTATTGTTTGATAAACAACTCCCATTCATCATTTATTTCTTAATAATATTTCCATCTGTTGGAGGTGTTGACAGTTGTTAAATTCTTTCTTTTTCTGGTTCTAGATTTTGGTTTCATTCTAAATTCAGTTCCCTGCGGGATTCCAGGTTAAAATAGGTTTCCAGTAACCTAGGCAACAGAATAGATTGTGTGGTCCTTGGCGACGTCACTGATTGCATGTCATTGACAGTGTGGTGTGTCGCTCATTATGTCAACCACTGGTTTGTCTCGTCCACTCATTTATTACAGGATTCCATAACATAGCTGGAATATTGCTGACTGCAATGTTAAACAACACACAAATCTAGACACAGAAGGAGTACAAATTGAATCTTTTTTTTACAGTTTCCAGAAATGCACCAAAAAAACAAACTGAAAACCAGTCAGCCATCAGTAGAGCACGATCTGTTCCGCCTGACAGCGACAAGTCAGTGACGGAGTGTGTGGAAGGGCAATGTGAATCTCCAGGACAGCAGGACAGTCCCGATACACGTCGTGTTGTGGCACCAGAAACAGTAGCTCAAGACACATCCAAGCTTGGAGATGATCCAAGCTTAGTACACGGCAAGCATCTTTCAAAGAGTTACGATTCTATGTCCATCACGTCCCAAGATGGAGCAAGTCCTTTAGGGTATGATGGGAAGACGAAGTCAACAGACAGCGAAGACATCCAGTCTTTGTCTCAGAGCACACGAACAATGGACAGCGGCGTTTGGGAGAAGTCAACAAAGTGACATCTCTGTGTTGGATACTAATTGGTCTTCATTCATGCTGCAGCTTACTTGCTCAGCCATCAATTCCAGCTGGATAGATGGCACTGCATCAAGGGGAGACAACCCATCTGCTTTCATTCTGGAGTGTGGTACCACATGGCTTGGGGTTGGTTATCTTCAGTTAACATTATAACTCATCATGGGGAACAAGGCTGTTTCCACCAATGTCTGACATTGTCGAGTGCAGTACAGTGTGAAATTGCATATTCTTGCAGAAACGAATTTTTTCATGTCCATCTGCGCCTGCTTTGATGTGAGTTATCTCCCTTGCTAAGGGAGACAATCCTGATTTTGTTTTTTGTTTGCCAGTGTTGAGTATATGATGATTTGTACTTATACATTTCAGTATTGTTCATTCAATATTATGACATGGATGGAAAATGGTAGAACAGCAATGGACATTGCACAACATTGCCAAATTCTTTGAGAAGGCATTCATCTTTAAATATATAGGTGGGGTTTTATACAGTACTGTAATCAGAGTTAAAACATCCTTACTACATATTAATCTTAAAAAATATTTGCTGTGACAATCAGTTTTGCTTACAGTTGGGTTGCATACTTTATATGTTTTTTGAATTTGAGGTGTTGTGGCCACAACAATGACATGACATGTTTGTCCGTCAGATGGGCTCGGTATGGCAAAGAATGGATTGGGATATAAGGTCACTCAGACTGACCAGGTGAGCTAACAGTACTTGAAATTGTTGGTTCTTGGTGTCCCCAGGAATACCCAGGAATACTGCTTAGTGCAACTTTAACCACTCGTCCGAAGCCCGAGTCTAGTAAGAGTCTGTTTAGTCAAGTAGGACAAGCTTATAAAACACCATAAGATGACACTGAGCCAGGTTTGGACCAGGGCCCACTTGCACAAAGCGATCTTAGCGCTAAGATGATCGTAACTCCCATACTTTAACATAGGCTTACGATAGTCTTAGCGCTAAAATTGCTTTGTGCAAGTGGGCCCAGGACTCTAAGTGGCCCAAATGACTCCTCATTCACTCACAAAATACTGTTCACCAATCAACACTGAAATTTTGAAATAATTATCTTGATGATATGAAATAAATGCATACCAAGTTTAATTGGAATATAAACTTGGCAACTGTTGCTTCCTGGAAACATGCATACTGGTTCCATGAGGTTTAAAAAAGAAAAGAATTGGTTCTCAGGCAAAGGCTTTTAAAAAACAATATGGTGCAGGCAGGTGGGCGGTGTTTTTGTGGTTATTTTTCTGTTGTTATTTTTCTGTTGTTCATACTAGTATGTAACCAAATAAACAGTTGTGCACAATCAACCTGGGAAAGGGCCTCCTGACATAAATGTATACCTTGATGAGTAATATACAGGATCACAGTATTTTACTACCATTGGACTTGGAATATTTAAGGATTTTTTTATACATTTTTAAATGGAAATTTCTGCTCCAGGTTGGTAGAGTTGGGTAAAGTGTTGTCCTGTCAAGTCTGTGTTTGATTCCCCGACATTCCTGCCGTCTCGGCTCTGATACTGCATCATCAACATTCAAGAAACTCACTGAAATATGTCAACACCCTCATCATCTGGTCGTGAAGTGTAAATGAAGCCTACAGGCACATACGAACCAAAGTTAATCTTTAGTTGTTAATTTATTGTTAGGTGAGCTACAGTGCTGTCATGCCACTTGAAAAGATATTTTTACAAACTATTTCTGAGTCTTTTTCAAACTCATAACAATTATGAGTGAGAGAAAGTCTTTGGTTTCTAATTTCCAGTTAGATAATTAGGGGAGTCTAACAGTCAATTATGGGGAGATTTGGGAGGGTCATATTACCGGGATTTTTAATAAGATTCAGATCTGCCAAAGAAACTTATCTATGGTTACAAAATATCCACACTGTTCATTACCAACAGGATCGGGTTAGAATCGGTCTTTAGCAACCCATGCTTGTCGTAAGAGGCGACTAACGGGATCGGGTGGTCAGGCTCACTGACTTGGTTGATGCATGTCATCGATCCTAATTTCATGGATCGATGCTCATGATATTAATCACTGGATTGTCTGGTACAGACTCGATTATTTACAGACCGCCATCATATAGCTGGAATATGCAGAGTGCAGCGTTTAACAACAAACAAATCATTAGGTGCGAGTCAGTGGATTGAAAAGATTCCTGTATGTTGCCCTTTCAATACTAGTCTACACCAACCCACACGACATCACCTCAAGCTCAGCTACTGCTGAAATGGCAGTTTCTTTTCCCATTGTGAAGTAGTTTATTAAAAATGTCTTATCACTCCAGCTTGTTTTATACTACCAACAGTATTCATTGTAAACTAATGTTTAATTGCCAGGCCCTAGTGTCCGTCTGTAACTTATCAATGACACTCACCTTGTATTTGATGCAGACAGGAATATTTGTGTGCGAAACCTACAGAGATGCTGCTTGGTGAAACTTTTATGTGCCAACTAGTGAATTAATTTGGACATTTTAATTGATCCATACATAAATCTCTATGAGAGGTGTGGAGCAAGTACTTGAAACGAGTAGAATAGCAACCCTTGCTTACCGTAAGAGGCCACTAACGGGATCGGGTGGTCAGCCTCACGGACTTGGTTGATGCATGTCATCGTATTCCTGTTGTGTGGATCGATGCTTATGATGTCAATCACTGGATTGTCTGGTCCAGACTCGATTATTTACAGACCGTTGTCATATAGCTGGAATATTGCTTTGTGCGGTGTTAAAAAAACAAAAAAAACAACCTTGAAACAAAAGACTTTTTTTGGCTTAGTTTACAAAGCCTTTACAATCTTGCCAACACAATTACATGCAGCAGTGAGGCTGATGGTGTTTACCTTGACTGTGGTGTACCCTGCAGCATCCATCCCTTCCCCCCATGTACCCAGGTTTCTGAAGTGATGGCTTTTCACTGACAATCACCACTTTGTGTCAACATGGCTGCACCACCCTGACATGCTACTGCGAGTGCCTCCTGATGTCCAGATTAACGCACGGGTTCAGTGGTATTCTGTATCATTACCAAATTGTAAAAGTGAGAAAAATCTTCAGGGTACTTTGGTCAACATGTCCTAGAAACTGAACCTTTCTGAAACCCTGTAGGCTTTATTGAGGCAAGCATGGAAATTGTGTGTGGAGAGCCGTTTGCATCTCACATTCACATGCTCCTCCACTGGAACATGTCAATAACTCACCAACTATTCTACAGCAGATTGGGAGAGGCCATGTTGTCGCAAAGTGTCTTCAACGTGTGAAAGCGTCTCTTGTTTCCCTGGGTAGACAGTAATGACACCGTGGTACATTAAGCAAGCGATAGATCCGTGGTACGTAATGTAATCCTACAGTCCTGGGCACAAAGCAATGGCACGGTGGTACGTAATATAATCCTACAGCCCTGGGCACAAAGCGAAGGCGCGGTGGTACGTAATATAATCCTAGTCCTGGGCACAAAGTGATGGCACATAATATAATCCTACAGTCCTGGGCACAAAGCGATGGCACGGTGGTACATAATGTAATCCTACAGTCCTGGGCACAAAGCAATGGCACGGTGGTACATAATGTAATCCTACAGTCCTGGGCACAAAGCAATGGCGCGGTGGTACATAATGTAATCCTACAGTCCTGGGCACAAAGCGATGGCATGTAATATAATCCTATGGTCCAGGGCAATCAGCAATGGATCCGTGGTACATTCGTCCCTGGGTACATTTCAGTGGTAACCAAGTCAGAAAGTTACCCGCTGCTGCAGTGAGATCCTGACTAGAAACTTCGCAAGGTCTGTGATATTTAATAGCTCATGAAACTATTTTCCGTCTGTATGAAATATGTAGTCCTGTTCACTGAACTTAGCAACCAGATTGTTATTACTAAATGGGCATTGAGACAATCCAGTATTTTTTCCCCAGTGCACATTGAATGACTTACACGAACATCCTGCCTATTACTTACATACCAGATGAACCAAAATGTCTTGGGTATAAGTTATGAACCCCTTCTGTATAAAATTTTCTTTTAACTTTCTCATGCAGTTTTTGTGCTACAACTATTGAATGCTTATAGTTGTAGCGTAAAGGTGATTGTAACTCTCATTGGCTTCCGATAGTCAGTGCTATGATTGCTTTGCAGAACAGGGCTGGATTTTTTTTTTTTACAGAATGATCTGTAAGCCAAGCAAGAAAAGCCTCGCCCTAGGTGTAGAGGGTTTTGTTTCTCTTGCACTTCCCACAACAAAGCACTTTCACATAGGAAATGTCAATCCTTATTTTCACATTACGTTCAGGTTGCTCTGTTGGATCCATCATTCAAGGCCCCCGAGCTTGTACCCAAGACAGTATGGTATGTCAAGTCTGTTTTGCGTTGCAGACAAGATCAATGTGTCAGTAATTCGCTTCTGAAAATAAATGAATATTTATCCTGTTGTATGCAATCCTGTTTGTTGTGGCATGGATGAAGAGATCACTTGTAACAGTTGTGCAGATGAATACATGACCTTGACACTTTGACCTTGAACAAAGGTTGGTGGTAACTTTGCTCACTCACGTTGTGTCTCCCAGCATTGAATGGGTACCCGGTAGGATAAGATGGTAATTTAACTGTCCCCTTACAAGCAAATTGGCTGGGAGCTGAGAATTGGTGAGGTGAAACGGGGTCTAACGTCCCGTCCAAGGTATTTGCATTTCTATGAATTCATGCACAAGTGTGTGTGGCTGCTTGTACTTTTCCGGACTGATGCCGATTTGATATACCATGCCACATTGAATGGGGTATCTGACACAGTATAATCCAAGCCTTGTTTTAGCACCAGCACAGGTTTGTTTGTTGTTTAACGCCGCACTCAGCAATATTCCAGCTATATGACGGCGGTCTGTAAATAATGGAGTCTGGACCAGATAATCAGTGATTGACATCATGAGCATCAATCCATGCAATTGGGAGAGGATGACATGCATCACTCAAGTAAGCGAGCCAAACCACCCGATCCCGTTAGTCGCCTCTTACGGCAAGCATTGATTGCTATTCTAACCCGGATCTTCCTGGGTTTGTTCCACCTGTAATCAGCCCCACTGTCGCTGGTCACTGTGGGATATCTCTGGGCGGAGTACAGACTGGTACATGCAGCCATTTCACTCACCAATAAATAATAAAAGACTCACTAGTGTATTGGTGTGGATATTTTATGCACCCTGTTGTTTCTGATCACCTTGTCTCCGATACACTATGTGAGTACCACTGATGGAAGATTCAGTGTATGTTAAACAACATCAAAAATGAGATGGTAAAGAAATGAAGACAGTGTTTTACACATTCGTCACCACTCGCCCCTTTCCGTAACCTGCAAGAAGACTCGTCCCCCTATGTGCGAAAATACGACAAACCAATCAGAATGCGCGTATGATTTCAAGTTCTTCGTCAAAGAATCCCTCAGAAATAATTTTTGATTTTACATATGTCTTGCCTCTAAAATATACCAAAGACACAATTAAATGTGTTTAATCATACTCTATAATTCTGCACGTCCTGGTGTGCTTTAAATTGCATCTGACATATGTATATAATATATGGGGAAAATGTGTGAACCACAACACAACGAGTTGACAATTGTTTTAGGTATGCCCGTTTGCGCTAAGACGGAACCCGGTGTTTTACACAGCACACATCTGATCGTCTCAAAAACCCACGCATCCTTTATTTAGATTGGCTGAAAGTACCTCAGGGTCAACTTGACGCTACCTCTACGTTATCTGGTACAGGATACAATGAGACGCAATAAACAGGTCACTGATTCCAACTCCCTGATCCACTGAATCACCTCTTACGTCCGGCACAGATTGCTGGGGACATGTTCTAACCCGATCCCCACATGCAGTGAGACACAACCAGGGCCCAGCTCTGTCCACTTTATTCACAAACACACGCGACACTGGCCAGTCATACATCCTCTTTCTTCCCTCGGTCCTCCATATATTCGCTGTAATCGTATCTCCTGAAGGGAACTGCTGACTGGATGAGACCTGCAACAACAGACAACACCCTGGATCAAGCAACATACTATACACCACAGTCAGCATTCATCTACCACAACAGACAACACCTTGGATCAAGCAACATACTATACACCACAGTCGGCATTCATCTACCACAACAGACAACGCCCTGGATCAAGCAACATACTATACACCACAGTCGGCATTCATCTACCACAACAGACAACGCCCTGGATCAAGCAACATACTATACAACACAGTAAGCATTCATCTACCACAACAGACAACACCTTGGATCAAGCAACATACTATACACCACAGTCAGCATTCATCTACCACAACAGACAACGCCCTGGATCAAGCAACATACTATACACCACAGTCAGCATTCATCTACCACAACAGACAACGCCCTGGATCAAGCAACATACTATACACCACAGTCAGCATTCATCTACCACAACAGACAACACCTTGGATCAAGCAACATACTATACACCACAGTCAGCATTCATCTACCACAACAGATGACACCCTGGATCAAGCAACATACTATACACCACAGTCAGCATTCATCTACCACAACAGACAACACCTTGGATCAAGCAACATACTATACACCACAGTCAGCATTCATCTACCACAACAGACAACGCCCTGGTTCAAGCAACATACTATACACCACAGTCGGCATTCATCTACCACAACAGACAACACCCTGGATCAAGCAACATACTATACACCACAGTCAGCATTCATCTACCACAACAGACAACACCCTGGATCAAGCAACATACTATACACCACAGTCAGCATTCATCTACCACAACAGACAACGCCCTGGATCAAGCAACATACTATACACCACAGTCAGCATTCATCTACCACAGTCGGCATTCATCTACCACAACAGACAACACCCTGGATCAAGCAACATACTATACACCACAGTCAGCATTCATCTACCACAACAGACAACACCCTGGATCAAGCAACATACTATACACCACAGTCAGCATTCATCTACCACAACAGACAACGCCCTGGATCAAGCAACATACTATACACCACAGTCAGCATTCATCTACCACAACAGACAACGCCCTGGATCAAGCAACATACTATACACCACAGTCGGCATTCATCTACCACAACAGACAACACCCTGGATCAAGCAACATACTATACACCACAGTCAGCATTCATCTACCACAACAGACAACACCCTGGATCAAGCAACATACTATACACCAGTCAGCATTCATCTACCACAACAGACAACGCCCTGGATCAAGCAACATACTATACACCACAGTCAGCATTCATCTACCACAACAGACAACGCCCTGGATCAAGCAACATACTATACACCACAGTCAGCATTCATCTACCACAACAGACAACACCCTGGATCAAGCAACATACTATACACCACAGTCGGCATTGATCTGCCACAACAGACAACGCCCTGGATCAAGCAACATACTATACACCACAGTCGGCATTGATCTGCCACAACAGACAACACCCTGGATCAAGCAACATACTATACACCAGTCAGCATTCATCTACCACAACAGACAACGCCCTGGATCAAGCAACATACTATACACCACAGTCAGCATTCATCTACCACAACAGACAACACCCTGGATCAAGCAACATACTATACACCACAGTCAGCATTCATCTACCACAACAGACAACACCCTGGATCAAGCAACATACTATACACCAGTCAGCATTCATCTACCACAACAGACAACGCCCTGGATCAAGCAACATACTATACACCACAGTCAGCATTCATCTACCACAACAGACAACGCCCTGGATCAAGCAACATACTATACACCACAGTCAGCATTCATCTACCACAACAGACAACGCCCTGGATCAAGCAACATACTATACACCACAGTCAGCATTTATCTACCACAACAGACAACGCCCTGGATCAAGCAACATACTATACACCACAGTCGGCATTTATCTGCCACAACAGACAACGCCCTGGATCAAGCAACATACTATACACCACAGTCAGCATTTATCTGCCACAACAGACAACGCCCTGGATCAAGCAACATACTATACACCACAGTCAGCATTCATCTACCACAACAGACAACGCCCTGGATCAAGCAACATACTATACACCACAGTCAGCATTTATCTACCACAATAGACAACGCCCTGGATCAAGCAACATACTATACACCACAGTCGGCATTCATCTACAACAGACGACACCCTGGATCAAGCAACATACTATACATCACAGTCAGCATTAATCCCTCAGTCGGCATTAATCTACCACAGTCCGCATTCATTCATCACAGTCGGCATTAATCCCTCACAGTCGGCACTGATCCCTCAGTCGGCATTAATCTACCACAGTCAGCATACATTCATCACAGTCGGCATTAATCTACCAAAGTCGGCATTAAACCCTCACAGTCGGCATTAATCCCCCACAGTCTGCATTAATCTACCACAGTCAGCATTCATTCATCACAGTCTGCATTCATTCATCACAGTCTGCATTAATTCACCACAGTCTGCATTAATCCACCACAGTCTGCATTAATCCACCACAGTCTGCATTAATCCACCAGTCTGCATTAATCCATCACAGACGGCATTCATCACAGTCTGCATTTATTCACCACAGTCTGCATTAATCCACCACAGTCTGCATTAATCCCTCACAGTCGGCATTAATCCCTCACAGTCGGCATTAATCCCTCAGTCGGCATTAATCTACCACAGTCGGCATTCATTCATCACAGTCGGCATTCATTCATCACAGTTGCCATTAATCTGCCACAGTTGACATTAATCCCTCACAGTCGACATTAATCTACCACAGTCGGCATTAATCCCCCACACTCTGCATTAATCTACCAAACTCAGCATTAATCTGCCACAGTCGGTATAATCCCTCACAGTCTGCATTAATCCCCCACAGTCTGCATTAATCTATCACAGTCAGCATTAATCTACCACAGTCGGCATACATTCATCACAGTCGGCATTAATCTACCACAGTCGGTATACATTCATCACAGTCGGCATTAATCTACCAAAGTCGGCATTAATCCCCCACTGTCTGCATTAATCCCCCACAGTCTGCATTAATCTACCACAGTCAGCATTAATCCATCACAGTCGGCATTAATCCCCCACAGTCTGCATTAATCTACCACAGTCGGCATTAATCTACCACAGTCGGCATTAATCCCCCACAGTCTGCATTAATCTACCACAGTCGGCATTAATCCCCCACAGTCTGCATTAATCCCCCACAGTCTGCATTAATCCATCACAGTCGGCATTAATCCCCCCCAGTCTGCATTAATCTACCACAGTCGGCATTAATCTACCAGTCTGCATTAATCTACCACAGTCGGCATTAATCTACCACGGTCAGCATTAATCCCTCACAGTCTGCAATAATCCCCGCAAGTCGGAATTAATCCCTCACAGTCGACATTAATCCCTCACAGTCAGCATTAATCTACCACAGTCAGCATTAATCTACAAGAGTCGGCATTAATCTACCACAGTCGGCATTTATCTACCACAGTCAGCATTAATCGAACAGTCGGCATTAATCTTCCAGAGTCAGCATTAATCCCTCAGAGTCGGCATTAATCCATCACAGTCAGCATTAATCTACAAGAGTCTGCATTAATCTACCACAGTCAGCATTAATCTACCACAGTCGGCATTAATCTACCACAGTCGGCATTAATCCCTCAGTCTGCAATAATCCCCCACAGTCGGCATTAATCCCTCAGTCGGCATTAATCCCTCACAGTCAGCATTAATCTACCACAGTCATCATTAATCTACCACAGTCGGCATTAATCCCTCAGAGTTGGCATACATTCATCACAGTCGGCATTAATCTACCAAAGTTGGCATTAATCCCCCACAGTCTGCATTAATCCCCCACAGTCTGCATTAATCTACCACAGTCAGCATTAATCCATCACAGTCGGCATTAATCCCCCACAGTCTGCATTAATCTACCACAGTCGGCATTAATCTACCAGTCGGCATTAATCCCCCAGTCTCCATTAATCCCCCCCAGTCGGCATTAATCTACCACAGTCGGCATTAATCCCCCACAGTCTGCATTAATCCCCCACAGTCTGCATTAATCTACCACAGTCGGCATAAATCCATCACAGTCAGCATTAATCCCCCACAGTCGGCTTTAATCTACCACAGTCTGCATTAATCTACCACAGTCGGCATTAATCTACCACAGTCGGCATTCATCTACCACAGTCGGCATTCATCTACCACAGTCGGCATTATTCTACCACAGTCAGCATTAATCTGCCACAGTCGGCATTAATCTGCCACAGTTGGCATTAATCCATCACAGTCGGAATTAATCTACCACAGTCGGCATTAATCCCTCAGTCGGCATTAATCCACCACAGTCAGCATTTATCTCCCATAGTCGGCATTAATCTACCACAGTCTGCATTAATCTACCACAGTCGGCATTAATCCCCCACAGTCTGCATTAATCTTCCACAGTCAGCATTAATCTATCACAGTCAGCATTAATCTACCACAGTCGGCATTAATCTACCACAGTCAGCATTAATCTACCACAGTCGGCATTAATCTATCACAGTCGGCATTAATCTATCACAGTCGTCATTTATCTACCACAGTCGGCATTAATCTACCACAGTCGGCATTAATCTACTACAGTCGGCATTAATCCATCACAGTCTGCATTAATCCATCACAGTCTGCATTAATCCATCACAGCCTGCATTAATCCCTCACAGTCGGCATTAATCCATCACAGTTGGCATTAATCTACCACAGTATGCATTAATCCATCACAGTCTGCATTAATCTACCACAGTCTGCATTCATCTACCACAGTCTGCATTAATCCCTCACAGTCTGCATTAATCCCTCACAGTCGGCATTAATCTACCACAGTATGCATTAATCCATCACAGTCTGCATTAATCTACCACAGTCTGCATTAATCTACCACAGTCGCCATTAATCTACCACAGTCGCCATTAATCTACCACAGTCGGCATTAATCTACCACAGTCGGCATTAATCTACCACAGTCGGCACAGTCGGCATTAATCTACCACAGTCGGCATTAATCTACCACAGTCGGCATTAATCTATCACAGTCGGCATTAATCTACCACAGTCGGCACAGTCGGCATTAATCTACCACAGTCGGCATTAATCTACCACAGTCTGCATTAATCTATCACAGTCGGCATTAATCTACCACAGTCGGCATTAATCTACCACAGTCGGCATTAATCTACTACAGTCGGCATTAATCCACCAAAGTCTGCATTAATCCATCAGTCTGCATTAATCCATCACAGTCTGCATTAATCCCTCACAGCCTGCATTAATCCCTCACAGCCTGCATTAATCCATCACAGTCGGCATTAATCCATCACAGTCGGCATTAATCTACCACAGTATGCATTAATCTACCACAGTCTGCATTAATCTACCACAGTCTGCATTAATCTACCACAGTCTGCATTAATCCATCACAGTCTGCATTAATCCCTCACAGTCTGCATTAAACCCCCACAGTCTGCATTAATCTACCACAGTCAGCATTAATCTACCACAGTCAGCATTAATCTACCACAGTCAGCATTAATCCATCACAGCTTTAATCTACAACAGTCGGCATTAATCTACCACAGTCAGCATTAATCCATTACAGCTTTACTCTACAACAGATGGCATTAATCTTCCATAGTCAGCATTAATCTACCACAGTCAGCATTAATCTACCACATTCGGCATTGAGAGACACAGGTTACACCATAGCCTCAGATAAAGTGTGTGTAGGTTCGACTGTGGCCCCTCACCGTGGTTCCTGGCCTTGAGCACCTCCAGCACCAGCTTCTTGTGCTGCGTCTGGCACAGTCCCGTCTTCATGTAGTCGTACACCTCCCCCGTGTACGGAGAGATGAACTGCTCCAGCAAACCAACATTCTGAGGGAGAGAGATTCAAAATAATATACATCACATACCCTCAGCATACAATGTCTAACACAGTTGGAACACAACATCACACACTGTCAGAATATGTCTCACACATGGCATACAATATCACACACAGTCAGAATATGTCTCACACATGGCATACAATATCACACACTGTCAGAATATGTCTCACACATGGCATACAATATCACACACTGTCAGAATATGTCTCACACATGGCATACAATATCACCCACTGTCAGAATATGTCTCACACATGGCATACAATATCACCCACTGTCAGAATATGTCTCACACATGGCATACAATATCACACAGTCAGAATATGTCTCACACATGGCATACAATATCACACACTGTCAGAATATGTCTCACACATGGGACGCAATATCACACAGTGTCAGAATATGTCTCACACATGGCATACAATATCACACACTGTCAGAATATGTCTCACACATGGGACGCAATATCACACACAGTCAGAATATGTCTCACACATGGCATACAATATCACACACTGTCAGAATATGTCTCACACATGGGACGCAATATCACACAGTGTCAGAATATGTCTCACACATGGCATACAATATCACACACTGTCAGAATATGTCTCACACATGGCATACAATATCACACACAGTCAGAATATGTCTCACACATGGCATACAATATCACACACTGTCAGAATATGTCTCACACATGGGACGCAAATCACACAGTGTCAGAATATGTCTCACACAAGGCATACAATATCACACACTGTCAGAATATGTCTCACACATGGCATACAATATCACACACTGTCAGAATATGTCTCACACATGGGACGCAATATCACACACAGTCAGAATATGTCTCACACATGGCATACAATATCACACACTGTCAGAATATGTCTCACACATGGCAAACAATATCACACACTGTCAGAATATGTCTCACACAAGGCATACAATATCACACACTGTCAGAATATGTCTCACACATGGGACGCAATATCACACAGTGTCAGAATATGTCTCACACAAGGCATACAATATCACACACTGTCAGAATATGTCTCACACATGGCATACAATATCACACACTGTCAGAATATGTCTCACACATGGGACGCAATATCACACACAGTCAGAATATGTCTCACACATGGCATACAATATCACACACTGTCAGAATATGTCTCACACATGGGACGCAATATCACACAGTGTCAGAATATGTCTCACACAAGGCATACAATATCACACACTGTCAGAATATGTCTCACACATGGGACGCAATATCACACAGTGTCAGAATTTGTCTCACACAAGGCATACAATATCACACACTGTCAGAATATGTCTCACACATGGCATACAATATCACACACTGTCAGAATATGTCTCACACATGGGACGCAATATCACACAGTGTCAGAATATGTCTCACACATGGCATACAATATCACACACTGTCAGAATATGTCTCACACATGGCATACAATATCACACACTGTCAGAATATGTCTCACACATGGGACGCAATATCACACACAGTCAGAATATGTCTCACACATGGGACGCAATATCACACACTGTCAGAATATGTCTCACACATGGGACACAAAGTCTGGTTATCTCAATGTATCAGTATTAGAAACTGGCAGTAGTCCTGTAGTCCTTGCCAAAAGGCCCTATAGTTAAGGTATCATAAGGACTAATATAAACTTGCCATTTACAAGGGTTTTGCCTTATGGTATCACTATAAGGACCAGTGGACTAAAACTGTTAGTTTCTATCGCTCTGTCATGATATCACACAGCTCCAGGTTGCTGTAGCAGGAATTCTCACCGTCATGTCCAACACCAGGAACTCATCTCGACAAACTGGACACGGACTGCCTGTTGCTATCTCCCCCTTCCTCTGCAAACAGAGTATTTCAAAGTGAGGCTTAAAAAAATAAAAGAATTGGTTATCAGGCAATGGCTTTTGAAAATATAGTGCGTGTGCATGTGTTTCTTTAGTATGTAACCAAATAAACTGAACTGTTGTGTACAATCAACCTGGGCAAGGCCTACATAAAACTAAAGTATTTTTTGATGAGTTACTGGAATACAGTATTTGACTACCACTGGACATGGAATATCTAACATGTTTAAGGATTTTTTTAATTTTTGGGGTAAAAATGGAAATTAAAATGAAATGTGCGCCAAACTTTATGTTGATGCGGGCCGCGCCTGAAAGAGAGTGAGTGAGTGAGTGAGGTTTCATGACGCTTTTAGCAATATTCCAGCAATATCACGGCGGGGGACACCAGAAATGGGCTTCACACATTGTACCCATGTCGGGAATCGAACCCGGGTCTTTGGCGTGACGAGCGAATGCTTTTACCACGAGGCTACCCGACCGCCCCACCCCCGTGCCTGAGAACCAAGACTATTAGTTTTTTAAGCCCACCCTGGTATATAAATGTTTGCCTGACACCACAACAGATTACTTGGAATCCAAACAACAATGACTGAATGAATGTTGTTTTACGCCTCAGTCGGAGCCCTTGGTCCTGGTGAGCTAACAGGTGAGGTGAAACAAACGAGTGTTGATATATATCATCCAAAATCATTCTTTCAACTTATTTACATGTAAACAGTAATAACCAGTGTCTTGAGTGCAAAATGAATATCTAACCAGCTTCAGTGACAGAGATGACGTCAAACGTAAAAACCCATTTATCATGCAAAACTGATATTGCTTGGCTTCACTGCAAAGAAGTTGAATCAAAATGCTTTGCAGACCATTGTGACATCATTGTGTGTGTGTGTGTGTGTGTGTGTGTGGAGGGGGGTACTTGTACTAGCCCAGACTAATGCCAGTTTCATAGTACTAGCCCTCTGAGGTACTTTGCCACAGTTTAACATGGATACCCCATTCAGAAACCTTATCGTAACAATTGCTGTCATTTCTCACAGGTAATAATCCAAACATGCTCCAGTCAGATTTATTCCCCACCTGCACACTCTGAGTTTCCCTAACACAGCATATTTCGATGACACAGGATTTAGAGATTCTGATCCAACACTACCGGTATTCGAGTGAGGACTTACCACACATGTCTTCCGTGTTCTGGGCGGCAGTGAACCCTTAAAGTTCCGTCTGTAGTGTCTCCACACAGGGTCGTCCCCATACGCTTCCCTGTAGGCTGAAACACAAGCACTGCCCCAGATGACACACCCTCAATACTTCAAAGGCTTGTACATGCAACACCCTGCATCAGCATCAGCTTCAGTTTGTTTGTTTGTTTGTTTGTTTGTTGGTTTGTTAAGCCTGCACTCTGCAATTTTCCAGCTTTGTGAAGGCGCTCTTTAAATAATGGAGTGGAGACCAGACAGTCCTGTGATGGACATCAAGAGCGCCAATCTACGCAATTGGGATACTATGACATACGTCAACCAAGTCAGCGAGCCTGACCACCCAATCCTGTTTCTTACAAGCATAGTCGCTCTAAGGCAAGCATGGGATGCTGAAGACCTATTCTAACCCGAATCTTCACAGGTGCTCTTGGTGACTTTGAGTATTATCAAACACACAGCTTTAATAATGCCAAATGCTGTTACTTGAGCCAATGTGTGAAATAATTTTTCAGCAGTTCTAGCCAGCAAGACCGGCTAGATAATGTGTTACTAGGCAATTTGTGTTTTGAGTAGCTTGTCATTTTTCATCCTACCCAATATTTCAAGTTCCAAATAGTCAGAGCTGCACTCAAGGTCAATCCAAATCAATATCAAACAGATCTATTGACAAGGGACCATATCCAGTGATAGACGACAGAACTCGCTGCAACACATCCCATACAAGCTTCAGAACTCGTTATTCGTTACTTTCATTACACAACTGACAAAACGATCATCTCAACAAACACAATCATTCCAAAACACAATGACAACACACAACACAATCATGGTAACATTCTATACTTACAACTGTCAACTTAACCGATACAATTCACACCAGAGCTCCAGATAAGCTTTTGGTGTTGTGGGTATTTTACCCATGCATTTTAAAATCATTGGGTATCAGTAATTCTATCTGGGTATTCAAATTTCCGTTACCCACTAGTTTTTACACATTAAATATTTAAAAACACTATTCATCTAGTCCCTGCAAACTGGTGTCGTGTGGGTTCGAGAGCTTTATAGGACTCAAAAATACCACGATACTTCCACACAAAAGTGTGATGGCAAATGATCATGATGTGACTGTCATCTTGGAGTTTGGCAAGGTTGACGGAATGCCCGTTTATAATTTCAAAATAAGTTTTGCTAATCGAATACGCAGGGTTACTTCACAATATTTTGATGATACGCACAAATTTTATTTTGGTAGCGTATCTGTATTGTTCGTTGCGTATTTGATACGCTTGGATTATATTTTACTGCGTATTTCTGCATTTCTGATGCGTATTTCACGCAGATACGCAGCTTATCTGGAGCTCTGCACACGCTATCATCACAACACCAGAACTTCTGGAATGAGAGTTATCTCCCTTACATCACTAGCATGACATGTCACAACACATCCCATAAAAGCATGACACGTCACAACACATCCAATACAAGCATGACACATGTCACAACACATCCCATACAAGCATGACATGTCACCACACATGCCATACAAGCATGACATGTCACCACACATGCCATACAAGCATGACATGTCACCACACATCCCATACAAGCATGACACATGTCACAACACATCCCATACAAGCATGACATGTCACCACACATGCCATACAAGCATGACATGTGTCACAACACATCCCATACAAGCATGACATGTCACAACACATCCCATACAAGCATGACATGTCACAACACATGCCATACAAGCATGACATGTCACAACACATGCCATACAAGCATGACATGTCACAACACATGCCATACAAGCATGACATGTCACAACACATCCCATACAAGCATGACATGTCACAACACATCCCATACAAGCATGACATGTCACAACACATCCCATACAAGCATGACATGTCACAACACATCCCATACAAGCATGACATGTCACAACACATGCCATACAAGCATGACATGTCACAACACATGCCATACAAGCATGACATGTCACAACACATGCCATACAAGCATGACATGTCACAACACATCCCATACAAGCATGACATGTCACAACACATCCCATACAAGCATGACATGTCACAACACATCCCATACAAGCATGACATGTCACAACACATCCCATACAAGCATGACATGTCACAACACATCCCATAAAAGCATGACACATCACAACACATTCCATACAAGCATGACATGTCACAACACATGCCATACAAGCATAACATGTCACAACACATCCCATACAAGCATGACATGTCACAACACATCCCATACAAGCATGACATGTCACCACACATGCCATACAAGCATGACATGTCACAACACATCCCATACAAGCATGACATGTCACAACACATGCCATACAAGCATGACATGTCACAACACTTGGCTCTCAATTTCCCTAAGTTAACACATTTACTTCATAATACAGTAGTATGATATTAGGTTGGGTTGGTTTACTTCACAAAGGTATGTTCATTTGATAACAATCACAGCACACACTTGGAAATTAGGCCATATTTCCATAAGCCAAGTGATGCACGGCTTTAAATAATACCAAGATAATATTTGCCAGTCTCCAACCCACCCAAATAAACATGAGTCATGTTACCAGCAAGTTTGTTTTAATGCTGCATTGAGCAGTATGTCAGCCATATGACTGACGGTCAGCTTCATGTGGGATTGAAGCCCATGTGATACGTTAAACATGATGTGCATAGTGGTTGGTTGGTTTGTTGTTTGAGGCACACTCAGCAATATTCTAGCTATATGACGGCGGTCTGTAAATAATCTAATATGGACCAGACAATCCAGTGATTGATCCACGCAATTGGAATACGATGACATGCATCAACCAAGTCAGCGAGTCTTACCACCCGATCCCGTTAGTCGCCTCTTACGACAAGCATAGTTGCCTTATACGGCAAGTTTGGGTTGCTGAAGACCTATTCTACCCCGGATCTTCAAGGGTCTTGTGTGCATTGTGCATACTGTGTCAATCCGCTTCGCAGAATTATGCAAAGTGTGCACCCAAGTGTTTTTACCTCCATAAATGCAAAATCATATTGAAGTATTGAACTTAATTCTCATAAATAAATATGTTCACTGTAATAACTTCCCAGACTGCTTATTTAATGATCAACACTTAAAACATTGTAAATCGGTGACATTGCTCATGACAATAAGGCAACACAAGCCATTCTGTTATCTGCCAAACAGGGAACAGTAGTTGGTTCGTGGGTGGGGCCATTTTACATTTGGTTTATGGAAATAGAAACCCCAAAATATTGCATACCTTTCACAGCCAATCAAATGTGATGGAAACAATAGTAATATATTAATATGCATGCATAGGTTCTCGGATGTCAACAGATTCTTTTCCTTGGATATCTTTGAATTTCACCACTTACAAGAACTGGCTAAATACCGGATGCTGGTATCTGGATCAACCATTTGACGTTTAGGTTGCTGTCGCTCCATTGGTCGATCATCTTCGGGATCTGCATCTTCCTTCTCAGTCTGCAGTCTGTATGCAGACTGGCTGATAGGTCGAATCAGTCGCAGTGCCTGGGATGGAGAAACATACTTTATTATTCCAAATATTTTAATGGGAATGGATTCTGCTGTTTCCTGATGGGAGTGATGTTTAAGGTTGGAGGCAATACAAACGGTTGGTAGAATGTCCTGAAATACATGTGCTGTGGACAAAAGAAATGACTGTTTGACGCCTTCTTTAAGTGAAAAACATGTATCAAAGTGAGTGATTGTATGCCACTTTCAGCACATCTTCCCAAGGCAAGGGCTTTAACTGACTTTAAAAGTCCAGTTTCCACCCTTGCCGAACTAGGCTGGAATTCCTGGGCTTGATCTGAGCGCCACCAGTGGCTATTACGAGTTATATTCCGTCTATGCCTCTCCTATGAACCAATCAAAACAAACAAAACGGCAGCGCCCAGTCAAGACAATCTGATCGATAATCAAGATCTATATTATGATAAAACGAGTCTTACATCGCGAAATGCATCAAATCACGTGAGCACCTTGATTAAAAACATGAAAAGATTTGGAAAATGTCTGTTGACAAAGAGTTAGTGGTGCACATGCTTTGCAAATCCTGCAATTGACGGAAATCCTTGACAGTTTACGAACCGGATTATGATTTCGGTGCGCGATTTTGATTGGACTATGCATAGACTTGTTAGTCCAGCCAAAAATAACTCCTTAATACCAGCCTAGTTCGGCAAGGGTGGAAACTGGACTTTTATAGTCAGTTAACTCACTTGCCTCGGCAAGATGCTTTCAGCAATATTCACGCAACATCACGGCAGGGGACACCAGAAATGGGCTTCACATGTTTTACCAAAAAAATGTATGTCCAGTAGCAGTTAACAAAAAACATATCTTGTGTCCAACAGAAAATTAATAAAGGTTCTTGAGTAACTGTAATCTGTACCATTAATTGAATAAAATCAATCCTGTCTACATCATACCACAACTTCTGAATGTCACCTGAAGACAAAGTACTTTAAACTAAAAAACATAATAACTACTTCAGTTTAACCACCTTCAAGGTCTGGGGGAAAGATGTCTGCCCCGAGAGCGGAGGTTCTGTGGCTCGATAACAGGGAGCATCTTACCAAAAGACGTGTAAAGTACTAATACTTGTCACCCTGCCTGGAGCTTGGCCATAAGAGGATAAAACAAAAACTGGTCGGCTCGGAGTCAGTACTGCGTTTGAGGAGGGTATCCATGTTAAACTGTGGCATGGTATATCAGTGTGCTTGCACTATAAAACTGGCATTAGTCCGGGCTAGTACAAGCAGACAAACACACGCACGCACGTCGCAAAAATCTTGAACACAACAAAAAATATACAAACAAACAAACACACAACACAAAGCCCATGAAAACCCATGTTGATCTGTCACCACAGCAAAATATTCTTTCCTTGTTTCTTTCATCAAACAAACTTGTATGAGTTTGATCCGATATATTACACGAGTATACATGACTTGATATACTACAGGGAGGCTAAGCGGAAAGGAAATCGTAATAAGGTGAAAATAACAGTATGTCAATGTCATCCAGTTAATTCTTCATTTAAGTATCGAAACCTTTCTCAAATAGATATGGTGAGTGCAAAATTACGCCAGTCATCGAATAATGGTTAACTTAAAATCATTTTATGGGTAACATCATGCACTTGTGACAAAGAGCATGAATAGTCTGAATACCGGAATATTTAGAAGTTTGTGTACAGCTTCTACACATAATCTCGCCATGCTGCAGCTTAGAGACAGTCTAGAGTTATCTGTCCTTGCGTATAATGATAATAATGGACCATACCATGCGGGGTATATTGTCTCTACAATCGGATCAAATAACCCGACATATTGCATCTGTGACCAGGATGGATGTTTTATGCAATAACACTACAATACTAACTTCTGCTTATTGATAAAGTGTATGCCTACTCTTCTTAATTTAGATAGATGTGCGTATTAATTTGTAACAGGTGTCGGGGGAACCCCTTTCTGTAAATGGTATATTCCGAGGGACTTAGTCTTGAAGCAGTCGGTTAACATGCCTATTTTTCTCTTTTGATCATTCTTTGTTAAAGATAAGACAATTATTGCGTTAATGTATCTAAGGTGATTTCATAATAATGTATATGTATTACATTAATGCTACTTGTTGTGAAATGAACTTGTAAGTTGGTTGGTTGGAGAGTATAAGTGATGAATTATTCATAGAGTTAGAACGGAGAAGTCGGAATTGAATTATCATCCCATGTAAATGTCTAATACTGCATTTTTAAGCAACTAATTCCGGATTATTATTGTTATTCAATCATGATATTGACAATCACGGACATTTGAGATATGGAACAGCATGCATTTGCATGCCAGTATTTGCAAACATGAGGCGTGCTTCCTCGCATTCCCCTGTCGGTTCTCCGATGACACTATTGACGTCATAGTAACGCCCTTCGTCTCAACATTTGGGCGCTTGAGCTTCTTTGTTTTGGCCCTGTGCGTTGAGCTTGGAAATTTTCTGGAATATTGTCTTTTTCTCGCTACACATCGACACTTAAATCTTCGACACAAGTTACAAGATATGATATAGCCTGATACCATGGAAAATATCGTCTGCTGAGGGATATGTTTGGACTGAAGATTTGATAGCTCATATCGTTGAAATCGGGGCCCCCTGAAATCGAGGCCATGAATCACGAACTTCATAATCTTTCAATATTGTAAAGAGACACTGGTTTCACGATCATGTAAAACAAGTCTCTTTTATCACCAGATATAAGGTGATTAGAATTATTTCTTCCACATCTAGCTTTTACTTGTTATATATATGGGATTGGCTCGTAATCGGAATATGAAGACGAGACTCACGAACATTCTGTGAGAAAGAAAATGGACGGCATAATGTATAGCAACGTGTTTTCACGTTGTTTCCATTTGTAATTATTCGTGAGAAATATAAATTAATTCAATTTTCTATTTTAGCAAGTTTGAGGCTGTTTACAGGTTTATCTATGTTCCTAAACAAAGGATTCCTGGATGGTGCTCACACACAGGTAGGCCAAGGTTGCACTGTCGCCATATTGAATATCTGCAAGTTCTCCATCTTGCAAGGAAAGTGCAATTCAACTTCAAATATTTTTACCAACACATCAGTTGTCTTGAACATTCAAATAACATCTTTTCTATGTTTAGGGGATCAGTTAACATGCGAATCAGTTTAATATTGCATCTATGCAGAAACCCAAAACTACGCCGTTATTTCCATATATGGCATGCGCTTGTTAAGGGGCGTGGCTAGAACGTGGGTGTGGTAATAAGCGTCTTTGAACATTACTTGTGATTGCATGTACGTGTTGACTTGGTAAACATGTACGCGCATTCCAAACAACTGCATGTAACAACACACGTTCACGGTATAGCAACGGAGAAATACAATTTGAATAATGGAATATATGAATATTGCGCATCATCAACAATTGCCTATTAGGATATAGATCTTGACTGATAGTCAAAACAAATTTACACGTATAAGTAGCCTATTTTATTCTACGTTGTCCTGTTTTTGAGTTAACGCATTATAAACATTGCCTGTGCAAAAATATAAGCAACAATTTTATGTAAACATTATGTAGGGGTATCTTTGTTTCATGAAACAAACTAGATTTTGTTCGGCGTTTGAGTAAAGAAAGAATTGACGTGCACATCATCACATCTATCACATTTTAATGGATAATGAAACGTATTCTTTTAACAAATGTGTAAAAAATGTGCCGTCAACAAATATAATACTAAACGTTAGCCTACTCGTTGAAACACATTTTTGTCAACCTGCCAGAATAAGGCTTAAACTAAAGCTTCAGTAATTAAGAGAATTAATTGTTGAAGCAATATCGCACATAATGGTGACACAGCGTGCACGTGTCATTAGACAGACCAAAATTTAATTTGTTGTTGTGAACTCTTATTCATCTACGCATTGTACATTCAGATTTTCAACAGTTAGCATGATTAGGCTATCGTTCAACGAACTGCACACTAAGCGATGCGGGCAAAGGGAGATAACTCGTGACGCACAGTGGAAGCACTTTTAATGATTGATGTTAGATGAGCAAAAGTATGCCGTCTTTTAACACCTTGAAGTTGACTGTTCCTGCAGATAACCCTTACAGTATGGTTTTAATAACTACATATGACATTTTTTTCAATATTTGGAACATTCACACAAAGATTTGACAATGTCATCTGCTGGTCATCGATCTCTGAGTATTCGTTTGAAGTTGCAGATAGCTCTTGCATAGTTGAGGTTATTTGAAGTCAAACATTTTGGCGAAATTATATGGTGTTATATCTAAAAAAAAAATTATTTATTTATATTGAAATTATTGGGTGATGTGACTAAAAGAAATCTTTATTACATTTTTGTATTAATAAAAGATGTCTGATCGGCTTGTGTCAGATGTTGGTAGTTTGAAAGTATACACTGACAATAACTTGTTGCTTAATACTTATCCATGCATCCTCACAATTAGTAGACAATGACATTTATCATTCAGCATTTTAGGGGATAAAAGAATCATTATATATTTGTCAATGACTCATCGTGAATTAATATATTACTAGTGGATGAATAAAGATGAAAGTAGTAACCAATTTGTGGTAGGTCAATGTTTTCTTATCTTCAAAAATATTCATAATTTGCTTTGTGACAAACCAAAGATTGTTTCCTACCTTAAGATCTTTACAATATTGTGTTTGTTGAATTATGAAATAAATAAATAAACTATAATAAATAAACTAATAGTTATGCTTCTTTCGGACGGTATAAAATTGAAAAGGTATGAGAATTAGGATGTTTATTTGTTTTTAGCAAGTGAGAACTATTTTTTTGATAAGGTTTGACTTTTTAAGATAGTTATTCATCGACTGGCTATTTATGATTTTATACATATTTCACACTCAGTTTTCATGTATGGTTTAAATAAGAACTTTCAATCACCACATCACAATGCATTCACTCGATCAATAGTTTACAGCCATTCATTGAAGAAACTCAGCACATTGTGAATTATGAAAGAAGAAAACGGATACGCTTCATACAAGCAGACCTTGAAATTAACACCAGTCAGCTCATCTTGATTCTTGAGTACAAGTGAAAATCCAATGATGTAGTCCTTACTGACTAGTAGCATTTGGGGGTTATTCTGAACCAGGTCTCAATACTTCAAGTTTGACTTCAAATTGGAACTGAATATCACTGACAAATGAAGACATTGTGAACATTTTACCTACTAGTGAATTAAGGTTTACACTAGCCATCTGGACAAGTCTTAAGGTTATTTCTTAAGACTGTTCAAGGAAATGAATAGACATACAGAGTGCAATGTATAATATGTGAGGGCTGCGTCTAAGTGCTGGTTGATATCAGATTTCAGGGCACTTGGTGCTATTAAGGCATACTATGTGGTTTTTTTACTTGTTTTTCAAATATATTTATCTCAAAAACAGTGTTGGTGGTAGGAATAAATACAAATATTACAAAACCATAAATTTTACATTGTCAATAAATATTGTCAGTAAATAAAACTGCATGGCTGGTTTTGTAACTATTCAAGAGAAATCCTAGGACAAGTAATCAATGGTAACTACGATTGTGTACAGGCCTCAAAAATAGACCTCCAACCTTGACACTATTGTTTTGTTTTGATTGAAATTTATTATTACTTTGGGGAAATAAAATATGACTTATTTTAGTTTTATTCCACATACTATAAATATAGGTTCAGACATCCATAAAAAAATAAAATAAATAAACACTATCTGTAGACGGGTATTATTTACAACAAAGTGGATGTGTTCCTCCTGTAAACTGCATGGAAAGATTATCTTTGAACTAACAGTTTCTCTCTATTTACTGAAATCAAGGCTGTTTCAGCATGCTTGTCATTCTTTTTGAGACTGCTTCTAGAAACTTAAATGCTTGGTACATGCTTCTTCTACATGTTTATTTCTCAAACATGACATTTTGGATAGGTATTGCCAACACAGTTAAACATTTACTGTTATGTGTTGTAATTCATGGTGGTTAATTGCAATGTATATTGATTTGTATTGGAAACATTTTTTTCTCAACTGTCTGTGCAAGCTTTTGTTTTAAACAGTGTATTCACATCACATGGTCAAATGTGTAAAAGTTGTCCATGAATATATACAGACAGCAGACAATGTTAAACATTGGAATAAATATACATTCAGTGCAATACTTCCAAGAAAATAGTACATACAGAATTAATTATTAAAAAAGGCATGAAAAATACCAGTTCAGTTTGATATGTTTGTAGTTGCTTGGAACAATGGAATCAAATATGGGACACGCATATGGGTTTGTCAGAAGCCCTGTGGTGTTCGTGTTTGGCTGTAATATTGTGTAAAACAGCTCGACAGCCAATAGCATAATAGCAGCAAAACTGGACCTATCTAAATACTTGATTCCACATCGTGTGACTTTTAATAAGCTGAGCTGGTTCATACACAACAAAACTTATACCAGTTTGTGTTTATTTCTAAACGTGTTTATTTATGAAAAAATAAACAACTTGGCTTTGTTTATTATTGTACACTAAATTGTCAAGTGTCCGTGGATTGGAAAATGTATTTGGATTAACCTGGGTATTGATGTGTGTCCCGACATGCCTGTGTATAATGTCAGTGCAAGTATCCCCTAGCCAATGAAAACGGACGAGTCAAGACTCCAAGCATGTCCTATGCCTGAGCATGATAGTCCAGGGCCATTTCACCAAGTGATTGTTGCGCTAAGACGATTGTAACTTCTACTTTGTCACAGACTTATGACAGTCGTAGTTCTGCGGTGGCTTTGTGGACCAGGGCCCTGCAGGATGTCCCCAAGATGCTGATCATAAACACCATTAAGATTCTGTTGATTAACACTAAATGACAAACAAACCAATTTGTTGATCTCTTGGATGATTTTGTCAGAACTATCACCAACTGATAAAGAGGCATTGTTTTAAATAGGACTAGTGAAAAACATAAGGAGCATTTGGGATGAAAATCACGTCAAGCTATGGTTATGTTTATTTTTGTATTTCATACCTTTTTTGCTGATATTTTGGATTATTGTCCTTTATAAAAACCAATTTCTTCGTTCTAAATGCTAATAAATCAAACATTATTTAAAAGTTTATACTCAATGCTAGCTATATAGTACATTTACTGTAATACCTATGCTTTTATTAAATGTTATAAAGAAATAGACTAAATTTTATTATGATTAAAAGTTTCGTTCCAATTGTGTTCATCCAGCTGTTATCTTAAAACATGTTTAGCTAGTGACAGATTGCTACGAGCAGAATTGACAGGTTTTTCACAATGGGCTTTTTGGAGAACAGTGGTTACATTGTCAAGTGCAATGACATGGTAACAAATCCAAGACTTGAACAATTTTCGGCCTCCTTCCAAGTCAGTTTGTTGTTTCTTTGAACAAAAGAGCATGACTTGCGTGTCAAGTCACAATGGGCTTCCAACCTGATTACAATTAAAAGGAATATGTGCAAGCATAAATTGACAAAGTGCCCTTCAACTTTGCTACAACTAATGCATGTAATACTTACGTATGTGATTAAAATTTGCCATTGCTTATGGCACAGCCGGGACACATACGGCTTAAATATTTGTCATTAAAAACCACCATTGGTCAGTGTTGAGTACCTTCACAGTATCCTTTACAAGTTATTCTTAGAGTTAAAGAAATTGAAAATAAAAA